TTGTTACTTTCTTTTGTACCTAAGTCTAGTTTAGTTTTTTTTNTTTTTTTTTTTTAAGGTTCTTAAAAGGTCTGAGTTGGCCGGGTAATTGCGATGAGGGTTATGATGCTCAATAAGAATGATATGACCTGGACATGTTATTAAAGTCAACTGTACCGAGGGAATTCTAACAGCGACCAGATGGTTGGATTTGAACGGTGCAACTAGAGGATACTCGAGTCAGCCAAAGGCCTAGAATCTCCTTCGTTCTGTTAAGTAATCAGGTACGCCAGAGATCAGCGTCCAGATTAATAAGACGTGTTAGAAGAAGCCGCTTACCTAAGGAACACACCAGAAAAGACTCCCAAGGGAACAGAGACTGAGTAAATGCTTTCCATTCCACGGATTGTTGAATTCCTACCTAGTCCATACATGATGAACTATACCGAGACGCCATGTTAAATTGAATCCATGTCCATGCCACAGTCTATCAAGCTTCTTGAGATGCGAGATGCAAGTCATGCTTGACCCTTGACCCTATACACGGGGGGTATCCATCTCCAAGTGAAGTGAGCCATCATCATCATCAGATCGTGAAACAAGAACCGTGCCGTTTATGATGCCCAGCCCCGACCCCGACCCCAGTAACCCCGACAATCCTATATCGACCACGACCAACCGACCCAGCCCACGATCAATCACACATGCACGTCGCCCTTCACAAGAGCGGCAGTTTGTCATACAACCCATCATACACATTCCCAACCCAGCCGGGGGTCAACCCCCCCTTGGCAACAATTCCAATTCCACCAACAGCCCACAGTCCAATCGCAACAGCCGCAGCACCATTAATCATCAACAGTCTTCTCCTCCTCTTCCTTCTCGCCTCCCGATCAACACTTATATTACCAGACACGCGCTCCAGCCCCCATCCCGCACCCTGCGCCAGACCAGCCCACTTCGCCCAGCCCCAGACCATGTGGCCGCATCCAGCGACAAGCAGCACGCCGTAGGCGGCGTACGAGATGACGGGGTGCCGGGCGAACCCGTGCGCGACGAAAGCCAGACCCACGTTGGCGCTGTCGCCTTCGACGAGAAGAGGCAAGCCACGGTTGACAAAAGCGTGTGCCGCCAGGGAAACAGTGAAGATGAACCCGGAGACGGAGATATTTGTGACAGTTGGCCAGCCAGCGCGCAGCCGGCTCAGGAAGGATGTGGGACCCGAGCCGGGTTTCTCCTCGCCGTAATACCGGTCGAGGTTGTGCTTGCGGCGGAGAAGGCGCAGAGCCAGGCCTGAGGCGACGTGTGCGGCGGCGGGAAGGACGACAAGAAGGGGCTCGGAGAGAGGGGTCTGGTAGATCTCGCGGGCGAGGAGAAGGTAGGATTCGGAGGAGGCAACAGAGCGGGCGGCAAGGGGAATCAGCGAGGTTGTAGCCAGGTGAAGCGTCGAGAAGAGCGTGAAAGTATAAGAGGAGTATCGCTGGATGCGTGTTACTGGGCAATGTTAGCGATCCATCGGTCAGCCCGGATGAAAGGGCTCTTTCGGAGAGCAAGAAGACCCACAGTAGAAGATGGGCCCGTGACTGCTCCCGCTCAGGCCGATGCTGGTAGAGGTGGAAGACGACTTGAGCAGGGTCGAAGCCATTGGCGAGGATTGGCCAGAGCTCTGGGCATCCGCAGCGTCGTCGACGACGGCATCCTCGGCGATGGGGGCAGGATCCAACTCGACCAGCGAGACGGCCGAGACGAGCGTCCCTACCGACAGTCTGCGATGGTCCATGGTGTGTGACGGCAGCGCCGGCATGCCGGTCTGCGCTGGTTAGGTGGTATGGTGATCTGGCAGTGCCAGTCGAGTCGAGTCGAGAAGAGGGTGTAAAGAGAGCCCGAAACAGTGTTGGGGGTTCGAGTCGATCTTGGGAGGGTTTGTTGAGGATTCAGGGTCAAGGGTTAGGGTTACAGCCCAGGGTTTAGGCGTAGAGCTCGTTGGGACCCTGGGTTTCTGCCCCACGTCCCCACTGAGCCCCAGACGGCAAGGGGGATTCTTGGCAGACATCAGACCTCCACTTGGCTTGGTCGACTTCATTTCAATCTTAGTTCCTGTCTTCATCACAGTCGCCACCATCTCCAAGCTCACGGAGAGTTGTTCACAATATTCAGCAAATTCACAACTCAGAATCCGTACGCCTACTTCTGATATACATTATAGAAATCAAAATGGCTCCAGTACGTATCTCTCTCCCATCATCTCCTCCCAGAAAGATAAAAAAAAAAAAGAAAAGAAAACTAATCCCCAAGCCAGCGTGGCCAAACCCTCCCCCAACCGCAAACCTCCTCCGCGCGCGAGGCCCGCGCCGCCTTCTACTGCGAGCTCTGCTCCAAGGGCTACCAGCGAATGCACGAATATGAAGCACACTTGAGCAGTTACGACCATCAGCACAAGCAGCGGCTCAAGGACATGAAAGCCATGGTGAAAGACCCGACCGCCGCATTGCGGGCCCGCAAGCTCGAGCAGAAGGAGCAGGGAGTCATCAGCATCAAGCTGGGGGATGCCGCTTCTTCCGCATCAGGAGGTGGGCTTGGTGGTGGTTTCAAGAAGGGCGGGTTTAAGAAGACTGGGTTTAAGGCGGCTTTTGTGCCTGTGGGAGGGACGAATAATGCGAATGAATCGAAGGATGGTTCTGTGGATAATGCTGCAAAGAAGAGCGAGGATAGCGGATTGACAAAGGCGGCGCCAAAAAGCGAACTCGTTGAGAGCGACACCGAGGACGAGGGATACGAGGTTTACGATCCGAGAAAACCGACCGATTGAAAAAAACCTTCCAACACAACAACCACAACACCAAACGCCCACGAACTCTTTATCATACATCATCACATCACGGTCCGCCCATCGGCCACATCCTCGGCTCAAACTCTGACAAGTCCTGCTCCAACAGCCCAAGGATGTGTGTGTTCCCTGAGAACCAGTTGCCTAGCTCGTTCGCCGGGTTGGCCTGCCCCCCCCCTCCAGCAGCCCCAAACCCCGTCGGACCGACCGTGGGGAACTGCGCCTGCGCTGCCGTCGCGGCAGTCGCTGTAGCAAATGGGTGATGATTGCTTGCTCCATACTGCGGCGGCATGAACCCCAGCTGGCTGAGATACATGTCGATGTTGTCGCCTACCATAGCCATCGTCACATCTTGCTGCTCTACTGCGCCTGCCGGCTGTTGTGGCTGCTGCTGGGAAGGGGTGTGCACGGTCGTCATTGGGCTAGCTCCGTTCCCATTACCGGTACCGCGCACACGTTGTTGCAGGTGTGCTTTGGCACGGATACACAGACTGGCGACGTCGTGCAGGACCTGGCAGATACGATGCAACTTCGCAACAGCATCGGACGCAGCACACACAGGCACGAGCGACTCGACAAAGGCGGCAAGACGCGCCAGGTCAGCCTCGTTACCTGTCTCAATGGTGTGGCAGAAGAGCACGATGACTGGGGTAAAGGGGACGTAGATGAGGTTCCTGTCTAGATTAGCTATTGTTTAGGAATCAATATGATGAGGATTTCTGTCTGGACATACCATCGGATGAATCCCGCTTTGGCAGCCATGCTGTCGCCTGCTAGCGCCATGTATTCATGATGGCAGGCGAATGCCCGGCGCGCGGCGTCGATGCATTCTTGGTTGAATGTACTTGGTGACCCAGGCGGGCTTGGGATGGCTCGATACAGGAGGGTCAGGGCTGACCAGTGCTGCATCTCGTCGCCTAGGATGGCCAGGTCCATGGAGTACGGGCTGTTGGCGTCCAGTCTGCGACCTTGAACCTTTTCGCGAGCTGTCCGCATCAGAGCGTCGTGCTTGTTGGCGAGGGTGACTGCTAGGTTAGCCATCGTTATAGCCAACTGGGGAGATGGGGAGTACTTACACAGCCGCTCAACCAACTGCCTCGCACACTCAGCCCTTTGCTCTGGTGGCCGAGCCAGCGCTGCCGGGCTGTACAGCTGTTCGTACGCCCGCCCCAGAACATCAGCATACCCTATCCACTGCTCCAGAATCCTGCGCCACGACACGTCCGGCACCTCTACGCCCCCTGGCGGATTGGCGCTTAGCTCCCTCGGTACCGTGATATCATAGTCCTGGATGACCGGCGCCCGGCCCGACCGCAGCGAGAGCGCCTTGTCGAGGAGGTACGCCGACCAGAAGAGAATCGCTTTCGGCTCCGTCTCGGGAGTCAGCGGCCCGCGCAGGCGGTGATAACCCAGGTTCTGGCACAGCGTAGCCGCGATGGCGTTGAGATCTCGCGCAAGCGAGAACTTAGAGTTCTCAACCGCATAGAAAGCTCCCAACAGCACCACCTCAATACTCTCCCTTCTCGCAGGCAAAATCAACGGCAGATTCGCCAGCGCCGTCTCTAGATTATCCCGACATACCGCCTGATACTCCAAATACTGTGCCTTCTGCGCCGCATCCCCCGTCAATGACGCCTTCTCCTGAAACAGAAAATACAACCCCGCATTCACAACCCCCCACGTCATCAGGCTATAATCCTCCGTCGCAAAATACACCCTTCTGCATTGCTCCGTGAAATTGTCGGCCGCCACGAAGGTACAAATCGTCGCGAAACTCACCAACGGCACGTCCTTCACCTCCCTCAGCGCAGCAACAACCACATGCGCTGGCGGCATCGGCAACTCTTTGACACCCCCCTTTGGTAGCGGCTTAGCATTCACGAACCGATTCTCATGCGGACTAGGCCTGTTCTGAAGCTTCACGATCTGTTGTAGGCTGGACAGGGCCGAGTGCATGTCGGGCGCGAGTGAGTCCTCGTCGCCTTCTCCGCCGCCCGAGGCGAGGGGGACAAGCTGTCGGGCAACGACGGCGTGCGAGAGGAATTCGCTGGCGAAGACGGTTTGCGCGGCGAGGGAGGAGTCGCCTTCGAAGGCGGACACTGCGTCGTCCGAGTCGTTGCCTTCTGTAGGCGCGTAGACCATGTCATCTGTGGCCGCTGTGGCCGTGGCGGCTGCGCTGGAAGAGGGAGGGGAAGTTGGGGCGATTGGAGGGGCGAGGGGGATGATGGATGATGAAGCGGTTGGTCCGGGAGTGCTTTCTGTGGTTGAGGCGGCGGGGGAGCGGCCGCTGCTGAGGGAGACGGTGAGCTCACGGAGCATGTTTTCGATGTTGTCGAGGCGGGCTTCAAAGTAATCGATTTTGCGCTCGCTGGGGGGAGGAGGAGGGTGTTAGCGATATGCTCAGGGGTAAGGAGTTTAAAGACCACAGTCTCACTGACTATTGAGTTGATATTAGCACACGCTGGCGGGCCTCCTTAGGCCTCTGCCCGGCGCCGGTTGAGCTACATGTGCGGTTGGCTGTCCTGCAATTTGAGCATGGTGATTCCTTGTCGCATCGGATCTGTGTACTGTTTAGTTTGTTTGGTCAAGGTTGTCCTGGTATCCTGGGTTTAGTTGACACTCACCTTTCGGAGACGGCATTGGTCGCACTTAGAAATATATTAGTCGTGCGTGTTCATCATGCAGGGCAGAAATGAGGAACGAGATAAGAATACAGGGCTGAGGGTTCACTGTTCATAATAATCCTGAACCAAACATGTCTTCAGCACAAACCTACAGCTCTCTTAACTCCATTCTCCCCTTCAGGGCCCGAGCCGGAGCCCTGGCTGTCCGGCATGGTGGCTGACCAGCAGTGTCAAAGATGCTGAGAGTGAGATTTCTAACACACGGACTGTGGTCGCGGTATGGTTGACACACTTGGCCCCTGTAAGCACCTTATCGGCTCAACCGTGTATGTAGCCTGGTACTTTTGAAGGCCGTCTTTTATAATTCCTCAGTAACTGAGTCGCGTCTTGTGTTCTCATGCAACCCGTGATATCCGACGCAGAGGCGAGAGAGTTTGAAGACGAGCACCGTTTCTTGTGCGGGGGTCGACAGGATGAATGCCAATAGGAACAGGGGTCGAAGTCCTTACGCGTCAATTTGCAAATAGGGATTCGACGCGCGTGAATAAAATTTTATATTGTATTCATTGAGAGGAGTGACGTAGAGTGAGTCGCCGAAGGTGTGAGACGACAGGAATGACACACCACACGATGTCGCCAAGATCCAAGATGGAAGACCCCCCCCTCCAAAAAAAAAAAAGAAATAAACTCCCTGTTCAGGGTTAGGGTAGGAGTGCGGGTCAACATCCATGGCGTTTGAAGTCAAGATTCACATAAGTAGTAGGTATGCTTTATTACCGTAAAGCTTCCTGTTCACAAACACATGTTGTAAGGTTAAGATAAGTAATAGGAAGAAGATCTATTGCCACGGCGTTGCTCACTTGAGCAGACTGGCTTCAATACATGCCGCCGGACGGAAATCCGACAAATATTATGTACATCATCAAACAGTAACAACTACCTAACAATGGGGTCACGCATTAGTCAATCATTTCATGCCAACCACAATCCATCCCATCATGGTATGCTGCCGCGTTCCCAACTCCTGGAACTCATGTATCCTTCATTCCCAACACCAATACACACAAACAAACAAAAAAAAAAAGAACAAGTAAAATCTCGCCTCAGCGCAAGCTCAGTCGTTGCTCGTGCTGAAGTAGTAGTTCTCCCAGAGATACTCATAATCCTCAATAATGCCAGCCACGAACCCAGGCATACGCCTCCTAACTCCCTCAATCAACCCCTTCGTCACATTATCATAAAACGCCCCTCTCATAGCCCACCAAGCCAGCGCCCAGCCGCGCCGGCTCCACTCCTCCCTCTCCAGCGGCGTCGTCCTCAGCCCGCGATCGCGCAGCTGTCTCGCCACCATTTCGCACGCGATACCCCAAACCCAAGGCGCCCACGCGGCAAGAGCCCCGGTCTTACCGGTCGCTTTCGTACCGCCTTGGGCCCTCTTGGCGAGATGGTACCGGGCCATGGCGACGGCGAAGACAACAGGGGCCAAAATGTGCAGGACCTCGGCGGTCAGGGCGGCGGGGCCCTGCAGGCGGTTGACGAGCTTCGCAGCTGGCTTGATGTCGTCGGCGGTTAACACCCGCGAGAGCAGGTAGCTAGTGATGTCGCCGGGGGCGGGGAGCGGGGGGAGGGTCATGCCGGTGCGGGGCATGGTCCATTCGCCGTGGGGACCGAGCTGGGGAGGGGTTTTTTGTTCGACAACAAGGCCAGCGCTGTTGGATTGGATGTTGCTGGCAATCTGGCGACGGTCTTCGTCGTCTTCCTCGAACCCGGCTAAGAAGTCGTCGAAGCTGTCCTCTTCCTCGGACGGTTGTTCGGGGATGGGCTCGCGCTCGGGAAGCGCCGGCGACACAAGAGGGCGCGACCGGGTGATGCGCAGGAGCAGCAGCTTGCAGACGGCCTTGACGGCTTCCAGCAGGATGACCACGCGCCAGCGAGTGCGTTCGCCGCGCTTTTTCGCCGCCATCTCACACAATAACTCGACATAGCTGACGATCTGCAAAACATAGGCAACACGCCGGTAGAGGGGGCTTTTGAGAGTCCAGTAACGAGTATAGCGGTTGTGGAGTGACGATGAGCGGGGAAGAGGGGGGACGGGTATCTTGGAGAGCGATTGTGCCTTGCGCAGGAGGGTGTCATGGTAAAGAGAGAGAAGCTGGACGCCACTGTGGATGGATTCAGAGGCGATTTCGGCATCGCGGAAGCGGCCTGACAGCGCAGAAGGTCAGTATATCCTGAAAAAGATGCGTAATATTATCATCCGACAAATCATACCGGGGATGATATAAGTCAGCGATCGAAGGGTCGACTCGATTTGCGAAACCTGGTGGGAATTCTTTGTGATGAAGTCGTCATATGTATTCAGCCATCGTGCCGGCGCAGACACGGCATGCAGAAAACCCGACTCTTTTGGTTTACCCGGCCCGTGGGCCTGAATGGCGCGTGAAGACGCGGTCGACATGATGGAAGGTGAATCGAGTACACCGTGACGGACAGCGACTCAGAAACTCAGGAGAAATGACGGAGGTGGACCAACATGGAGTGACGCGCGAACAATGATTAAAAATTGGCCTTGGCGCCAGCTGAGAAGTGCTCAACAAGAAGGTTGTGGCCAAGAATCCAAGCAGGTTGTGAAAAAATTCAACGACTTGACGCTTTGTGGGCTAGGGATCCGGGGAAGGGGGGGAATAATGGACGTTCTGCAGATAGGTAGGCGGCTGCGGTTGTTTGCGATGGAGATGCAAATGCAAATGCAAATGGTGTTGCAGTCAAGACGAGACGGCGACTGGCGGCTGCGATGTTGTGGGTCTGGCCTAACATCAGTTTCCAGGTTCAGCTGGTGGCATGCCTCGGCTCCCCAGTTCTGGGCCGGTGGATTTCAGGCTCCACGCCCCTGAAGCTTTGAGTTGCAGGTCTGCAGCCTTGCGCTTGGCAGATATTTCTGCCTTAGGCATCACATCTTCTATTCAATCAAGAAACTTTGTTGGGGGGCTCGCAGGTGCACAACAGAAATCGAAAATGAACCATCAGCCCATCTCAGACGAGAAGCGAACGCGAGGAGAATTGACATACGATTGGCATGATGCATATGGTATCATCAGACAGAGCAAATCCACTGGCAAAGGCTTTACCCCTCCCTGGCGTCAGAGGTCATCGCGATTGGTCCCAGTCCCTTTGTGAACAACACAGGCCGGAGAGAGAGGGATGCCGCGCATGGGGGAAGAGACTCATATCTGTTGCTTCCTTCAACGCACTTCAATTCCTCCAATTTGCAACTTGAAGAGAACCTACGCTACTAAAAAAAAAACAAAATTCAATTTATCGCACGCAGACACAACCACCATCACAGTGCTAACCGATAGTGCATGGTTAGCGCCAAAGACAAGCTTATTTCTACAGTTCCGTCATGAATCACCATAACAAACTTCAGACCCAATTTTTGTTTTCTAATCGGACATCCTGCTCTTCAGTTCCCGCGAGTCTTCGCGAGTCTGGCCTTCATGCCCGCGATCACCTCGTCCTCATTGTAAATCTTAGTGACGCTCGGGTGCGCCACGACAGCCTCCGCCCACTTGGCAAAGTTGGGCGCAAGCTGCGTAATCTTGGTGTACAACTCCTTGGGGTACAGCTCAGCCTTGCTGAACGTCTTCAAGCGAATAACAAAGGAGCCCGTCAGAACCTACAGTGCCCATGTTAGCAACTGTCCATCATCATCATCTATAAACATTGGCTTCCTTCATACCTCGGCCAGAGTAAGCTTGTCAGAGCCGCCAAAGAAGGGCTTGGCGTCCTTGAGCAGCGGCTCCACCTCCTTGATGAGGCCGTTGAGAGCTTTCTCGACAACAGCCTGCTTCTCCTCCTCCGTCTTGGCCGTGCCCAGACCGAAGAGGACGCTGTTGAACTTGCTGAAGAAGGCGTCGACGAACAGTGCAATGCGAGCGCGACGCAGGGCACCACCGGGAGCATTAGAAGGGGGGACCAGATGCGAGGGGTGCTGGTCGGCCAGGAACTGTGCAACAATGGCGGACTCGATAATGATCTCACCGTTGTACGACAGCGCCGGGACCAAGCCTCGCGGATTGATCGCCAGGTACTCAGGGCTGCGAGGAGTGTCGAGGTCGATAATCACCTCCTTGTAGGGGAGATTGAGCTCTGCAAGAGCGATGTGCGCCCGATGAGCCCCTTGTAGCCTGTTAGTCTGACATCAAGGCAGAGAGTTTTGGCATGGCATGACATACATGGGCAGCGGTGATTGGTGTACAAGATGATCTCGGGAGCCTGGGAACCCATGGTTGCTTATGTTGTTGCCGGACGAGCCTTGGTGATGCAAGTTGCAAAAGTGGATGTGTGCACGGTTGATCTGGGATTTCGGGGGAGATTTCTCTATTTAATGGCAGACCACTCTGATGCCCAGCTTCCTCAAGGTGAGGGTGCTTTCCACACACTTCTTGTTTTCCAATTGTCACAGAAGCAGCCCCCAGGACGTTGGCGTCATCGATGGCGCTATCCCACGAGCCGTTGAGGAGATGGCGGCCAAGCAAATTGTTGTTTGTAAGCAAGAGCTGCTTATTGAACCACTGCTAGCAGCTTCCAACGAACCAAGCTCCGTTCCGAAAAGTCCGAGATCGCTACCCTTTGCAAACATCCAGTCCAGGGTCCCTTCTCATCATCTCTCGACCAGCGTGCTAATCGCTGGGAAAAGTGGGCTTCAACCCCGCACTGGGTTCCCCGCCCCTGGCGGGAGGGGAGCAGTTAATGGTGGGGAAATTATGCCCCGCTTTCATCTTTAATCCAACTTCCATATTCATCAATTTTCAAGAGTTCAGCCTCACATGAGGACCTGTAAAACCTGGTTTCATGTGCTCTTAAGAGACAGTGTCGCTTACGTTAGAGCACACTTCAACTGATTTGTAAAGGGCTTACGGCTTATTGTTTCCCCGCGTAAACAAGGAACTGTTTCGGTGTGGAAGTGTTTTTGGTTTCTTTCTTTTGTTTATTTGTTTATTTTTATTCTCTCTCTTTTTTTTTTTGACGGCGGACTTGTGGCATCTCGGTCTAGAGCATGGTTGCTTCTCTAAAGAACACCAAGTTCATGCTAAGGTCATATCAACTCGCAAAACTTGAGTCGTAAAATCGTAACGTTTTTTCTGGGTTTCAAAAGAAAGTCACCTGTGGTTACTGCTTGTTACTCTTTTTTTTTAAGGCGAGGAGATGCGAACGATGAACGATTTTTCAGATGCGACTCCTTCGCCGGAGCGGCGTTCGCCATCCTACTTTTCTAAGCCCCTCGGAGTTTGGACCGGGAAATCGAGGAGGGTAAAATATTAACGTCTGCTCAATTCGCTGCTGACTGGATGAAGAACTTGAAGGCAAGGAGGTGTATGAGGTCTATCAAGAAGGTTCCATGCATGCATTGACACCAATTGTGACTGTTACACAGAGGAATGGGGATAACGGGGTCCAGACCTTCGTTGATGATAGCCCGAAGACATCGAACAATGGCTCCTCCAGCCACGGATCACTAGACCTTTCACCTCCTCATGTGTTGCCTCTTAGCCATTACCAGGCTCAAACTTGCTTGGTAATCCGTCGATGGACAAGATGCAACCAGGACGAAACTGATGGCCCAGAGACTAGCTGTTGGGGAAGCCTTGCAGTCTACGGCGCTATATTGCAGCAGAAAGTCTGTTGGGAAGAAGTGCCGACCTTCAGACAGTCATGATTGGTTTTTGATATCCGGGCTCCTGATGCCCGTGCCCAATGCTCGCAGACAGACTGGTTGTCGCATCTTACCAATCGTCGTTCAAGGCAACCAGTCCATGTAGCCTCCTGGGTAGGGGTGCAACTGCAACCATTCCATTCAGTCAAACAACCTAACATCATTGGAGGAGCACGAGGCCTCTTCATGCTCCGGGAAATGTTCCGGACCAGGCCTTTGGGTTCTATTCCTCCCTGCTTCCCTTCACCGCTTGGTGTGCCGGTCTGATATCATCACCGTCCAAGCCGATATCCTCAACCGATCAGCCCATGGATCACAGCGCATCTATGGCAGTCTTGAAATAATAAAATGGATGATATCACTGCAATTCGAACATGCATGCACGGGGAGTTATCGATCGATAGCTGGGGGGAGGGGGAATATCACGATATAACAACGTAATCTACCATTCTCAGGGCATCTCCATCGACACAAGCTGCTATCTAACCACAACATCGCCTGAGATTCTCACATACTTCACCGAGATTTATACCAGAAACTTGTCAAAATAGGTTGTTTTGCGCCTCAATTTGTCGTCAATCGATCGATTGCTCCATCAGAGAGACGGGCACATCACCATGGCGGACAAACCCTGTGCCCACTACTACACCAGTTGCGGTTGCACCAACACGGTCAAGAAAGACGAAGATATATGCGCAAAGTGCAAGAAACAGGGCTGTCAGTGATGCGGAAGCGGGGAAACACCTGGTACCTTTCCCAGCAATAGTTTGTCCTCTAGATCACACCCACAGCCTTCACGTCATGGTCCAGAGGCTTCCATGAGAGAAGGCTAGGCATAGTAACGACATATGCCTTTGTCGCTGAGGGCCTCGATGTCCTGCTCTCAACAAAACTCTAGCGGGAAACTGAGAATAAAATGTCTGGATCTCATCCAAAGCTCTTTTCTCATTCAAAATTCCAGTACATCCACGTGCAACTTGTCAGGGAGGGCAACTTTCAACAAGATATTTCAGCGAAGAGATGCCGAGTATTGGATCGAGGACTCAAGAGCCTTGAAGAAACATGCGTTATCTCGGAAAGGGCGTTTTGGGATCAACGCATGCCAACTGGAATGGATATCAAAGGGCGAGTCTTCGGGGCAATAAGGACAAGAGACTGAGACACGAAAGGTCCTTATCGGAACGAAGTGTGCTTGTACAAAGTGAGGGCATCTATCCCTCGAAAGAAAAAACAAGATATGTACAAGAGATAAGAGGGGACACACGATTCGCAGGGCAGTGTATGTTTCCCATCTTCCAGGAATATCGCCCGGCAGAGAATAAGACGAAGATTTATAACGCTGAGCGTGTGCTTTTAACAAAGCAGTCTTAGTGTCAAAATACTGGCATCTACGCAGAATTACGCCAACCCTGGATCTCATCGAGAGTCAGGACGTAGTCGTGGTTGTAGATCTGTGTGTTGTTAGCATTAAAAGATTTTCTACGTGCTTGTTTTCGACGAAGTATACTCACGGTTTGAAGAGTTTCGAGCGAGTTCCATTCAGCATTGTTGATGAAGCCGTCGCTCCAAACAGCGAACCACAGCCAGTGCACCTGATAGGCTTGCAGAAGGTCCGGAAGAGGAGCAGCGCCGACCTCGGTGGCAGCAATCATCTTCTTGTCTTGGCCGAGCTCAACGAGCTGGTTATATTGCACAGAAATTGGCTAAAAATGAAGGGTCAGTTTTATTTATTTTTTTTAAAAAAAGTCTCTGAGACACAACTCCGGGTACTTACACCATTGCCCTGCGCATAAACATCTGCGGATAGGATATCGACAGTATCATCGCCTGGGTACCACTCTGGTAGGATCGAGTTCCACACCCACAGGAGGTTATTCAGCTGATGGTAGTTCGTGAGCCGGTCATATAGCAAATTCCACAGTTTCTTGCACGGCTCGGGACCCTTCGCACCCCACCAGAACCAGCCGCCCTCTGCTTCGTGCAGTGGACGAAAGAGAACGGGCACTCCGGCATCTTGCAGCCTCTTCAGCTGCACGGCGATCGCGTCAATGTCGCGGATGATGAGCGTGTAGTTGGCATTGGTCGTCGAGCTCAGCGCCTGCTCGACATCGAAGTCTGTTGCGCGCGTGTAGAAGCCGCTCCACCACCTGTTCTCCTCGGTATCGTACAGACCAGTCGGTGCGTTCCAGTGCCACAAAACTGATACAATGCCGCCACGCTCGTGGTGCTGGATGGCTTCTTCCACGGCGGTGCCAACAGTGCCGCGCTCCACACGCGAGGGGGAGTAGTCCATCAGGTCGACGGAGACAAGGGCCGGAGTCTTCCCCGTCTGCTGGGAGATCCAGTTCGCCCACGAGAGCTCTTGCTGACCGGAGAGAATTTTCTTGCCGTATATGGACTTGAGGTAGTTGTAAAGGGCCTTGGCGTCGGCATTGGCGGCTGGGTTGACGGGGTTTGGGTTGATGTTATGAGCCGCGCGAGGGGCCGAGGGCGTCAAAGTGATGGAATCTATGAGATACCTGGCGTGGAGTCAGTTTAGGGAATGTCAAGGAGCACCTGAGTCTCGATACAACCTACCAGCCCCAGTTGCTGACGATGTCGAGGGTATTAGCCCCTTCATTTAGCAGCACTTGACCACCAGAGACAGTGATGAAGCTGTCGCTGGCAGGGAAGTAAACTTCGCTGCTCGAGGCGCCGTTGAGGACGACAGTTGTGCGCTTTTCGCCATAGATGGCAGCCACACGGATGCTCAGATCGTAAAGCCTGGTGCTAGGGCTGTTGATCTTGAAGGTGATCTTGTCAGAAGACTGATCAAACCCGGTCACATAGCCGCTGCCTATTGCCATGGGTCAGTATTCTCCCATCCTAACTCCAACATAACTTTTTTGTCCGTTCAATGCTTCAGTCCTTACCAGTGTAGCCTGGCTGCGCGGTATCGATGTGCGTCCCAGTTAACACAGCATCTTCGGCCTGGTAAGTGCGAGGTCCCTGACAGGGGACAGCATGGGTGCCGACCGCCAAAGCGGCAATCCCGAGCAGAATCGACTTTAGCGCCCTGGTCATTGTTGATCAAGTTTCATGTGGCCAACGCAAGGGAGAAGGCACGAGGAGACAGAGTCCTAAGTCAACAAAAATATTCACGGGCGCCGCATGGCCTCTTTAACATACGTAGTTCCATGATCAACAATTGCAAGGGATTTATCGGCGCGAAGCGAGCCGAATACTCCAAAATTGTGTCCCATTGTTCCATCGAGTGGATGCGTAAAGTGTCCAAGTCTGGGGCAGTCGAGGACAGAGGACGGAAGGTCGCACTCCGGGGAGGTTTTTCAGGGACAAGGCGCCGTAGCATCGCAAAGCGTATTCGTGGGAATTGTTGCATACCGAAACAAAAATTGCCATTACATCATCGTCGCATTCTAGCGATTCGGGAGGAATACTCTTTTCGTTTGGTAGACCCGGTGATCATAGTCAAGACTGACATTGTCCGTAATTGTTGGCTAGGGGAGCATCTCTTTCATCATGATAGGTACCTAACCACCCACTCTGCCGAAAGAACAGTGATAACTTGGCCGCCCGTATAGCTCCCTGCCAGAAGAGGCATTCCCGGGACCTGGCTCATCCGCCTTGGCGCAAGGAATAAATATTTAGGTAGTCGCTGTGTAAACACAATCCTGAGCTCTTCCTTCGTCTGCGGAACCTAGGAATAGAACTCCTATGATGTACTGAATGATTTAGAAGACGGAGAAGCCTGGGGACTACAAGCTGTGAATGTTTGCGGGCCCGAGTTGGACCCTCGATACGTATCCGTAGTTAAGATTAGATTAGGTTAGTAGGATAAGATAAGTACCAGTGGCACCAAGCTACCTTAATTGCCCCATTACCGTTCTCTACATCTTTCGCTTCTTTGCAATACCTCCACCCCAGCTATACAAACTGCACGGAATCTCAATTGTGTGCGGCTGTGTACTGTGTACAATCATCCTTGGAGCGCCTGCTTTTTCGGTGACATGCCCCGCAGCGGGGCAGTCCTGATGGAAGTTGATGGTTAAGTACGATGTATGTAGGACAGATGGACTAAAGTCTGAGTTGCAAAGAATAACAATGATGCAGCTTTTTAAGTGCATCTAATACCATGTAGGCTACATGACAACTACATAATGCATGCGTCATTGGTCAGTCAGGATTCCTGCTGTACATTCACGGCATGTATACAGTAGACACTGTTGAAGTGAGTACGCCCGCGTCTAGAGGCACAATCGGATACAGGTCCTCCATTAAAACAAAGCCTCATGGGAGCAGAGTAGCGACTCATGGTGATATTCATTCTGAGAGTGACATGGTCTGTTAGTTCTATACTGTCGTCTGCAGTTTTCTCTCAACACGGCTGCCGATCGATATCAAACTGCAGACTCGGTTCCTGGAAAGTTACGCTGTCTCATCTCGTGTCAAGTATAGGAGTCTACATAACATGAGCACCAGAATCATACCATCACGATATGGGATGGCTAAAATATTTTTCAGCTATAGAATAGAAGTGCTGTTCAACGAGAGTTGGTATGTCAACTTGCTTACACATTGATGCCAAGTGGCCCTAACTCCAACTCGGTTTTATGAAACCCATGAAGCGTTCAGTTATCAAGCTAAAATGGAAGTCCTATAGGTCGAAAACCCACATGGACGATTTAGACATCAAAGTAGAAATAAGTTTGTGCAAGGCTCCTGAAGCAGTGAGAATGATATGCCGTTTGTGTGCCTCAAGGCCCTTCAGCAGTACTAGAAGAAGAAAAGTATCCTCGAGGTAATGATAATATTTGAGGGTTTAAGTTCTGCGAACGTTGATGACACTATCAGGAACTACCTGAGGGTTTTCTCTCGTCTTTGTTACGTGGATTACCTTTATTCCTTCAGATATTTGAGGACTGGCCAATCACCAGTCTTTGGCAACTTCAACGGCCATAGTTTTCAAGATCTCGATAATTCAGATCCTGATTGGGCTGGCATTCCTAGACTCTCCCAGGTCTGAAGAAGAGTCCGTGATGTCCAGTGGATGTTCAAACCAGTGGCTATCATAGATGGTAGGGCTGCGAATGACAAAGGAATCCCTCGTGGGGCTGTTTTTCCTCTGCGCTGAAGCAATTTGAGCATCTTGAGGGTCAGAGTCATCACGAACCGGCCATCTTTGAGGCAAACGTCGAGTCATGCGTTTAGGAAGGAAAACGGTCTCTAAGTGGCCAAGCAATTGATGGGGTCGTTTTGAAAGCAGCGGGAGCTGAGGAGGACCAATCAGCAGAATGAGAAAACATATTTCATGCCTATGTCACCCTCGTCAACATGGACGGGTATTCTCGATAGACCAGGTTCAACCCTAGTATGGTTCCTTCGTGAGCAGTCATCGCATCGTTTTTTTCATTACATCACAAGATATCATGAATCTTGTGCGCGGGATTCAGTACAGAGCATTCCAAAATCCAGAGATGTTATTAGATATCTCGTTCAGCGGTCCCACTTCATCGTCATGGAATTATGCGCCAGGAGGAGACTTGAAGCATTTTTGCAACGATCATGCTGATTTGATCATGTTAAAAACCCGAAGCGATCGATATGATTCGTGGTATCGCTTGTTCCAACTTTTGCTCTCAACGTCGTACATATTTGTCATTCGGTTAAGTCTTCAGGGAGTCTTGGGAGTACATAGACCGTGAAATATGAGTATCTGCTGAAAGTGCGCTACGAAATCATCCATTTGGTTCTGTTACGTTAGTTGACCAGGCATTTCACAGCCTAATGTTCGAATAGGACGTATCAAGACATCAGAAGCCTTTTTTTCTTCATACATCCTCCAATAAGGCAAAGGAAGCTTTCAGAGCTTATGCCAGACCATGCTTCAAACTTTCGAATTTCGGCAAGTCTGCTTGTCAAGGAGCATGGAAAACCGTCAGTAATAGGGGTAACCGCGAATACGGTAAGCGTTTCGACAGTGCTCTTGTTGTACGTTCACCGCTTGCTCACTCTCTTACCTTTTTAGCGACCTCCGAGTGCAGAGAGACGGATGCGATCGACGAATGGGTCTAAAAAATTATGCCACAAACTTCCATTATCTGGGGTTTCGGTTGCTTGTTCAGCGAGATGTTTATCAGAGTAACTCTGAAGAGCGGGGTTGTTGAGGACTACTGGAAGGTCCGCTACGATGAGAACACTACACAGTTTTGGCTGCTTATCTTCCCCAGCACACATGACTCCGAATGCTTTTGCGAACGCCGTGGCCGCATCAAAGCTGTTGATGAATAGTACAAAAAGGCTTTAGCAGAGTATCCCGATGACGATGCACTCTAGAGAGCCAGCAAAGTGATCCTGGACTAGATTCTTCTTCCACATGAAGAGCGCAGAATTCTGCAGAAGGTCGATCTCTGGGAGAAATGGGCTGAACTTGTTTGTCGCATCCATTCTGCCGTTGTCCCCTTTGCCTGCTTCTCCCTCTTAACCAACCCCATTTCCCGTCGCTGTTGCTGCCACCGCTGTCCGCTGAGAATATTCTAACAATGGTTGAGGTCAACGTCTTCAGTGATGGTTCCGGGGTGGTCTGCTCTAATGTGCAAGACCCTATTGACGATTTGGGAGTTTCGTTCCTAGGGCTCTGGCGTATGTCATCCAACGTCAGGTGGGGGATCTCTCGCTGGTTGCAGTGAGCCTTGCCTTTGGTTGATTGTTAACCTCCCTTCAAGCGAGGAACGCTGACAGGCTGCCTCTCCTCACCAAGCCCAATCGTTTGGGTGGACTAGCCACTTCCTTGAGAAACAGGTGGCGAAACGGACTGCTTCTCTACGCTAGGCTTATTATTTGTTCCAATTGACTAGTCTTTTCCTGCTGGAAGATTGATTGATAGGCTGTTTCTCCCTGGGAACCGACCAAGGTGATTTTGTTAATCGGTAGGCCAAGCATGAGGCAATCCGAACTGCAGCTATGCAATTATACGTGCAACTGCCCTCTCAATCATATAAGTGGCTAATAGATTGTGAGCAAGTAAAGGAAGAGATCGACCTGATCCCTGAGGAACTTCCAGTGCTTCAAGTAGCGGGTTGGGTTCAAAATCCCTTCAAATTTTACAACGTATCCAGACTCTCGTTGGAGTACTGCCTGAATCGTATTTGCGGTAACAGAATACCGATCAATGTTGTATGATCCCACAAGCGAGCAGTCTGACCTGATCAGTCGATCTTAGACATAAGTGCTAACCAAAACAGAGGGAGACTGGAGATGCGAGTACCGGAGCGTCTACCTCCCACGTCAACTGATACCGGCGAGTTTGAGCGGCTAAGTAGCCTTTGATGCGCTTATCTGGAGCACTAACCGATATGATCTGTTCAGGAAGGAAAAACGCAGATATACAATATGTGTTCACGTCCAGATAGGAATTCCGGCTGGCGTGCTGATACTCTTGTCCTGATGCGCATTCGCCACGAGAAGACGGAAATATGTAAACAATATTTTGTTGAGCAGATCATTGGCGTTCCACCAAATAGTCAGTTGTTTGAAGTTTGACTCAGGCTAGACATTCTTGTGTGATCGAATGTTGCAAACATCTGTTAAATTGTACAGAAGTTTTGCTATTAAAGTTAGTCGATACACCGAATCCCATTTAACGTATCTACGCTACACGCCAAGCACTATCGTGCGGACATTGGGACTGCAAAAAATCGCTGCTAGACGCGGAGATTGTGATCGGGCCGGCCCCACTTGAAGAGGCTGAATGAGGGAAGAAACGACGTCATTGTTCCGCGACGCGCTGTGGACAGGCGACGTTTTCAAAACTGAATTCCCACCGACCTGGCATGATAAAGAGCCGACCTTTCTCTATGCTCAGGTGGTCTCTGCCCTGAGTCCCCAACTGCCGAGCACTGCCTGCCGACGGCTGGAAGGACTCAATACTTATAAGTAGCACCCGAGCACAAGTGTGTCATCTGTTGTCGGCTGATTGCCCGACTGCTTGTTGACCGCTTGATCCTCGGGTAGATCGGCACCGATCAACATGTGCAGCCAAAACGGGGATGGAAGATTAGATAAGTGGACCCACCAAACTGCCAAGCGATCTTGTGAAAGGAGATTCCCCACAAAAGTGAACCGCGCGTCAGAGGAAGGTGTGCTGCTAAGGAGGCCTCCGCATCTACCCCTTCCCAGCTCTGTTTCCCGTGTCCTTTTTCTTCAAAACAACAGCAACTTTTCGACGTCGTACCTCTTGCGAAAGTCAATCGTGATCAAATTCAATCATGTCGTACCCGCAACAGCCCAAGTAAGTCGCAGCCGCTGACCTCTCCATAGCCCAATTACGTCAGCCGAGTTCTCGGTCGGCTGTTACCTATTCTCTAGGCTCGCGCGCCTGTCCCTGAAAAAGGGATTGGGAGCTCCTATGCCTTGGGCAAGCCATACACCTGTTCGCCATCAAGGCGCCAACCACCAGATCACGAGCTAATTGACTTTCTTCTTTGCAGCGCGCCGTACTACCCTCCTCCGCAGGGGCAGCCCGGGCCTTATCCTCCTCCCCAGGGCTACGCGCCGGGTCCCTATCCGCCCCAGGGTGGTTACCCTCCTCCGCAAGGTGGTTACCCGCCGCAGGGTCAGATGCAGTATCAGGAGCAGCCACCAGCTAAGGAGGAGAAGAGCCACGGATGCCTGTACACATGGTGAGTCTTCTGCTGATGGAGCGCAGACCGAACCAATGGGCTTGGAGCTTGGAGGGACTTGCGACGCTAACTATGATCTCAGCATCGCTACGATCTGCTGCTGCTGGTTGTGCGGCGAAGCTTGCGAGTGCTGCCTTGAGTGTCTCGACCTCTGCTTCTAAAACGCTAGAGAATTTGAGCCCCGTTAGGTAATACGACTGAGCCACAAACGTCGCGATCTTCGCTTTCGCCGATGTCTAAAGTACTTGATCGGGAGCCTACGAGTCGCACGGGAGAATGGAGCGACGCGCGCGTTGATACATGGTCCTTGAAGGGTGGATTGCAGGCAGCGGCGGCTCTGGATGCGACAGTTCTCTAGGGGTCGGGGTAACAAGGATCTGGGAATTTGGGAAGTGAATGCTAGGAGCGCCGAACATTGCGACTCTACGCGGGTCGAGTTTGACGATTTCGTATCTTAATCTTGTCATCTTGCCTTGTCATAATCGTCTGCTGCGTTTCTTTCATAATACCCGACATTTATTTTCCCTGCGTAGATCACTGCCATTTTGGTTGGGATTCGGTCGTGAGGTTTGGCTTCCAGAGGCCCGTTGGCGGTCGCCCACGATGTGATGGCGTGTGGCCTGACGACGGGGCTTGGCGACGCGTGGTAAGCTCTCGCGGCTTCGCAAACGGCGCACTCCTTTTTGATGTGCTGAGCACGTGACCCAAACAAAAAATCACATGACGCGATCTACGCTCTGCGTCCCGTTGCTCTGGCAATGTCAGGGCTAAGGTTATGCGAGCCCGTCAATATAAATAAAGCTTTTCAAGGGGTTTGTGACTGAGAGTTCTTATCAGGGTTTGCATCCCCAGAACACTATAAGGATTGTCATCATTTGGTGGTTTGGTAATACACGGAGATACCTTGCATGCGTTTGCAGAAAACTGTTGCGTTGGCAACTCAACGGCTTGTGTCCTGTCAGCCCGACTAAGGATCCTTTGGGAGCGACGTTCAGGATCAGATCAGGTAGTCCAAGAGTGGAGCCTAGCTTTGTGTTTATCTTCCATTTGCCAGCATCATTGGTAGGTCGTTCGTTACTTCTCAGAAATTGATCAGCTTGATATTTGCTAAGAGACAAACTGGCAGTGCTTGAAGTTTCTATTACACTTGTTTTCTTAACCTCATCTTCAACGACAATCTCTAATTAATTGACAGACATGGCATGCTATCACGTTTTTACCATCCACAACGCTATACAGGTGCTCAGGTGACAAGTTTCCAGGGCAAGCTGATGCTTTGTTCAAGCTGCTAAAACGCAGATCTAGCGCAGGTTTTGCACGACATACCAGTAGCACGTATCGCCTTTCCCATCACTGTTTTATATAATTTTATGGTCTGTTTTGTTTGTGCTTAACCAAATAGACTATGAATACCAGTCAGAGGTTTTTTTTTTTGCAATCCAATCATCGTCATTTCTGGGAATGGGAAAAGTCTGCTAATGAGGAAGTCTTGAGTGAAGAAATTGGAATAGCACACTAGCCAGAGAATTATAACATTACTGAATGCTTCACTGAGTTTTATTATTACCTAGTAATCAAAGCTCGGTATCATCAAAAATCAGAAAGCATACTCTTGTTACGTGCATTGTGGCATCATCGTTAACCAGAGACACTGGATGGTTATCTCATTGTTGAAAGAGTAATTATTGATCAATTCCCTGGACTCCTTAATTCAGAGTTGCACAGTCGAACAATTGCTCATTCATGTTCTATTTCTGTTGAATTCGATTACGTCCACAAGATACGCTGAGAAGAGGGAGAGCGATCAATACATCTCTCGCCAGGCTCCAGTTCCATCCATCTTCGACTTTCATCTTGACCTATAGGGAGGACAGCAGCAGCCGCAGTAGGAGCCAGCTTATGACATGTTTCTATCTTTCTTCATTTACAATAACCTTTCCAGTTTTTCCCAATCAAAATTCCTTCCAGCATGGTTAGTCATTCACATCTCCACCAAAACCAGCATCCTGCTGCTCGGTCAACTTGTAGTTTTCCATCACCTATCACCCCCCAGTTTTATTACCTTTTCAACGATATCATTATAGCTAACTCCACACACTTGAATTATTCCCTTGAGTCTACCAGTTAGTTCTTGTCCAGCTGATGGAAAGCACCCGATTGTTTGTGTCGAAACAAAGCCCACTTTCGCGGTACTGAAGGAAACTGAACCAAGTGTTCATCAGCCGATAGCACCATGCCATCTTATTATTCCCGTGGGCGAGTTCCCGCCGGCAATGCGCAGGATATTGTCGATGGCTTAGATCAGCGGTCCTCGCAGGCGGTAATCGTTTGGGCTTCTCCCACCGCGCCCCAGCCGACGATCTGTTGCTAACTACGGCAGGCAAAGCCCGCGCAGTCCTCGCAGTCGCCGTATCCAATCGGCCAACCAGTCCAGTCTCCTGGCTCCGCGATGCAGCAGAGGGCCATTAGTCAATTTTTGAAGCCTAGTCACATGATCACACCAGAGTATCGGATCCGTCGCGATAACCCTACGATTCAAGATGTTATTGACAGGATAGTGGCGGGCTTTTCAGCAAACTATCGTGGCGACATTTTAGCCCAAGCCAACAAAGCTGCTAAAATCCCAGACGACGAAAATTGCTCTGTCTGGATGTCGGGTCTTCCTCCCAATGTCACTTACGCCGAGTTGCTGAGCTCAATTCGAGATGCCGGGAGGGTTTGGGCTTCCCACATCCGGCCTGCAACGGACAAATATCCAACACCTGGAGCAAAAGTCACATTCATGACCCCGAAAGCAGCAAAAACACTCATTGAGCGTCAATATCTTTTTATTCGCGACCGTTACGTTCGTGTTCAGTACGACCGAAACAAGGTCTCGAAGCCGCAGGTTCCGAAGGGCCACACACGAGTTCTTTGGATTTATGGTCCAAAGGAAATCGTGAATCTTGAATTTTTAAATGATCTATTTGCCAGAACATGTCAATTTCAGACAGAACATGCCGAGCTTCTCTGTAAGGGCCAGGTGATAAACATCATTGAGTGGAAATTTAGCAGCTACCGCTGCCAGGCTCAGTGGATTTATTTGGGCCTGAAGAACTTAGCAGATCTTGGGATCGATGTCAAATTTATGATTGACCCTTGTGACACCTTCGAAGAAAACGATGATGGCAACGGCAAGGATTGTGTGGAAGAGGAGGAGAGGAGTGGGGAAGAGAGGCTGGATGAGCACTTTCTGTTGCACTGACCGCGAGCACTTTCCAACAATGTAGCCTAGTTCCGGCTTCCTATATGTTTGCCGTCACATTCCAGACATGTTTAACTGCCAGTGATAGGGTCCAGTGATATTTTTTTCACCGATACCATCTCGCCATAGTCAAAATGTTGGTGCTCGTCAAACCAGCTGTCGCATACATGAAAGATGTCTTGATCGTGGCAAGTAATCCAGGTCCCTGAGGAAATATTATGTTTCTGACTGTCATTAGGGTTCTTGCATCCATCTCCAATACAATTACAGAGTGCTTAGCTTGTTATTCTTTTGATATGGAAAATATTGACTGAAGTATCAAAATGGAGATTCATGATGACTGCGTCAGAGGAAATGCGCCAACCACTCTTCCTGCCTGATTATGTGATGTCATCACACAGTCCAAGCAAGCCAAATTTGCCTCTTAACTCATAACTTCTCGAAAGCAAACAGATATCTGCTTTTGAAAACTGAATTACTTGATCATTATTTACTCATATCCCCATTTATGCCTAGAGGCCCTCATATCGACTTTGCAAGTCAATTAAGACTGCCTTCTGTAGATACGGAGCTGAAGAGGTCATGTTCACATCCTATCTAGAGACAGCAACCATAATTATTTGACCGAGAGAGAGTACAATATGGTCACATCATCGTCCTCAAAGTTTGTGATCCCATTTCTCAGCTGGTGTAGTACTTCTGTCAGCAGTTTCCATCTGCTCGATCCCTTCATCCTGAGTCCCCATCACTTTGTTCTATCGTGCTAGCACCAACGACAGGTTGTTGCGGTTAATGAAACAACATTGAGAGAATACAGTTAAAATGAAAATCATGACTGAATCATGCATGGAGAAAAGCCGGCGTAGATTTCTAGTTTTACCCACAATAGACACGACAGGGACGAGAGGGAAATTTGAAGGAATTGGGCTCCATTCTTTATGGAGCTTATTGAGATCTGGAAGGAAAACTTCCTGCTTACTGTTGTCATTGAACGAAAAAAAGTGGAAGCATAATGAGACTTGACCGAGAATGAGGAGAACTTCTGAGAACTTTCCATCTATTGGACAGCGAAGTTCAGACCAGTGAAGCGCAAAGTTTCGCGCAGGTTCCTTTCCCACTATTGTGATGAGAGGACAATAGCAGAAGAGCAACAGACCGGGGCATAGTATGTGTGGCCACGAAATAGAACCCAACCGTATTTCCCCTACTTGCTCTCATGGGCTCTCATTTCCTCTTCCCCACAGCCAGAAAAGTGCGCTGCACAAGCCTTGTCTCTTCTTCGAAGTTAGAGACCAAACATACTCATTTCCAGACTTTCATCAAGCCATTCTCCTCTGGTGTGAACAGAGTCACTCGCTTCAGCTGCCCACTGAGGGCTGCCGCCTCAAGGACCTCAAATCTTCACTTCCACTTCTCCTGCCGATATTTTTGAGCTTACAGCCAGCATGCAACCTGAAAATTCAAGATAGACGGCGACAAGAACCAATCCAATCAGCGGGGCGCTGGTGCTCAGGCTTGCTTTCCGACTGCACAGACATGTTCTTTTTGGTAGCATCAACCAAGAATGCTCTGCTGCACTCGGCAGCAGCATGGTAAATTGGCACGACACTGGGAATGATTTCCAGTTTCATGGTGTTGTGATCGGGTACGCTCTGCCTCTCTACGCACTTACATCTCTCGAGAAGACTCTTACATATCTGGATACTGACCGAATAGGACACTAGAAGGGTATAACAAGTCAAAACTGCCGTTTATAGCGATGATATTATCAAGAGAAACAATGAAGATGCCGATAAAGAATGCCAAGGAGCATAAATGGAAGCAGTTGATGTAACGGGTGACTTGGTCTGGTACAGGCAGGGATCGACAATGGGTCAAATGGGTTAGATGATGGCCACTGACGATGTGGGGTGCACAGCGAAGTCAATTACTACGTGTAATAATCTTTCTAGGTCCTCAGTGTCCTTGTGTCAGGGAGAGGAGGAACCAAGAGAAGTCTATCATGACCGGGCAGCTTCCTTTATAGAATCTTCATCATGCCTGGGCCATATGGCTCATTCTCTTCGGTCATCCGGCTCTGAACATCTTCCAGGGTCAACCACGTATTTGTGCCGCTCACAATCATGCTGTCTCTGGTTCCCTTATGTTGGCAGTTGGGGACATCCCTTTCCTTGGACTGCCGTGTCCATGTGACAGTTGATCCGACATCCCGATGTTTACGTAATCCGGATCACAATAATGGACGTAGGTCCGTTCACTTAATCGGCACTCTTCCTTGAATTACGTTCGTGATCTCCAGATGTTAACGAGTTCATTGGTCACTAGCAGGTGATTTTGTTAGAAAGATATATAAAGCCAAGCAATTGCCGAGGGGCAGCGGCATCCGGGGAACCCGCAGTATATGCTCAGTAAGGTTGGGCAGCGACTCAGGTGTCGAGAGTATCACACTTATGCCAATATGCACCACGTTATTTGACAAACTACAGACAAAACAAAAATAAGAAGGTACACATCAGTGATATGACATAACCACTATTGCAGCTCAGCACACCCCCAAACCTGCATATCACCTGGAAAATCACTCCTCATCCAACGGCCCGAATACTACCTTATCCCTTCTCTCCTTCGGGCCCAACCCCTTCCCTTTCCCCTTTCCCTTCCCCTTCGGCGGTCCCGTAACCCAAGGTGGAAACGGTCTCACCCTTGTCGTGGTGGTTCTGACAGAAGTACGTGCCGTTGTCCTAGTCGATGGCCTACCTGTTACGGTTGGGCCGACAGTAACTGTGGTAGACACGGTTCCCCCAAGGCCAACGCCCGTGGGGAGTCCGACTGTAGGCAACCCTACCGTCGGCAGGTTGACTGTGGGTAAACCAACGGTGGGTAGACCTACCGTGGGTAAGCCGACGGTAGGCAGGCCTGTCAAAGTGGGAAGTGCTGGGTTCCCAGCCGGTGGTTGAGGGCCCCATGTGGTTGTGGTACTGACCGTTGGGAAGAGAGATACGATGGGGTAGGGTTGCTGGCTCTGGCGTGTTGTGATCACGATGAAAGAACTGGTGGTGGAGGTTTTGCGAGAGGATGAAGTAGTGGCAGCCCTGGTTGTTGTGACTATAGGGGGTTGGGTCACGATCAAAGGCGGCTGACGCGAAGTTGTTGTTGTCGCTTGTGGGATTACAGACTCCGCGGCCACTTCTGTCAACAAAGTGGGAAGCACATCGCTGCCAAGCTTGACGTCACGTCGTTCTTGACCTGATTCGATGGTGTCGAAGACCTCCTGGGGGATCTTTGCGACACTGAGATCGAGCGAGAAGGTACCCCTGGCGTCGTGAATGCCGAAAGTGCTGGTGTTGCTGCTTGGAGTGTTTGGAAGACGAGTGTTCTTGGCCCAAGCGAGTGTATTGACGCCATTGGGATTGAGAGATCCTCCCTCCCACTGACTGCATCCCTTGCAGAGAACGTCAAGTTGCCAATGAGTGGCATTTGCTGTTGATGTTGGCAGAACAGTGTAGCTGGCTCCGGCGTAGGCACCAGGCACAACACGTCCCCTTTATGTTGTCAGTGAGTCTTCGGAGCCGAATGGGGAAGAGAGCATGGCTCTTACGTGCTCCAACGCGAAGAGACGACGACGCTATCTCCATTTGGCCATGCCACGGTCAGGGGATTGTAGTTCATTCTGCCGCCCCATCCAACAGCTGCCCAGCCTGCCTTGTCTTTGGGCGCAACAAGTTGGAAAAAAAGGTCGAAGGGTGCGGAGGCAACATCAGGGATTGCCACTCGGTAGATGATACTACTGGCAGGTTCTACCCACTCAGAGAAGCAGATCTCTCCATCATCCGGGCAATACTTGGTTGTTGTTGCTTGCCTCTTGGCTGGGTCAAGGGTTCTCGCCGAGACTGTGAGCACTTGGGCATTGCTGAGAGCCCAGATGGTCAAATGCTTCCAGTTCGTCATGGTTCCAGAGGGACGCTCATGAATATGAGATCTTAGAAGCATCTACTACAGAACATTCAAAGAGAGAGAGAGGAGGGGGGGGGAGAGCCAACTTCAGCTTTATACCGGTCCCTCTTCATCTTGACCAACCTCTCCATCCGTCTCACAACATTAGATGCAACGTTCGGAACAGCGAACAACCGCATATGCAGGGGCAAACTCATCCTCTGCAGTCGCCGGGATTAAGTTTTGGCCAATACAAATTAGCACTTCGATTTTATGAAGGCTACTGGGGAAGTCCGTCAAGATATAAGAGGAAAGCCGGGTCAGACTGTGGAGTTCTTGGTTCAGACCTGGAGCACACAAACAGCCAATCTGGATAAATTCGGCTCGGTAAAGGAACAACCATAACAAGCTCAAGCCAGCTTCTCCGCCCCGCTCCCCTAACGAAACGTCACGGAGTTACTGCCGCCGTTCTTATCAAACTCTAACACTGATGCGTCGTATGGATGACGTGCTTCGGTAAGGTCGCAATTCTGGCAGTCAGGGGGACAGCAGCGTATTGTGTGGTGTTTGCAGAAATTTGGAATTCAGATTCTTCAATGACTCCTGAAGAGCACGAAAAATGGTGGACGGTCTGATTCACTATCTACATCGAGGATTGATCTGTGCATGTTGAACTCATCTCACACGGAAACAAGAGCCAAGCGAACGACTTGTTGAGGACGCCATCGGGGTCAACACTAGTGTGACGGCTTCAGCTTAACTTGGTATTGGGGGGAGGATGCCGATGAGGAACCCGGTCTGAAATCCGATACCTTCATACGGGTGTCGGAGACACATGGTTCCTATATCGCATTTTACGATAAACACCGGCTCCGGAAGACCCTCCATTCCAACAGCTATCCCCACCGGATTAGGGGCCGCTGGTCTGCTGTAGGCGCTTGGGCCTGGGGGAACAACCCCGTCAAGACCTGCCTGTTACGGAAAGTGGGGTTTCGGGAGTCGGAGCTCCACCCGGCGGGCTGGCCCCGCATCGACCCCGAACAGAGGGCGGAGAGATGTGTGCACCAGTGGCCGTATTTATGGGAACATGCCCCGCAGTATATTCTTTTGCTGAACAATCTCCGATTGTAATCGACTATCGAACTATGTGTCATTAGAACTATGCGTCTGCTGAAACTAACCCTCGTAAATCCTAACAAGGCTTGTGAGACCTGATAAGGCCAATAAAAAACATACCTGTCAAAGTTTTAGTCAACAACTCTAGGACGAGCCTAACCAGCCCAGCCTCCTCTTGCAGCCTGTCTCCTTCTTTCAAATGCCATATCCGATTTAAAGGTGCTGTATCTAGCTAATATCCAACAGCTGCACTAATGTGGCAACTGCATGACAGACGACAGATCTCCAGATTTACTTCCCAAATATTCAACCTTTTTTTCGAAAACGGAAATTACCTCCTGCTCAAAATTCATCTTCCAGACTCTTACTTTCCGATGTACGAACCTATTAAATCCCCCTTTACCAGACTGGAACCATTATCGCCTCTATCTTCTTCCTTTAAGCTATCACCGTGACATCTTTTCTATGACAGATATCTCTGCTGGATAAGATGCCTTCTAACCAAAACAACGATGTCGTCCTCTAAAGAGCCGTGAGTCTCGGCGGATGTCGTGTGCGTCTGCCTCTCTTCCCACTCGTGGCCATCTTCCATGTCTCCTTTTAAAATCTCATACCAGAGCGGTATGCCGAGTGGTCTCGTCAGGATTGTTCCTGAAAACTCTTGGTCAAGTAAATCAATTATGTAATTGAGCCTTGCATATTCCTCTTCCCAGTTCTTCATGTTTTGCGCAGACCGCGGGCCCTTTGCCAGCGTCCCGATCAAGACTTTGATTCTAGAATTTAGCCAACCCTTTGTCTGCCCAACACTGCATTCCTGAGTTTGAGAGGGAGATGAGCTCCTTACATTTATGGGTGGCACCATCTTCGCTAAGAAAACCGTGATGCAGAGTTCAATTGAATTGCGAGTTGGAGTTCCTGTGATAGTGGAACGCTCACCAACAACTCACCTGTCTTAAGTTATGTACGCGCGAGAAGCATTCCTGTACGATCTTAAAAAACGTGTCCGTTTTTGGCAGTTGCTTGCCCTAAGACACTGCGTGTTTGCTGACTGACACAACACAGGAGGTTTCCACTGAACTGTACCTTTCACTCACGAAATTCCCACTGTAGCAAGTCCTGACTGATGTCACGTTCTTGCTTTCAAGCTACAACGCCATGTCATCAGTTGAACTTGCTGTTTCGAAACATTTTCACAACGCTGGCAACATTAAACAGAGCTCAAGCCCGTTAGAAGCGTCCAGAATGGAATGCCAGCGGAGCGCAGAAGGCTATTGCACATCGCAAAAGCCAGGCCTGCCACGACGTACATGTTGCTGTTGCGTTTATACCGCTTCCATATTCCTCCCTCTGGACGTGTCTCCCGAGGCCTTGCCATCATGGGGTAGAGTTTTCCGAGAAGACTGCACACCTCGTGTCTCTCCTCTCTTGGGGAGCCTCTCGGTTGCCCGTATCTCTCGTACTGTCTGATGCAAAATTATAAGGTCACATAGAGTTTAACACTGCAGCCCAATCTGCAGTCTCCCCACCAATACAGTCAGCATCAATATTAATACTTGAACCCGAACCTTGCAGTGTCATCCCCATGAACTACAAATCAACTTCTTAGTAACACTCAAGTTCTGCATTCTATGTACGGTCAAATCGCATATCCCGAACCTCAGCATCAAGACTTGCAACTGCGTCCCCCTAATGTATTCCATACGCCTACTGAAAGATGACTTTACCCCAAGTATGTACATCCCTAGCTCTGGCTCTCTCTCTCTCTCTCCAAGTCACCTTAGGCAATCAGCCTCTGCACTGTTGCCTCAAAGTTGGGGTTCTTCGCGCGAGCAAAATCATGTGTCCAGTAGCTGTGCACCTCATGAATCGAGATGGATGAGGTCGGACTGGCAGCGTTCGATGGCTTGTTGGGCGAATAAGCCATGGCGAGTCGGTTGCTCCCTCCCGGCAAGACCCAACGTTGGGCTCCCGTGTCGGGCACTGTCCAGGCTGTGCAGCCCTTGCATAGTGCTGTCACTTGCCAGTGTGTCGAGTTGGACTTGGTGCCCCCCTTGATGATGGTGTACTCCGAGCCGCTGTAAGGTTGAGGAGAAACGTGGCCGCTGTGTGAAAGGGGTTAGAAAGCCTGAACAGACCCAGTGCCTTGAATTTACTTACTTGGCCCAGCGAGGAGAGATGATAACGTCGTTGTTGTTTTTCCAGGCCACCAGCAGCGGATTCCTCGGCATGGAACCGCCCCAGGCAAGGCCAGCCCAACCAACATCATTGGGGACAACTAGCTGGACGACGGCATCGTACGGAACATAGTTCTGTGCGTTATCGGGAATCGCGATCCGGTATGTGATGCCCCTTCCGTCAGCCTTGTACAGGATGAAGTCGGACGTAAATGTCAGGCCCGTGTCAGGATCCTGAAAGACGGCGCTCGCGGCCGCTGCTGCTGCTCAGTCAGCATCTTGATCTCTTGTGAAGTCCGGGTTGTTTCGATGAACACTTGCCTGGTTGCAGCAGGGCCGCGACGAGGGCGATCCATGACTTCCACAGCATGTTGCGCGTAATTCTTCAGTGATAGGAGATTTACCAGCAGCGACGGCTCAGTGGGGAGTTAGTTCAGCTAAGTCGTTATACGACAAAGACATACTCAAGATTTCGAGCGATTGACCTTGGCGGCGGCAAAGCAAAGATGCACGACAAGACCAGATGAGCGGAAAGCCCGGCTTTTGAGTTGCCGCTTACACTACTTAGATACGATGGCCCAAGACCGCCTAAGATATGGGGAACAGGAACATTCCCGCCACGAATAAATATAGCGGGCCATCTTGGCGGAATGCAGTCGGCATCTAACAACCCCCATGCCGGGATTTTGGCTCTCGGACGCAAGATGGAGCTGCTCCGGATGACACATGTAGCTCACGCGGAGGATCAGTTTGGTTTAGGTGTACACCAAACTTGACGGGTGTAATCGTGTGATACCACCTACTCGGTGCTGTTAATCTAGGGCGACTCGGAGAAGCATCCATATTCAGTGTTGTTGGTGTTGAAGAATGTGCAAGAAAACATATGGAATGTCTGGTTCGCTGTTGCAACGGGCAAGCAACTCCAAAGCCGGCATATTGAGAGATCCTGGGGATCTCGTGTGCGGGTGACGCTGGCATGGTGAATGTGCTGCATCCAAGCTCGGTCGGCATTTTACCCGAACATATTGGATGAACCTGCAATCTCAGAACCTCACAGGTCAGCCTCCGAGGGTTAAATGGATATCTTATATTAAAAGCACTCCTGATGTATCCATCCATGAGCCGCAAGACCGAGCTTGAAGCGGCAGAAGCGTGGCAAAATTCCCTTAGGCGGGAAATGTGACGAAAAAAAAGGGAGCCCTCGGGCATTTCATCCTGGTGCGACCTTCATATTTTCATACCCGTGCTCTCTACATGTATATGCACGCTCGACGGACCGTCCCTGGTTGCTCTTCTTCGACTCACCGGGGCCCTCACAAGCATTGCTAATTTTACTTCCTTGAAGACCAGTGGCTGGGAATGAAGGCGATGTACCATTCAGCGCGTGGGAAGTCATTGAAGGTCACAACATGACCCTATCACAATACTAATTAATAGCTCGACGTGTGTAGTTTAATATCTTTGATCATTTATCTTGTCCAGATCTAGTATCCAGCTGAGTTGACGACCCAGAATTTCAGCTGGTGTGTGACATGTGAGAGAAAAGTTCCAGAATATTCATTGTCAGGCCCTACGTGCCTGACCACCTACGCGCTCTAATCCGGTTTCTAACGTCTTAGCCATTACGTTGCAGGCAACAACAGGACCTTCTGGATGATGTATGTTAGCCTTTTATGGTCTTTAGATATATGAAAGGTCCACGTTCTGCGGTCTTTAAAGGAGAAGCGTTGTTGGTCTTGACGTGCGATTGGCTAAGCTCTCGATCCTGAATACATCTTCTTCACTAAAGACTCGGTATTTTTGGACTTCTACTCCGATGGAAGACATGAGTTTAGGAAGCGATTGATTATGCTTAGTTGCTAGCATACGGTCACATCTTATATATTGCTAGAATTTCAAAAAAGGTTGGTCTAGTGTGTCATTCTATCAAAAGGAAAAATGAGGAACAAATTCATAAAATTATCATCGGGTAGTGTATAACTGGTGTTGATAACGGAAATCGACGTGAATTCCCTACAAAACTTGGCAGATATTGGATCACGGAACACTCGGAGGGGGGGGGGAGGGAAGACGGGAAGACCGGAAGAGGCGCGAAGGGCAGAGAGATACCTCAACATGCTAAAGGGGGCTAAATCTCGAGGAAGCTGTTCAAACTTCAGTTTTGTTCGCTTACTTAGATGCCCGGGTTGAAGGAGCAAAGAGAGCTGCCCTGCTCGACGATGCTCATATGAAAGGCCTCGGAGGTGAGATCGATCCTTTTAGGACCCTACACGTTCAATGTCAGGGTAAACTTTAATTCCGAAACGACGGTTGAAACTTTAAAACTCGTAGGCCCACCTCCTCCAGTTTTCACCCTTGCCCGAGCCAGCCGTGAACAGCCGTAAGGTGGATGGAGCCCATGGCGGCTCTTTAACGTGGAATCGTAAGATCTACCAACGGCACGGCTGGGGTAGCTGGCCTTGATGTCTCCTCCAGGAACATTTCCCCACCAAAGGAGCCAGTACGTCGAGGCGAAGTTGGCGAGAGGCTGGAAGAAAGCCCGAGAAATCTTGAAATCCTGATGTTGACGTTCCAGTTGGGTGTAGCTGCAAGAGTAGCATGCCCTAGGCAAGTAAACGGTAGACTCTTGGGCCCATGCATTCCAAGAAAGTAAGACTGCCAATGTAAAGACGGGACCCGGAACCGGGGGAAACAGGACAATCTCGTGGTAGCTACACACTGACAGCCCTCACGAGCTGGCTGACCACTTGACCTCAACGATTGACGGCTGTGGCGCCGAGAACTGGACGGTCCCATGAGCTTTTGAGCCAGCGGGTTGGTACTTCGCGCTAAACCCTAAATCCTTGGCGCGTTGTTTCCCTCCCCCCCCCCCGCAGCTGCGGCAGCACGCTTCTTGAAGAGCCGCATGCTAGCTCCCGCCTAGTAGCATCGCCGGCAGGCACGCTATCTACGTCAGCAGCCAGCCAGATCGAGTCGGCCATGAGATGGTCGCTCCCGAGATGCTTGAGGCCGATGGCCCGAAGCCGATCGATCGTCCCAGAAAGTCAATAATAGTCTAATAATAACGCACACACTATCGGCATTGGGGTTGGAAGACACTCTCTGCCAAGCAGAGACATCCTGACCCCGCGATCCATTGCAGATGGCAAAAATCGTGCCATGGGAAAAAAAAACGCTTCACGAAGACCAGTCGGGCCGCGTCGACGAGAGGTCCATCTTTGCCGGCCCGGACGGTGGAGATTCTTCGGCCGAACACTTAACAGCCACATAAAAATACTAAATTCCATTGGGATGTGTAGCGATGCGTAGGGATGTAAAAGGCATCGACGAGCCGAAACCCGGTCCCGGCTCCTCCTGGGCTGGTGACAGCTGCCGCCGGCCGCTGTGATCGTTGGCGTCGGATCTGGTACGGGAAGTAACGGGAGATGGTTACAGCGTCGCAGCGGCACAGCATCAGAGCATCACAACATCAGGGACAAGCGTTGGGGACGTTGAGCGCGGCAGGAGCGCATAGTCGCAGTATCTGCGTCATTCTCAAAGCTCGGCGGTGCCCGCGGCTGGTCCCTCTTGCGAAAATGAGGCTCGAAACATCCCGATCCGGCCGACTAGGGGCCAAAAACCCGGGCAGGAATCCGGAGCTTCAATGACAAGATTGTCATTCGGAGACGGTCACGGGTGCCGTTGCAACGATGAGCAACAGCAAGTCGCAGCGGCCGGTGACGGCTTATTTTCGCGAGATTTGTACTGGCCACGAAAATTTATCGCGATCGGAGTGCATGTCACTTGGCCGCGATGCTGTGGTGGCAGTGGTACGCTGTGGCTAACAATTTCATTACGGGTCTGCCCGATCACGCGTTTTTGCAGGACGGGTGGCCAGGTGCTGGTCTGTGCAGGTCTGGACTGTGATCAGGCCATTTCTTTCAGTTTGGGACGATGTGCGTCAGAGTCGACCCAGAAAACTGGGAGAGTGACCCAGGGCGGACCCACTCACGAGCCCAGGAACGCCCCAAAACGGCGACGAAAGCTTGGATTCTTTGATGACAGAATGTCGATTTTGCCCGTGCGGGTCGCCGCAGCAGAACCCTACCACGCCAAAAAAAAAAACCTTTCTCCGCGAGGCCCCGATTTTCGTCTCCATGCACATTTGCACGGCGGCTGGGCAATATCTGCATCGCTGATTTGTGCTGCGGGAATTCTTGAAGGGCCTTGGGGCCAGAGAGATGCCGTCAATTTCCCATTGTCGCGGCACTCGGCGGGCTATTACATCATAGGCAGGCTAGCATGGGCCGCCAGGGGCGACATGGCCATCCTTGGCTGGCGCCGCGCAAACCGGCTCTACGAGCCTTCCGCTCTGCCGCTGCTCGTTCGATCTCATTTTCTGCCCGTAATTGCCAGCACCGCGGCGAGCAGTTATTGAAAAAAAAAGGGCAGGCATTTGTGTTCGGGGAACGGACGACTGCTTTGATTCTGCTATGACATGGCTCAATATTCTTTTTGCCTTGGAAGTCGGATTGCTAAGTTGGATGCTGATTTCTCGTCAGGGCTGTGAAACAGGCCCGTTGTGCGTTTTGTGCGCTATGGAATTCTGGAAACCCCATCAAATCCCATGACTCCAGCGACTACCTGTGCTTAGCTCGTCCCCTCGGAAAGCCGCTCCAGGGCTTGATCTGCAAGAGTGGAGCCGCCCAGCGCCCGACTGCCTGTTCTGGCTGCCTGTCTTTTCGATCTGAGAGCAGGAGGAGCAGGAGGAGCAGCAAGAGCAGCAGCAGAAGCACCCAGCCGGGGAGCGCCGAGCCCCACAGAAAGCGTGCTGGGCCTGGAGCCCAGGGAGACGCTGGGCAACACAGGCACAAGGCGTTGCGTACCTAGGTAGGGATTGCGGGCATTGGCGGGCATGTGCGTGGGGGCGATGCCGGAACGAAGCCAACTTCCGCAAAAGAGCTCCGTCGAAACTCGTACGACTGGGAAAGTGAATCGTCTGGTTTTCGAAGTTTTCGATTCTGTAGTGCCACCACACGCGACCACACACTGCCATACAGCAAAAATGATGTACACTGCCGAGACCGAACGGTGCCGATGACTAGGGGCCACCGAAGGGAGCAACAAACCTTTTAAGCTCGTCCAAACTCCCATGAAGGATGACGGGACGAACCATCAGATCACCCAGATCGCCCACGACAGCAACGACGTCTACAGACCTCACGAGTTGACAGCCCTGACGATCGACACCATCACCTCAGCTCACAGCTTGCTCACCTCACCTCACCTCACTCGCCTCACCGCATTCAGGGAACACTTGACACGCCGACTCAAGCATCCTATCGCCACTCAAACCACCACCAACCACAGCTTTTCAGCATCTACGGTTCCCGCAGCCCAAACTCAGACAGCTCCAGCACTCCAACGCTGCATCCCTACTACCCAGCACCACTGCTCTAGCACATCCTGCCACCGTCATCCGATCGGTATGTCTGGCACAAGTATTGACTCGTCGATATCATTCGACCCCTATGCAACAACGTCTTTTGACGCTTCTCAGCTTGTTAGTTGACTTCCCTCCCTGAACCCTCTCTTTTTTTTTTTTCCATCCTCCATCCTCTATCCCCTCCCCCTCATTCTGCCATTGCACATTAAGTGAGAGGGGTAAGGTGCTTCTTTTCCTCCTCCTGTCCCTGTCAGCAGACGTTGGATGTTGTCGTAAAGCCTTAAAGTTGCCTTAGCGCCTACCTGGTCTCCTGTCACACATCCACACATCCACATACACATACACACATACCTTACACATATCCACACTCACTGCTCAGTTACACGCCACACCCTTACATCACACACTCCACTTGGATTCATGAGCACCGGCGCTAACACCCTGCAGCAAACATACGACTTCTCTCCGATCTCTGTCTTCGAACACCCTGAAGACTTTGGCACGGACTTCACCTCCGACTCGGCTGCTTCTCCCCTATCGCCACTGTCTCCAGCCCTGTCGGCCAGCTCGTTTGGCTTCGCTACCACGGACAACTGGAATTCGTGGGACAACACCGAACTCTCTCCTGAGCCCGAGAATCTGTTTGCCTGCCCCTCAACTTTCGACGCTATTACCCAGTGCTCGCAAAACCCCCTGAGCCCGGCTATCAACCCGCTGGAGCTTTCCATCCCCACCAACGACAACAGCAACAACGACAGCCAATCACCTCTCTTCCAATCACAAAACATGTACGCGAGCCAACAGCAACATCAGCAGCAGCAGCAGCAGCAGCAGCAGCAGCAGCTTCGGGTTCAGGAACAGCAGCCTCAACAACAGCAACAACAGCCAATGATTCCCTTCTCGGCTCCTCAGCCTTCCTCTACGGCTCTCCCCTCCTCCGATGCCAACCACAAGCGCTACTCCTCCCGCTCCTTGAAGCGGAAATCTACCAGCTCTGGCTCCGAGGACGAGCCAGCTCAACCGCCTGCCAAGCAGACTTCCCCGCCCTCCACAGCAAACACCTCAACGGCTGCCCAGCGCCGGACTTCGACGTCGAAGGCCAAGGACCCATCGGCCCTGGGCCCAAAGAAGACGGCTCACAACATGATCGAGAAGCGCTACCGCACCAACCTCAATGACAAAATCACCCAGCTGCGTGATGCCGTCCCGGCTCTGCGTATGATGGCCCAGCGTGCCAAGATGCTCGAGCAGGGTGGCAACATCAACGGTGAGTTCGACGAGCACCTCGACGACGGCCTTGGCCTTGACCACCACTCCTCCCTCGTTGGTGGTGCCGCTAAGCTCAACAAAGCCACTATCCTCAGCAAAGCCACCGAATATATCCTGCAGCTGGAGCGCCGCAACCAGGGGCTCGAGACCGAAAACTCGGCCCTGCGCGGTCGAATGGAGGGCTTGGAGATGATGCTGATGAGCGCGGCTGCCGGCAGGGGCCCCGCACCCCCGCAGTACCCGCAACCCATGCCCCCGCCGATGCAAGCTCCTCCCCAGATGCAGAAAGGTGGGCCTATGCCGGGTATGGCGCCCGTTGCTGGGGTATGGAACTAAAGTCGCTGGCTTCTTGACCTCTTGACCTTTACATTCATGTAGCATCCCCTTTTTTCACACGGACTTCTCTTCTTCCTAATTATTGGATGGCATCTTGGTTTTGGGACTTTTTTTTGTTGGGTGGCGGCGTTGAAGGGCATGCATGCATGGGTGTGGCAGATATGGCATTTGTTGATTGGGTATGTGTTCAGGTGCATGGCATGGTGATTTTGGCGATGATACCTCGGGTCTATCGGTTCTTTCTTTTGTGGGATTGAGCTTTGCACGGGGGTGGGAGGAAGAGCATGTTGCAGCGATGCATTTTTTGTCAAAATATGGGCGAAAAAGAAAAGAGAGTGGAAGATCAAAAACTGCTTCGCTGGCTTTGCAAAGATACCGATAAACCTTAGGTACAGATAGGGTTTTGGTTGAAGGGCGGCATTGGTCTATAATCTAATCGCTACTACTGCCATCTCTCTGCCTACTTGCTCAGTTTCCCTAACTTTTTTTTTTTTGGCATGCCCAGTGACATTCCAGTTTGACAGGTCATCACTCTATGTTCGCGTATTTTTGTGTAAATTATCTGGCTGATCCTTATTATGATGTGTGCTGATTATGTTTATGCAAAGTAAATTATGTACCTCTAATGGCAACAGTGGTGTTTTCACCGGCATGGCCCATACTGTGTGCCGACGGAAGTACCCAGTTAGCGAGGCTGGCCGCTCTATGTTAAGACCTCACTGGGCTATTTCATCCCTCTTCATCTCCCAAAGCTTTCTTTCTCTGTTCAGGTACAGTTTCAGCTTCCTGTATTCGTCTAAGCTGCCGACTGAAACCGCCCCTCTGCTATAGTGTCTTTGGTGCTCCTCTATTTCGGCCGTGGCCCCCGATATTACTTCGCCGATCACACGCCATATGTTGGAAGAAACCGGATGCTTTAACATGGTGCACTCTGTTGGGAGCTTTGACTGATGTGATCCTGATTCTGCTGTTCAGCTCTCTTCTCCAGGGGTATGTTGTTGCTTCGAGGTGGTATTGTACATATTAAGTAGGTGGATGTTTTCAGTTCCTAGGGATGCTGAGATCATCACCAGCAGGTGCGGGCTTTCATATCAATTTGGATTCCAAAATCAACTGTGGTCGAGTGCAGTCACTTAGGATCCTTCGGATGGGAGCAAAAAGTCTGAAGATTGACTAATTGCCAGAGTTCTTTGTGATATCACCGGAAGGGTGCCTCAGTTCTTTTATATACCTCAAGCAAGCCAACCCTTGTTTGTTGCTTAACTGGCAGCTTAGGGGTTGTGATCCTTTTGTCCACAAGATCCAACCCACACCCGTTGCACAGTAGGTTTCTAACCTCACTCACCTCAAATGCGAGATTCCGATCCTCTCAGAACCAAGGTATGACACTCGGATATCAGGCTCATAGCTTGTATATTGCCTGCCTCCAGGAATCCGGTGCGACGAAGCCAGCACTCGCTCATCATCACTAGCAACGTAATCCCAATCTCGCGCGCCAGCGAGGTAGGTGGGAATGCTAGGTTCAGCCTAACCCCTACTGACGGGTAAGAGGCGGCGCAGAGGTGATAAGCCACGTCGGAAAGAAAATGGGTTCTGGCGACGGGGCGGTGGGCCGCGGGAACGCGACGATTCGTAACGGTCTTGGAGGAAATGACATCAACGGGCTCAAGTCACGGGGTCTAATACGCTCAAAGGATCCAAACAGGTCCCCTCTGCGTGGCCTGATGCTGCCGACCGAGGAAGGAGGTGTCGTGGCGCCAAGGTTGAGTGCCAAGCCAGTCGGACAGTCGCGTTTTAATGATATTGCTAGGGCGCAGGGGGCCGAGCTGGGAGTCTACCCTCAGATAGTTATCGCTTGTGATTAATGCCACATATCCAGGATTTTTCGTGTCGATGTAGAGGTAGCGATTATGGCTTCGGGCCCGAAAAGAGCTTGGCGAGTGATGAGATCGACTGTAACTATAGCCACACCCGCTATCATATTTTGAAATATAGTGGCTGCTGTATCTACCGCCGTAGCTCGAGGAGGGGTAGCGGCTTGGGCTTTGGCTCAGCATTGTGAATGGATTAATCATGGTGCCTGAGTCAAAAAACTGTTGAGCTCTTACAGTTATTGTCTTGAGAATTATATACCTGTATGTAAGTGGCTTTAGTTGTTAATATGGTAGGGCACCTTCTTTCCCAGAGTTTCGAAGAAGAAAGAAAATGAAATTTTACGGGTCTACTCCAGTTCTACGCAGATTGACTGCATTGTATACGATACTAGCGGAGGATCATGTGACTCTAGTCAACATCGTGCTATATGAACCAGGAAGAACCCCTCATGGTCCAGTGGTGCTTGATCTCCTCCTACATGGTGCAAGAGTATGGTCACCTTGTTGCATTTGGAAGAAGGCCTCTGAACACGAGTTGTGATGTATTCTTGTGTGCTTTCGACCAGGTGGGAACAAGGACCAAATCTCGAGAGGATACCATCCAAGAATCCCGAGATTGAAACTACCAAGGTAGTCCGCGTCATTGTGCGCTGAACAAAAACAGGTCCTGTGACTGCTATGATAGTAAACAGAAAGTCATGATATGAAGTGCCTAGACCTCTGGTTACACCATAAATAACGCTGCCGTTAAACCAGACATTGATTGCTCAAGGTTGACCGCTGACTCGAGAGATCTGCTGACTAAGGGTTAGGGTTGTTGCCCGGTTAACAGTCAGGGGCTCAGGGGCTCAGGACCAAACCACCGACCCCTCAATCATCTCCACGATAGTTCTAACATTCACATCATTTATGTAGCTTCATGTGTCATGTACCTATTATATAAGTTTGCGGGACGCTGTAGAAGCGTCAATCAAAGCCCTTGCTCACTTAATTCGTTGCAATCTCGTCAAAAATCGTCAACTTCCTCGATGCTACCCAGCATACTTCAGTGTGCACTCCCACTAGTCAGGTACCAAGCCAATATATTTGGTCATTATATCCAAAATCTTTCATAAACCTCATATCTCTGGTCGAACTGTCCAATCTTATATCATAACTTATATCCAACAGAGACAGGTCCAACCATGCCAAATTAGCTATCAGCAAGACCATTTTCGAGTACAGAAACAGAACGCGCAACAACAAAACAAGTATAGGATCAAAAAAAGAGAATTTACACTGAAAACAAATAAAATTCTGTCAAGATCTTATACTCTTTGACTCCAAAACACCCCAGTTGTAAGACCTCGCTTACTTCCCCTGCAACCAGTGTGAGCAGGCAATACCACGGTTAAAAGAAAACGTTTTGGAATACTATAGGGCTTGCAAACCCACACTCTACCCAGTTAGATCCCCAATTTCAGTACAGCCCTAACGTCAACGAGCTCTTGGAAGCACGATCGCATCCCCATGCATTGAAGTCAAACCGCTCAGCTGCCCGTCTGGGCTTTGGTGCGAGGAATTCGCGTGTCCGACGCGCTGCAAAAAAGGCAGGAGCGGGTGACGTCTCCCTGTGCCGTGGATATGTCCACGTCTGTGGAGGACGAAGAGGCGTCGGCTGTGGTCCCGCTGGCGGAGGATAGGTGTTGGGGCGTCCGCGGTGACGTCTGTGAGTAGGGACGGGTGGACCTAGTCTAAAATTCCTTAGCCCAACCGAGTGACACTGGCCAAACCGAGTAAAATCGTGATGCTCGTAGTCATCGTGGTCGAAGGATTCGGGCTCCATGTTGAGAAACTGCGGTTCGTCTAGCTTAAGGAAGGAGGCGGTGGGACGTTTATATCTGGTGAGAGCCCAGGACTCGATAGTCGGGACGTCCTTGTAAGAAGAGACGATAGGAGTCGGTGTTGGGTTTCTTGTGAAGATCGTCGAGGGGGGGCGAGGCTGTTGGCATGATGCTTGGAAATCAAAGTCACCTCTGTGTCCGTCTGGAGGAGGCAGATAAGGAGACGACTTATGGCGGCGAGGGGGCAAGTCTTCCACACCCAAGAGCCTAACGCTCCGTGGCCCGTCATCATCTGACTCGGCAGCTGAAAAGTCGCTTTCGGGATATTCATAGTCTTCTGGTTGTGCTCGCCAAACATCACAGACAGAACCAACAACATCTCGGTGTGTGGTGTCTAAGGTGACGATGCTAAGGGCATCGAGCATAGTCCGGCGGCGGGGGCGTGATTGTGACCGATACTTTCCTCGCTCAGAGTTGACTACCGAATGTTTACTGGCCCGCTGGTATCCTTGCTGCTCATTGTGAACCTGATATGTCCAACTCCAAGGTCTTGAGTCGGCGATAGAATGAGTCCTAGTAGCACAAAGTGCATATTGTTCGTCGGTGCTCGATTGATTGTCAGACCCACTGGCTCCCCAGTCCATATCGCTGTCTGAGTCCAAATCGTGACGAGATGACTGTTTTTTTGGACGACGGCTTACAGACAATGTCATAGACTTTGTCTTCCGTGATTTGTGTCGTTTTTTGTGCTTCTTCGGTGATGAAGAACCTCGAGTGGCGAGATTGGAGGACATATCCGGGCTCAACTCCTGCTGCGCCGAATGTGGCAATGACAGACATGGCTCATCGACATCGAAGTCAACTCCATCAATGCCTGAATCAGAAGGTTGCTCGTTTTGCCGGTGTTTATGCGACTTTTTCCGATGCTTTTGGTGACGTGAAGACTGGGAAGATGATGATGACTCCTTGGAGGACTGACGATGTGGCCGTGACCGGCGCTTCTTCGTTAAGGACTTGCCTCTCGTTTTGGAAGGTGACAAGGAGTCCTTAGTTTCTCCATCATACTTTGTTTCGATCATTGAGGCTGTGCGTTGAATCTTGTGCTCCTTCAGACGAATGGTAGGCCTGGGGACCTCAGGATACTCTTCGATATAAGGGCTCCAGCTCCGTCGGCTCTTTCGGAGGGAAGCTTTCTTCTTGTTGGAATCTAGAGTAGCCCCAGGTACAGACTGCCTGCGTCTAGCTTCTTCTTGCTCCTTCTCTTTCTTTTCCTCGTTTGGCTTTTCAGCTTTAGCATTTTCAGCATCTCCCTCAGCTCCATTGCCTCCGCATGTGCACTTGGTGATGTTAGGCTTAGCCTGAAACGCCTTCTTCTGTCTAGGGCTCTTTGTCTTTCCCGGCTTCTTCTCCTTCGATCGCTCGACCGACTGGTTTGAAGGCTTCTCAGTAACGTTCTCACCCTCGAAGACATCATCGACCTCTTCTGGGTCATCTGAATCGTAGTCTGTCGTGGTAATAGTGACAGCTGCATCGTCCCGCTCCATGTTGTCGGATCTTCCTTTGCAGCACTGCTGCGACGCTCTGGGGGATGAGGAAAAGACTCTCGAACATTGGCAGAACAAACAAAGAGGCAAGTTGGCAAAAAGGAAAACGGATACCTTGAGGGTGCTGGACACGGGATGCAGCAAAGACAAAAAAAAAGAATCTCAATGCCCGAGCTTATCTACTCGATATAAACGACGACCACCAACAGGGCTCAGAAGCCCCATGTGCCAAGGCATTCTGCTTGCGAGAAGTCAAACATGATGGATGAAGAGTTGTCAACTGAAAGCAAAAGTATCACCAAAGTGTGGCCGCTCTTGTGTGGATGATCAAGCAGCAAGCATAGAAAGCGAGGACGAGCGAACCCAGCTTAGATAATCTGTACGATTACGTGGCGAACTATCTAACAAAGTTCAACCAGCGGGGCGTGGGAAGAGATAGAGGGGTAAAGAGAGAGAAAACGTGGGGAGAACATACGATTTGCCGATCTTTGAGTCAGGATTTTCACAGCTCCCATCCTTTCCTCAGCAACCACGTGGTGGACTGGGACAAGATGCCAAGTAAGCAAAGGATTTTCTGCGACAGGTCAGAAGCTTAATGCATCAGAAGAGATGGAGCTGGCCGCTTGCAAGCTGTTGGCAGCCTTGCAAACAGAAGCAGGAGACCTGTAGCCGTGGGTTACAACAACTGGGCAGGATCCTTGACGACGTGGACGGCCCGCAAAGACGGGACGGTGCATCCGGCTTCCGGTACGCCTGCGCCCTAATGCATGGAGCTCAGGAAAGGGTTGCACGAGCTAAATTGACTAATAGGGAAATGATATTTATTTAGAAGGCGGATTAGCAGTTGAAGCTAACTTACTCGAGCCAAGCAAAAGCCCCTCCCTACAACCCAACTTGCAGAATTGCAGCCCAAAGCAAGCCCACTTTGGCTGGCATCCGACTGGAAGACTTTTTGAAGGAGATCATTGGCTGAGAGACATCTAGAACTGTGAACCTATCAGAATCAATGGCGCCATTCGAAAATGCAAGGTGCACAGTTCAGTTTGCCCTGGAAACCCACCTAGCAAATACCAACCAAGACTGACACTGGAGGCAACAATGCAGTTGTCCAGGCCATTCACAGTGGTCTCAGTCCATGGGATATTCTGGAATAGGTGACATCTGGCAGTCGTTATTAATTGGCCCTCGTCTTTCCTGAACAATGTCGACATCAGAATCCAATACTTAGTGTAGTGCTCTAAATACATAACAACTGGCACCTAACGATATTGTGGAAGTGTTCAATGTAATGTTACTCACTGAAACCCCAAAGGTCGGTTGACTTACCCGATGCAGGCTTCATGCTTGGACAACAAAAGCACTCATGTGCCCAGGAACTGACCTGGTGAACAGCCTGCTCTTTATGTGATGGAATAATAAGGTAAGTGCCAGCCCTTGAGTATGTTCCTCAACAACACTTTCAGCAGCGATCTATGTACTGGGAAGAAGCCACGCAAATTGAGCATATGATCTGTCATTAGAGGGTCCAACTGAGACCTTAGAAATAACTTGGCATGGTGAGGAGGCAAAAGCATCTCGTTAGGTAAAATGTTAAGATCATAGGTGTAACCAAATGACGAGAACACCTCCTTGGTCTCTCAACAGAGGTCTCATGAATTTCAGGGCATGCCACTCCATAGATGCTACATAGAAGCACGTGATTGGCATCTCAAGATCGTTGTATAAGCAGTCATTGCAAGGTTCTACAGTTCAGGCACCGTGAACTTGTTGCAAACCTTCGATTCCCTCGAATAGGGCGGTTGACTGGCTGCCAGCTGACAGTCGCTCAAGAGCAAGATATGCGTTGAGGGGCACAACATTGGTTTGACACTAAACGGCCATTCGCAATTCTATGTAAGTCCATGATTCCAATACCAATATCCTCGAGATCGCAGTCCCTTATGTAGACGACGAGAAAAATGGCGAGCTCGAAGTACAGAATAGGTAAGAAAAGATAACACTTTGGGGAAAATGGAAGCAGTGGTATCAGGATCGGTAACGAGACAGAGAGTAGAAGGGAAAAAAAAAAAGAAAGAAACCTAGCAGCACAGACAGAGTAAGGACCAAGCACCAAACGAATACAGAAAAGCGATCACCCCTTGCTCTTTCCAGATTCCTCGGCAGAAGACTGTCGCTCCTCGACCTCCTTCACCGGAACTTCTTTGTCCACCTCAACTAGGTCGCTTGAGCTTCGGCTCGTGGTATCCTTTGGCGCTTCGGCTGTGAACTCAGCAGCCCTGTTTCCCAAGACCTCTTGAACAATCCGCTTTCCCTCGTCTATCTCGCCGTTTGGAGCTCCGCACGCCATGCACTTCCACAAGCCGAGCTCGGTCAGAGACTTCGTCCCCGGAGGGGCCTGGCCGTTAACAAGCCGGCAACGAGAGCAGATTAGGACAATACGGTTCTTTGCCGCAGTCTCGTCCTCACCGAGCAGGGTGTCCAAAATGCGATCGTACCAGTGCGACTTGGGCTCGGCTGGGGCAGCAGTCATGGTTGCGGGAGGGTATTGCATGTAGGCCGGGGGAGGCCGCCCATCGAAGGCGTTGGGTGCAAATTCGGCGGACACGTCTATCTCGGGCATGGCAGGATTCGCATGGGGTCTTGGTTGTGGCGTAACCGGTCTGGGAACAAGAGGGCGCTGGATATTCGCCGTGGGTGGAGGGAGAATATTGATGCGATTTGCCAGAGGCGCCTGTGTATCTTTTGGCCGTCCTCCTTGTTGCTGAATTCTGCTCTCATCTTCCTCGGCGCCAAGTGTCCCCCTCTTTTCCTTGTTTTCAGGCCCCCCATACTTCTGGAGTAGCTCGAGGGTCGATTCGTACTTGGTAGCATCCTTGAGCTTCTGGATTGTCTTTGCGCGCTCTGCTTGCAAGTCTTTGAGCCTGGAGCTGAGCCTTTTGGTGCGATAGTTGACGAAGTCGGTGATAACGGTGCGCACGACTACGATCAGGATAGGGCCCCCTAAGACAGCTGTCCAATCTACCGCCCCCATATTCCGCCAGCCTACGACCAATATGAGAACAATAGCGTATACCAGATACGCAAAGCCGAGGTACAGCGTGCTGAGGACCATCACCCTCCTTCCTTTCGCACGTGTCTGATCGAGCTGCGTTTGGGCTGCCGTGATCTTAGTCGTAAGCGCCGAGAGCGCCTTTTCAAACGATTCGGGGGAAGTGTCGTCCTTCTGCAAAAACCTGCGTGTAAGTGTGCGTGTTTATGATGCTCGGCGATGTTCGCGCCTGGATGGTCGGCAGGCAGACACTCACCCCCCATGGCCAAAAGGAAACCATTTTCGAAGCCGGTTACGTCTGGCGCATGAATGCAGGATTTGCAAATGATGACTAGGCCTTCTGGAAGGCCAGAAGAGGGGCTTTAGGGGTAATTACGAGGCGGTTTTGTGCTTTCCTTCCATCCATCAGGAGCGCGACGGTGCGACAGTGAAGCATCAGCAGCGAAAAAGGGAAAACGGCCAGCTCACACAGGGTCCAATGAATGAAAGGCTCCAAAATGCATGGTGACTTCATGATTTCTCTGTTACATACATACGTATTGTTTTAACGGGGAATTTGTGCCTTAGGCGTCTCCCCACAATGTCCCTGCCAACGATCCCACATGATGTTGTGCGCAGCCCGCTGCAGCCTTGCACTTTTGCGGCAAGGCTGCTAGGGTCTCTGGTTGTCCCGAGCAGTCTTGGCGTTTCGGGTATCCAGGTGGGTATCCAGTGCGGCTCGATCGCAGCGTGCCTGGCAGACGGGAGCACACCGTGGACGCCGACGGGTTGCAATATTCGACGAGGCCCAACGTCCGCTAAAACAACTGGTTTGGCGGAGCCTGACGCGGGCAGATCAACGACAAGCATCCACATAAATTCATAACCCCGGAAGTGCTTCAAGCCGGCTTTCAATTACTGTAGATCTGCGCATCAAGTCCGGCCAACTGTTCGGCCAGCCAGCCCTCAGGACAACGGCACACAGCATCCGGCTTCCGGCTTGTCGCCGTCTCGCGGCAATCGAATGTTCTTCGGTCTTTTGCCTCCCTGAGCTCTCTCAAACTGTTTCTCCAGCTGCGCCCGCCCACTTGTACCACACTTTGTCCCGAACGCTCTCTAATCTTGAGCCTCAAGTTGACTGCGAACCAGCAAACGGACAGAGCGACTCAAGCACCATCGATTTGCCATCAACATTACCCCCGCGCGATCCGTCATCATGTTCCAGGTTAGAATGCTCAAATGGCATCTCGTGGTCTTCGCCAACGAAAGCTAACTCCGTATTGCCCGCGAAGCGACTCAAAGGCGCAATTGACCAGCGAATTGCTGAAGAGCAGGCCAGGCAGAAGGCCGCTCTCGAAGCTCAGAGGGCTGCTGCCCCGCGTCGTTCGCGATCCTCAAGTGGTGCTGGAGGCCCATCTACTGTCCGCCGTTCCCGGCCAACAGCTAAGACCGGCGACGATGGTGACGGGCCGACAGCCGACCCTGATCCGGCCGTATTTGAGGCGGCGTTCGTGATTGATGACGCCGACGACACAGCGGCCTCCTCGAGGGCGTCAACACCATTGCCGGGAGACAAGATACCCAGGTCTGGAGAGTCCACTGCAAACTCGGGAAAAGCAGGCCCCGACAATCCCACTTCAGGGACAGGCTCGCCGAGCAACAGCGGAAATAACGAGCAGGTGCAGGCCGGTGCCGAGCCTACGGCTAAGACTGCCTCATCTTCAACCTCGATCTCTGAGCTTCCCCCAGAGATCCGAGCGCGACTGCGAAAGCTTGAGAAGCTAGAAAAGACATACCCGGGTATGTTTGCATGATCTGCCTCTTTGGGTCTGCCGCAAACCCCACACAGTGAACACCAATACTGACGGAATGTTAGAGCTGCTCCGATCCTACCGCATTGCACATAGCCGGGCAACGTCCATCGAACCCTTCGAGAAAGCGCTGAGGGAAAACACCCCTTTGACGTCCATCAAGGATCCCGAAGCCCTTGTCGAGTACCTGAACCAGATCAATCTTAAAGGCGATATGTTGATGGAGGAGCTTAAGCGCGTGACAACCGAAAAAGACAGCTACAAGAAGAAAGCTGAAGAGGCCGAGAAAGAACTCACAGCGCTAAGAGAGGAACTTTCTTCCCTCAAAGCAGCAAAGTCTGAGACATCCTCGGGACCCGATGCGAGAAAAGATTCGGGCGCTCCGACCGACAAGTCCGAAACTAGAGATTCACCCTCTAGGTCCAATGAAGGAGCAGGAGATATCTTTTCTTACGAGTCCGAGCTGCCTCAGCTACAAGCCGAAGTCCAACAGAAGACGGAAGAGATTGAAAAGCTTCAAACTGAGGTCAAGAATTTGAGGGATGAGCTGTCGTTGGCCAAAGAGCACAGTGCGTCTCTTGTTGAAAGCCTCGAACATGCCACAAGGGAGCTCAGTGAAACCCGAGATGCGGTTGCCGTCAAGGCCTCTGTCGAAACGCAGCTCGAGGCTAGAAATGCCGAGATTGCCATTCTAACCGAACGCCTTGAGAAAGCACAGTCCAAACTTAAGGAGGTAGAGGAGGAGCTATCCAAGTCGAAATGTGACGCTGCCGAGAATATTAAGGTGACAACGACCCAACTAGCCGCCTTCACATCCCGGAATCAAGAGCTCGAAAGGGAGGTAGAACAGCTCAATCAGGCAAAGTCTTCTCTTGACGATAAGATCAAAGCCCTAATTGCAGAGATCGAAGCTCTGAAGAAAGCTAAGGCCGAAGATCAGTCGCGAATTGATGAACTCACCAAACAGCTCCAGGTCGCTCAGGAACCAGCAGCCACTCCGACAAGCACTCATATCCCGCTAGGGATGCCCATCGCTTCGCCGGCAAGCGGCAGTGGCAGCGGTGGGAAAAAGAAAAACAAGAAAAAGAAGAAGGGCGGCGCTGCAACACCTGCAATGCCTGCTGAGTCTGCTCCAATTGAGGCTTCTGCAGATCAGAAAGCCCCTCCTACATCTGATGGTTCTGCTCTGGCAGAACTACAAGCAGAATTGACGCGCTTGCAAGAAGAGCTGGCCCAAAAGGATCAAAAAATAGAGAGATTGGCCAAGCAGCGAAAGACGGAAGAGGAGCTGCGGGAGGAAATTGAAAACCTCCAAGAGAATTTGATGATGATAGGACAGGATCACGTCGAGGCCAAGGAGAAGATAAAGGAGCTTGAGGCAGAAAAGAAGGCCTTAAAAGAACGCATTGCTGAGCTTGAGAAGGAGCTGATGTCTTCATCCGCGGCCGCAAAGAGCAATGCTGACCTCCTGAAAGAACACGAGACTCTAAAGCAAGAATTTGATAATCTCAAGCTAAAATCATCCACTCTCCAGTCTGATTTGGCTGCCGCTCAGCAGCTAGCTCAAACCCGGTATAAAGATCTTACCGATCTTAGAGAAGTCCTCCAGAAGGTACAGCCAGAGCTCAAGAGTTTGAGGCAAGATTCGGCTGCATTGAAGACTACTCGCGAAGAGCTGAATGCAAAGAACGCCGAGTTGCGCAATCTTGAGAAACGCGAGAAGGAGCTCAAGGCCGAGCTTTCGCGTGCTCAGCGCCTTGCTGCTGATCGTGAGGCCGAGATCAAGACTCTACATGAGAAGGTTGCACAAGAAACCAACGCCCGACTGCGGCTTGAAGAGGAGAAGCGTGTTGCAGGCCGGGACCTTCGCCGCGCTGAAGCCGAGAAGATTGAAATCTCGGCTCGGGAAGAAAAGGCTACTCGCGAGCTCCAGAGGGTCCAAGACGAAGCCAACAAGCTCCGACCCCGTATCCGTGAGCTTGAGGACGAGGTCGCTCGCCTCAAGAAGGAACAAGACGTCCTTCGCGAAGAAGTAGAGCTCAAGATCAACCAGTACACCAATGCTCAGAATCTCTTGAGCAGCATGCGAGATCAGACGGCTGAGTTAACGATTCAGCTCAAAGAAAGCCAGGCACAGTGCGAGAGTCTCGATGAGGAGCTTGCCGAGGCACGGAAGATGCTCAATGAGCGTACACGTGAGGCAGAAACTATGCGACGCTTGCTCGCCGACGTGGACGAACGCGCCGATAGTAAGGTGCGCGAAATGCGCGCCAAGATGGACGCTGCCATTGAAGAGCGTGACCGTTTGGAGGACGAGTCCAGCGCGCTCGCTCGGCGGAAAGCCCGGGAGACAGAAGAATTGCGGCAGAAGATTAAGGATCTTGAAAAAGAGATCAAGGAGCTCTCCGGGGAAAGGGATGACCTAGAACGCAGAGAGAGGGAATGGAGACGTAGGAGAGAAGAGCTCGAATCTATTGAGGAACGCGCCAATGCTGAAGTATCCGAGATGAGGACTACCGTGAACAACCTTCGGAGCACTCTTGATGCCTCGGAGCTCCAAGTCCGAGAAATGGAGAGAAAGAATGCCGAGCTGCGGCGTGCGCTGGACGATTACCGACTACGATATGACAAGCTGGCGAAGGAGGCCAAGTCGCTGCAGGCCAGGCTTGCTGCTCCTTCATCAACCATTTCTGGGCGGAGCTCGATGGAATCAACGAGGTCTGGAAGTGGAAGCACTGCGGCGTCTCAGACGGCTATTGGGACATATCCCGATGCTATGTACCTCAAGACGATCCTGTTGCAATTCCTAGAGCAGAAGGATAATCGTCTAAGGGCTCAGCTGGTGCCCGTGCTTGGAAAGTTGCTAAAGTTTGATAAGTGAGGATCTGCTCGTTGTTTAAATCGGCCGTATGTTTCTCTACTGACCTTGGCTTCTTAGAACCGATGAGCAGAAATGGCTCGCGGCCATCCAGCATATTAGCACACGATAATGCTCAAACTCGGTACCAGCAGGCGATCCGGAGTCCTTCGACGGTTTGTACTATCTCTACAGTGGAGTTGGTCGACTCGCAACATCTCCGTACAAAAACTGGCTATCAGTAGGGTATAGCATATTGAGCTCTCTCATGTCCGCCTGGGACAGTGCGGCGAATGCCGACACCTAGAGCTACGACTAGGTACCTACTGCTGCTTGATGAAGCAAGAGTGCACGCCCTCAACGGAGCAAGCAGTGCAAAAAGCGAGAATGTTGACGGCGCGACATTCTCCTCCATACCAAATCTAATTTTTCGTTATGCCTTAAGTCTAATCGAACCCCCATTCTCAACTGTGTGCTGAACGAAGTAAGAATGAAGCCCCGGTTTGGAAAATTATCGCAGCATTCGGGAAGCAGATGTTTAAATTTTCATGAGCAGGCCACCTGACAGTTTGAAAAACCACACTGACTATACCTGCCTTGGGGCAACGCTCCATCGGTAACCACGTATTTGTCATGAGGTCGTATGGTGACTGGTGAGGAGAGCAGCTGCGCTTCCTGGCTTCAGGCCCTGGGAATGGCTGAGAGTTGTGACCAAGTTGTCAATCCTTGAGCGGGCACCAAGTAAAATCCCAAGAGCATTCAAGTCAACATCCAAGAGAATTCCCCGGGAGACGTGCATTTTCCCGTGTCGGCTAGGGGTCAAGCCTTTGCAGTCACAAAAGGATGTCTTGCTTTTACGATTCCCTGTTACAGAACAGCTTACGAACCGGTCAAGTGATGCGTTAGGGGATCCCATACTTTACTCTTTGACAAATTACGACAATTATGCTCCCAAACCGATCGGTGAGCTCTAAAATATTAGTGATAATTGTGATGTCGGCTCAACCCAGAAACTGTTCCACATAGGTGAGAATGGCCACACTGAACCCGCCATACCATTCCTTCCGGGAGAGAAAACGAGCCATCCGGGGTTATTATTCTGCAGGGTACTATCCCCACGAGTGCCTGTTATATATAACTCCGAAAATTTTTAATGTTTTAACGGTTCGTCTTCGAGTGTTTCCAGTGTTGTTACGCTCTTTTTGTTAGGGGTTGTTTTTTTCTGCCTTGGCTAGGCTGGTGTTTACAAAACCGTCCAGCGCTCTGCATCTTGCCAACCAGCACGAGACGTTCTGCGCGCATAGTCACTAGACGAACAGAAACACTGAGCTACACTAGCTGAACGACATGTAACATACTTCACAAGGCTTCGTCCCATACGTGGCGAGCACCATCATGCAAGTAGGAGATAGCCTTGCGGCTATGTCGACCTTAGAGAATGGCATACGAACCCCTGAGCTATGACAAAAAAAACGAAAATCCTAAGTACAGCAGTTAGACAGCAGTTAAACAGCGGGAGAGACCTCGTCCATTGCTGCCATGTGTAAGAAACTAATAATGGCAAATTGTAACGGCTTCTCGTCACGCATTAAGCAACACCAACTAAGACGACAACGACGATGGGATGAGCCGCCAGAAGAGCCACCATTCTCGTCTTCTCTGCAAACCGAAACACTTAGAATTGATAAAACTCAGCCAAGCGCCATTTAACAGTGAAACCGAGATTATCCATCTGAGCTTCACTCCCGACAACTATTGCATCATGGGCGTTAAGTCTACCAAGGAGAACATGTACCTAGCGTACTACAAGGCTGCTCATACTCTCTCTTACCTTTTTGTCTGTCACATCCGGTGAACAGACACCATTGGATGCTTCCTGACACATCTTGCACAACATACATGGGCAGAGAATATGCTCTCAGAACACCGACTCTCCCAACAACCCTTATGCTACATATGACATAGACGTGGTCGCAGCCTATCCTTCCAACCAATTTTCCAGCCATCTGCACCATACCGGATAGACATTCTCAGGTTACAGGGACGTCAAGTCGGATCTCCTCTATTCCATTCTGAAGAAGCCTCCTCTATGTTGAGGATCACTGCGAACCGCGAAGCGAAGCTCGATGTTTCATGTCATGGGCCAGTTGCATGGAGTTCAGATGGCACCACGAGGGCTGCCATTGATATGAAAGATCCGAGCAAAGTGCTGGTACTGAGTACTACTGGCAATATCGCCCGGTTGCCAGAGAGTGTGTTAATGAGCACATGGACGAAGTAACACAACTAGCATTCTTATCTCCAATAGCTGTTTCTGACGGGCAATGGGCCTAGCCCAAGGTGGTGAAGCTGGTGACCGCCGGACGGGACGGATATGTGCGGGTGATTAATGTTGAGAACAGGACGCCAGGGAGAATTTCGGTCATTGAATAAAAGGCAAGGCGTGGACCAAGCATCCTCCGTGTGTCGCCGAATGGAAATATGATCGTCACGGTCTGGGATCGAGACGTGGTAATGTGGCGTCTTGAAGGGTCCAGTGGCGGGCCCGGCATCGTCGAAACATATGACCTAGATTCTCTCCGACTGACAGAAGGCTGGCCTCTCGCTATGTCTTTGGACTGCCAATACCTGGTATGCTTCACTGTGGCTGTCTTTGATGTTAGCGATCTGTTGACAGGGAATATACTGGGCAGGCATATGTGGGATGGTCTCTTTCGAAACCCTATCACGTCAGCGGCTTTAAACTCAGATGGAACAAGGCTTGCGGTGGGCGATTATGTTGGAAGTTTGGTCATTTTCGAGCTGGTAGATCTGACAAATAGCTAAATCCAACGACGCGGACAGCGGGCTTAAGGCTTGGAGTATCGCAATTGACGATCAAAAAGCATTCACGGAGGAATCCAGTCAGCCAGGCAAGACGGACATCACGATGAGGGTATTTGCTATGATGGCTGGGTCCGGCTCTCGTCCATTATGGCCAGCATGCATTCGCCAGAACTTGAACTCTTTTCCAAGTAAGGGGAGGAGAATTTGTACGTCCTCACTCAAAAGTGGTGCCTCGGAAGAATCGCGGGCTTCATCGACACCAAATTGTCGGGCTTTGGAGTAGCAAGCGGATACGTCGAGCTAATTCGTTGAGCCAGCCAGTCAATAGCAAAATAGTTTTTGTCGCTATGTAACTTTCCAAATGATGGGAATGCATTATCGTTGGATGCAGAAAGCAGGATGGAACGCGGAAGGCTAATGTGTATATCCAAACAATCGGATGTCTAGAACGGTTCTTTTTCTCCTATAGAAGACTGTATCACTGGGGGAGGTGTGGAGCTGGCTTTGGTGACAGTGAAGAATTATCTGGACAGATTGAAAAGGAGAGGCGGCGGGCATTATCGCAGAGCAGAGTAAATATCATCTTAACTCTGGCATGCAACTGGGGACTATTGGAATACGGAAAACGAGTCCCAATGCATGGTAACGGGGGGTTTCATGATATATTAGTCAAGTACCACATTATCTCGGCCGAAATCGAGACGCCAGTATCAAGGGTGGCACCCGATGATGGAAGTCTTCCCCAAACCCACATCGACGTCCGGCAGGCCGAACGAGCTGGGCCCCTCTCTCGTGCGACAACCCCACCAGTATTTCAGCACGGCCAAGCATGTTCCCCGCTTACTGTTGCAGAAGTGCAGCAAAAAGTGGATGCGAAATGGGCCTGGCAGCGCGTAAACGTTTTTGGGATGTTCTAGGCAAAATGAGGGTTTTGAGCCCCCTCCGGTTCTCCAGCTGAGCGCACAACTGGCGGACTGGTCCCGAAAGCAGAAAGGGAATGCGACACTTCGACATGGCTGCTGTTGCATCCGCGTGCTGAACTTTCGGGCCAGGCCGTAAGCCATCGTCGGGACCGTGGGGGGTCAATCTGGGGCTGTCTTCAAAAGGGCATTGTCGGGGCTCGCCAGCGCGCGAAGGAATGCTATCTCTGGGTGCCGGCCGGATCGAGCCGCTGCTGATAAGCAAAAAGACTGCGTCCAGTGGTCGGGCTAGCAGTCGCGTGCCGGTGGCGCTCGCATCTCACATGCGAGCTCGAGTTTGGTTGGTGATGGAGTTTAGTCCTTATCTTATCTCGATACCCTAAAACAGATTGTGGCTTGTGGGCCAAGGCCCTGGTCTCTGTGGGGTGTATGCGTGCGTTGCATCAAGCCACCCGAACCCTGGCCAGGGCACATGAAGTTCGACATTCTGGTTGGGCCGTTAGCCGCACCCACACTTAGCAACGTGGTGCAGCCTTTTTGCTAGGATGCTCGGCCGAGGCAGATGGATCACATCAACAAAATGCAGCATATCGAGCAAACCGACGCTGCCCTTGGCGATGATAGCGCTCATGTTGGGACCCAATTTTCGGCCTGGGACACTTCCTCTCTTTAGGAATGTCACGCCCCAATCACAAGCGTCGCTCCCAGCGCCTGATACCGATCCTTAATCGCAAGCAGGTCGGATGACATTTCCATATCAGCGCACGAGCTAGCGACGTCGTCATGGCCGGTGGCGGGGCAACAGTTGCAGCACAGGGCGCCGGGGACGCAGACTGCATGCAGCTCTGGGATGCGACATGATGTTGCTGCCGCTCTTCTGGACGCCCACCTGGAGAGAGCAGCGACACCAGCAGCAGGACGGCAGCGCGGCCATCACCGACCAAATTGACAGCTCAGCTCGGCCAGCTGCTGTATGGGGCAAGGCAGCGGATTCCTGCGCGATGCCTCAACCCCCATGTGTTCATCCCGTCCTGCCGTCTCTTTCGTGGGGACAGCCAGGTCGGCGACGTGTCGCGCGCTACTGCTGGGTTTAGCCCCCTGGTGCCCTACCTCTCTCACCCCTCCGCGGACACTGGGGCTGGCGAGGGTGTTGTCAACATGTCTCAATCCAGCCCAGATCTCACCCGCCTGATCGTGCAGTCAAGAGGGGCCAGATGATGGCACACCATTGGATGTATGACCAATCGATGGTCTCTCAGCCTGTGGCCGGTTGTGGACTGTCGGTCGCCCATTCTGTCGACTCTGTCGATACTGTCCAGTTGCGGACGCGCCCGCGCTGCCTACCTCGCCCGTTCGCAGCCCACTCTGCCCACTGCTGGGACCATGCCCGCCGGCGATGTCCACTCTGCCAAGACCCAACCAGACGTTGCTCCAGGCTGCCGGGGTCGCCCGGGGTCGCCCGGGGTCGGCCAAGCTGCCATGCCCTGGTGATGGGTGGGGGAACGCCGGGTGTGGTGAGCAGATGGCAGCTCCAATTCCCGAGTCGCGCGCGCAAGGAAGCAGAGAGATAAGGGATTTTTCGATTATTCCTCAACCAAAATTTTTCCCACCTTTCCCACATTGGTTCCATGCCGCTTCATGGGTCTGCCGTTGGATGGCCCTCTCTTCCCATTTGACTCCCCCGGTCCGATCTTTTAAAAGGTTTGGTCGCCGCCCAAGCTCCCAATCCCAGATCTCGCTCATAAACGTCGCCGACTCTGGTCCTTCGGCTTTTGTTTTCTTCTCCTCTCCCCGGGTGAGGCTTGGAGAAGTCTTGACTACCTGGTCTAAGTTTCCGGTCTCTCCCTCGGTCTGGGCTCACGATCGAACCCGATTTACAGTTTTTCGCGCCCTAACCGCGGCCCTCACCCATCGATAAACACCTCTCCCTCTCTCGCCATTCTTGATCGCTTTGAGCAGACTATCAACCCAACACAAAAAAAATGGGGTGGGTTGAGACTATTAACAGAAGGATAGCGACCAGCCCGGTCGGTCGCTGGTTCAAGCTTGAAGGATGCGGACATGTGAGATTCCCTCCAGCAAAACGGTTGCCGGTCGGTCTGAATGAATACTAAATGATATGTGTTTTATCCCGATAAAACAGCCCAAGGAGAGGAAGGGATCCTACTTCTTCACTGAGATGCGTGCCGGTCTGGCTACTTTCTTCGCCATGGCGTGAGTCGAGACAAAAAGCCTTCCATATTGCCCCGCTACGCGTGTGGCATGGAAGATTTCCTGTGAAGATGAGGTGCTGAGACTGTGTGTCACAGCTATATTATCGCGGTCAATGCCAGCATTGTTGCTGACAGCGGCGGTACCTGTGTGTGCAACGAGCCCTCGGAGGGCCCAGGCCCTAAGTGTCTTGACAACGAGGAGTATGCTCTGTGCAAGTCTCAGATCAAGCGCGATCTGATCACTGCTACGGCTGCTATTTCTGCTCTCGGCAGCTTCTTCATGGGCTTGTGCTCTAATCTGTATGTTTTGCTCGCCTGAAACATTGACTGGACCTCAGCTGACATCTCACTACCAGCCCCGTCGCCATCGCTCCTGGTATGGGTCTGAACGCTTACTTCGCTTACACTGTTGTCGGCTTTCACGGTTCGGGTCATGTCAGCTTCCAAACCGCACTCACGGCAATCTTCATTGAGGGTTTCATCTTCTTTGCTCTGGCCCTCTTTGGCTTGCGCCAGTGGCTTGCTCGTGCTATCCCTCGCTGCATCAAGCTGGCCACCAGCGTCGGTATCGGTCTCTTCCTTACCATCATCGGTCTGACCTACTCCGAGGGTATCGGCCTTATTGTCGGTTCCACTGCTACCCCTGTTGAACTGGCCGGCTGTCGCCAGGAGCTTCAGGTTGACGGGGTTTGCCCAAGCTATGCCAAGATGCGCAGCCCCATGATGTGGATCGGCATCTTTTGCGGTGGTGTTTTTACCACCATGCTCATGCTTTACCGCGTCAAGGGTGCCATCATTGCCGGTATCATCCTTGTCTCCATCATTTCGTGGCCACGCAATACTCCCGTCACCTACTTCCCTTACACTGCGGTTGGCGATGATAACTTTAACTTTTTCAAGAAGGTCGTCGACTTCCATCCAATTAAACATGTGCTGGACGTGCAGGAATGGGATCTCAGCGGCGTCGGCGGTCAGTTCGGTCTGGCGCTCATTACTTTCCTCTACGTCGATATTCTCGACACCACCGGCACGCTCTATTCCATGGCCCGCTATGCCGGCCTCGTCGACCCAGTTACCCAGGACTTCGAGGGTTCCACCTTTGCCTACATGGTCGACTCCCTAACCATCTCGATCGGCGCCATCTTCGGCACTCCTCCGGTCACTGCTTTCGTCGAGTCTGGTGCTGGTATCGGGGAGGGTGGCAAGACCGGCCTGACAGCCATGTTCACGGGTCTCTGCTTCTTCATCTCCATCTTCTTCGCTCCTATCTTCGCCTCCATCCCGCCGTGGGCTACTGGCTGCGTGCTTATTCTGGTCGGCTCCATGATGTGCCAGGCTGCGGCCGACATCAACTGGAAGTATATTGGTGACGCTCTTCCCGCATTCGTCACCATCGCCTTGATGCCCTTCACCTACTCAATCGCCGATGGTCTTATTGCCGGCATCTGCCTCTACATCCTGATCAACACCCTGGTTTGGGTCATCGAGAAGGCCTCGGGCGGCCGCATTGTCCCCCCGAACAAGGACGAGAAGGAGCCTTGGTCTTGGGGTGCTGAGCACGGCATCCTGCCGAACTGGGCCAACAGCCTCATCAAGGGCCGCCTGCCGTGGAAGAAGCCGGAACCAGCGTCGTCTGACGTCACCGAGGGCCAGTATGTGATTGAGAACCAGCAGGCCCCTTCTGACAACAGCCCGGCCGAGTTGCCGGAGAAGAGGCTCTAAATAGCTGCCCAGCAGTATGAGTAAGCAGTTGACGGATTTGCTACTCACCATGAGGAGCGGAGAGTATCATGTGTGTGTTACTGGGTGAATGGAGCTGGTTTGTGCTTTTTGAATGGGTTATTCCACATATATTAGCGATAGTTTTAATAGGCGGAGTGAAGATACCCAAGGAACTAGTTATGTTGCCATACCTACTATATTTCCCTTGCTCTCCGACACCAGAGTGATCACCACTACATGAACTCCATCCGCCATGTTAGCGTAATTCCTCGGCCAAGCTTTTGTGGGAACCAACGCACTACACTGTTCCACACGTACATATCATATAGCAGCCGTGTTGGATAACAGATACACCGTAAGTACTTCACAAAAACCCACGTAAACAATTTATTGGAAGCTGAGCGCCGCGGGGCGACATCTATGGATGAGATCAGTTTTTACCCTACACCATGCTAGCTAACCCGAATGCCAACCAATGCCTTGGGTATATGACATATGGTCGATGATAAAAAGATGTGCAATAGTCAAAGGGGGACAGGATTGGCCAACGATCCGGACCTGACAAAGCCCGGCTCAGGCACCAATCTCCCAGGGATTGGTGGCGGGACACTCATCTAGGCAAGGTACCTAAGTTAGCAAACTTCGACTCTCTAACCTATATAGCATGTATAATCACCTTTCCCATTATTATCAAATTCCTCCCAAGAGAAAGCCATCGAAGGTATTTCTCTTTTCCCCTCCAGCTTCCTTGAACCGGAGGTCCATGAACCCATGATCTGGAAAGGAGTAACGGAAGCCACTCAATCGTCTAGCCGCAAACGAGTACTCCTTTGCTGAAGGGACCAGTCATTCAAGCTGCCGCTGTAGAGGGCAGCGAGGTCTCCTCAATAAGCTGAGCCTTGTCTGTCGTATTCGCAACGGCTTCTTGGCTGTTCTCAATAGGAGGGTCATTTTCTTTGCGATCTGTGCTCTCTTGGTTATTATCATTCTCCTTATTGCTGTCGCTGCTCTCTTTGTTGCCATCTTTGTTGATGAGCGCAAGGAGACTGGGGTCAAGCATCGACCCACCGGCATGGCCGTCGCGCTCCATCATCGCAGCCAAACGAGCAGCTCTTCCTTCCTTTTTACGCGGTACGGGTGCTGCAGCTGTGTCAGCGAACTGTCGACTCAGATGCAAAGTACGGGATATACTGACCTCGGTTATTCTCCTGAACGTAGAACTGCCGCAACAAGGTAATAGCTTCATCGCGGCCCCATCCTCCCTCAACCTCATACCCGGGTTCAATATTGCCACCATCACCTGGTAAGGTTGTTGGTACGAAAGGAATGTTTCTGATCTCATAAGTCTTAACTTCCCTGGATTTGTTGTCCCCAGAAGTGCTATCTCCAGAAACACTATCTCCAGAATTGCTTTCCAGAGCATTTCCGTTCTCTGACCCGCCATCTTTCTCTGACAGCTCAGCTGTAGAAACGGAACGTGGTTCTGGAACAGGCCTAGAAATAGGGTGATGAGGAGCAGGAGTGATAGGAGCTGAGGCTGGAACACGAGGCGAATTCTTGTGAATTCGGAACACTCCGCCAGTACCTCCAAACTTATCGTTGACGGCACCAAAGTATACTCTTTTGATTCCAAGCTGGCGCAGGAGAGAAGCGCACATGACGCAGGGCTCGACAGTGACATACAAGGTGCACTCTTTGATGATATCAGGGCTGACGCGGGGAGCTGGATGAAGCTTCTGACCGTACGGATAAAGATGGCCTTTGGTAGGATCAACATCTCCCCAGGAGCTAGTTTCATTGTCATCGTCATCCAGTCGTTCTTGGTTAGTTTTATCGGCCAGGGGCTGTTTCGTAGCTGAGATATTGTTGTTGGTTTCCCCGGGACCGCTGCGGGTGCCCCAATCAGCTTGATAGGATAACAAGGCGCAGATTGCCATGAGTTCAGCGTGCCGCGTTCCGTTCCGAGTGATATTGGTTGCATTCATCCCTCGCGCAATCACTCGATTCTTGTAGACGAGCACACAGCCAACGGGCGTTTCGTTGGTTCTGAGGGCAAGTCTAGCCTGAAACATAAGAAGTTAGCTTGATTGTACAAGTCAACTATAGCAAGTTTGAGATCAATAAGCCGGCGGTCAAGACTCCATCAAATCCTAGGATTAGGTGTGACACAAACTAAAATGTCGGAGCTTGAGCTTTAAGGCAAAGAAGTCAGAGATAGCTTGGGGCCGAGGGAAGTAAAGATGGGTGAGTCGCATCGTCTTCATGGACCCACTGCGACGATCACCAAGTAGTTCCCTGTTTGTGTAGGCTCATTGATGGGATTCCTCGTAGTCTCGCTGCCACAGGAGCGGACAAGCGATCAAGCTGAGGCGCGGAAGAGGAGAGCTCCCATCAGGAAGAGGAGAAACGGTCCACGTACCATATCCAGAGCCTCCCTCATAAACCGACTATGCATGGCCCGCTCCGCCGCTTGCTCGGGAGTTTCAATCTTGACAACAACCCCGTCCTGCTGAACTGGAGGAGGGTCCTTCAGCTTACTAGTCTGAGAGACCGGATGCCACAACGGGACAGCAGGTGCCTGAACCACTTCCCCTGGAACTGTGGCGACGGCTGCGGTAGTGGTGATAAATGTAGTACTTGCAGAAGTGCATAGAGAGGCCTTCGAATCACTAGGCTGTTCGGGAATGGCCCTAGCGGCTTCGTCCTTGCTGACGACATCTCCCCTTTCGGTCGTTTTCATCGCTGCGGCCTGAACCGCTGACTTGCTGGCTGCATTGAGGTTAAGACGTGAAAAGTCATCGGTGAGCTGAGAATTGGCGGCTTGAGCATGGGCCTGAGTGAGGCTGGATGAAGGATCAAAAAGGGGACAATTCTCATCCTGGATCCGAGGGGTCTGCGAGGGGTCTGAGACAGCTGTTGATGAGAGCGGCTGCCCACCTGGGGGCTCAATAGCAGACGGAAGCGATGGTGAGTTTGCCATAGTGATGTTGATGTTGCTGTTGGAATCGCTTGAATGCGGGCTCTCCTTGGGGTGGTGGATCTCCTTCGGAGAGGAGATCGAGTCGAAGTCAGAAGTTGAATGGCATGGGAGGATTGGAGAGCTTGTGCTAGGTTGGCCAATGGTAGAGATGCGCTTGACCATTTGCAGAAAGAGCTCGAATGGAAGGAGAAAGAGCCACCGCAGAAAGAATGTGGTTTTGAGAGCGATGCCCACGAGGGCTTTGAAGAGCTTGAGCGTGCTTGCCATTTTTGACAGCAACTGCTGCGGGTGCATCAAGACGCGATGAATGAAACCTCAACCCCACCAAGCAATCACAATTGGCCTGCCCACAGCAAAGCCCGCCGGCGTCTTTAACCTGCCGAATAATGATACAAGTGATAGCAATAATAAGGAATGATATGCAGAAACTGTAGGTGTTTGCTGCTACTAGTGCTCTTGGTGCAAGATTGTGAGAATCCGAGGGAGGACAACGGGCTTGCTTTGTGTTCCTGCAATAGCAATGCCGGCTGAAAATTTGAATGACTGTCACTCCCAATAGACTAAGCCGTGTGGACATCAGCAACTGCGCTGAACCAGATCAAGGAGGTTTCGGGGAAGCAATCCAGTCTCACAATTCCCATGCTCTTCCTGCAGGGCTAAAAGCAAAGAAAAATAGGTAAGGTAGGCATCGGACGAAGAGTTTCCACTCCATGGGAAAAACCGCAGTTCATCAGATGAAACTGCAGTTTCTCTCAAGTTTTCAACAGGTGGGTCGTGGCAAACCCTTTACCTGCACAACCTTTATTTTTGCGCATGACCCCAAGAATCAATGTCTGCGAGGATCCTAGAGGCCACAAACATTGCGAATCACAGCAATCATTAAAGGGGGACTCCAAGGGTAAAAATTTATGGTGGTCTGCGGGGACCCTAAATTGTCAGACTCTGAGAAGCTATCTGTAATCACCATTACAAACCCTTCCGCTCAGGAACCCACAAGGGACAAGGGACACAGCATCACAACTCAAAGAAATCAGGTCCTCGCAACCCATCCAGCAATCCTCCTCCGATCCCATACCAAAACTCATTACAGTATACAAAAGGAAGAGGACGGCCACATGTCTCAAATCCTCCAGATAACGCCCGGGGTATCATACTCAACCAAATGCAGTCGCTACCAAATTAATGCAATCGTCAAGTCATAATACATCACCACAGTATTATTAGTACACAGAAAAGGACTTCCAACAGTTGGGTAACCCGACTCCACTCAGTATAGCACGAGAAGCCGCGCAGAGGATAGTAGAGACGAAAACCCGCTTCTCCTTGTCCTCCGCCGTTGGCTCGAATCTGTAGAGCAGATTCTGGCCGTGGCGCAGTCCACATACGTTGGCAAGTTTTTCTGCGGCCCAGCGAACTGGGAGAGTGATGATGATATGCTTGTGAAAGCAAGAATGAGGTTGGCGAGGCTGGCCGGCACAGGAGTCAGGGGCGCTTGCGGCAGCAAGACAGCTGCAGCGCAAAGGAGCGAGACAAGACCGAACACGACAAGCTGGAAGAAAAGGCCGGGAGGAGAGAAGGATAGTCGCTGAGGGACACTCTTCTCGTTGGCGGCATTTTCTTGGCCAGCCACGATGCGCCGTGTCGGGAATGTTGAGGCAGTGGTCGCGCTCGTTGTTGCAGTCGTCGCTTTCAATACGCCTGCATATGTCATAACAGTGCTGTGGACATCGACCGCAGTGACTATGCGAGGTACAGTTGTCCGATTTGTCGTTACCGTCCGATTTTCTATCACGCCCGTAGGCCCACACAAGCCCTGGCCAACAGCATCGGCTCCATGTGCTGATTTGATAGCACGAGGGGAGGATGCTGGACTACTAATGGCGGCTGGTGCCCTTAGCAGACCGCTAGGTCGAGGTGACGGGCTTGGACTAAGTGACGACTGCACAATACTGGCCGCTACAGTATTGGCGGAAGAAACAGCGGCGGTGCTGCTGGATGAACCGTACTGCTGCCGTTTGGTGGTGGACTGGCTGTGAGTAGCTCCCTCAGCAGTCACATCGCCACTAAGTTCTAAGGCCGCGTGACTCTTGTGATTGGTTGGTCTGTAGATGGTTTCTGATCTCCGAGATTCATATTGTTGGTTGGTGCAAACAGTAGGCTCGTCAGGTGAATGAGAGAACTGCCCTGTGTAATCAGGGAACGATGAATAATAGGACATGCGCGGGTTATCCACAGGCGAAGTACGAGAAACAGAGACAGCAGAGCGAGAACTCTCTGCGGGAATGAAGGGAAAGGAGAACTGCGGAGTGCTTGTTGTCGCGGCGTGGGCAACGCTAGAACGAGGAAACGACAAGGGGAGCTGTTGTTGACGGCTCGCAACCTCCGTCATCTGGAAAACAGGATCCTCATCCACGTTGTCGGGTCCAGGCGAATAAAGGTTGAAGTCTGTGTAATCAGTGCCGAGGGCAGCCAGTGGGTTGAGATACGGAATGGTCGAGTCGCTGAACAACGATGCGTCAGCTGCAACATCCACGACAGGGTCGGATACAGTTGCTGGCGAGGCCTGAAGAGACGAAGCGAAGCCCTGCGAGGGAGAAGCCGAGGAGGAGGACGAGCTAGAGCAGCTTTGAAGACCGATGAACGAATCGAAATCGAAGTCGAAACTTGTGAACTGGCTGGCAGCAAGCAAGCTGGGTTCCTGATCGAACATGATGAAGTCTTCCCAAAATCTCTCGATATCCTGAGCTTCCAGCGTCTGGAAATCGGCGGTCAAAGCTGCAGCATCAGAGGCGGTTGACCCAACAAACTCCCCTGACTCTCCAGCAAATGCAACAGGCGGTGACTCTTCTATCTTCTTCATCTTTTTCGCGGGCTTTTGCTCGTGCTGAGAAGGCGAAGCTTGAGAAGCATTTCTCTTCTTGTGGCTGGGGTCACAGCGAACTTTCTTCCTCCGGCAGGTGTCACAGGCCTTGATAATGCGCATGAGATGAGCGTGTTCCCTCTGCTCCTTAGTCTTGCAGCCTCGCGAAGCCATGTTCGTAACATCTCGGCCGTCCTTGGTCAAGATGCGCATACCTGGATGATTGGAGAAGTCCATGGCCTGCTGCCGCGAGCTGGATGTGCTCGACCTTTTGGTGACCGCTGGGCGTGGCCTGGGCTGAATGTCCGCCGGGGTAACTGCCGCGGGAGATTGGGCCCAGGCTCCTTGAGTAACGACAGGAGAAGCATTGACAGACGAACTCTGAGAGGAAGAAGCGTCGAAGGGGGTGGAAGAACTGGCAGGGGAGCCAGTGACCGGAGTGCAGGACGCCGGGCGGACAGGGTAGAACTTAAACTTTTCCCCGGTCTGATGTGCATACTCGAGAAAGTCCATTGAGACTTGGGCTCGCTTGTCCTGAATAGAAGCAGTGCCAGGGATGAGGGCATGGATCATTTGATCGAGCTCTGGAGTACCAATGGCGGGGAGCCACTGCAGCGGAGCCCCGAGCGCCGGCTGGTAAACGGCGAAGCCGGTGAAGGTACCGGCCGATTCCTGACGATCCATACCGGACATTGGACGGCTTGCTTTCGGGACGGTTGAGAAAAGAGGAAACGGGGCAAGAAAAGGGTTGAGAACAGAGTAACAAGGGTTTGCTAAGGCAGGCTCAAGCAATCTGGGACGGAGATCTTCAGAGCTGGTTACTTTGCTCAAACGTATCGAACTATGGGCATCCAGGTTGGCGTCGAGTATCGCGTCTCCGTAACAAGGTGATTCCAACGGTACGAGAAAGCGAGGTTGGTGTGGTGATGCTTAAGAGGCACAGAGTTTTCCGAAGAGTCAAGAGCGATCTTGTTGGTAAGCCGCGCAAAGTGCTGTTAACGCGATACGATGCGTTTTGTCAAGCGGTAGATACACCGTCTTAAGCAATTGGATAATCGCGTTGACAGGATCTGTGATCTCGGGCGACGCTGAGGACGGGAGAGGATGACGAGGAGAGCGTCCCTAGGAGTCAGCCCGATATATCATTGCCTCGAAGGAGGAACAGCTTCTGGAGCTCGACAAGGTCATGATGGCGCAGCGACAGTGGTCCCACTCGGCGAGATGAATTAGGTTTAGCGCGGCCCGCTTCAAGGGAAGAAGATGTACCTGGAACTTGACAGTTTTTCTGTAGTACTTGCAAAGGACTTGGGCGCTTCTCAAGTCTTCTTGTACATGATATTATCCCACGTAAGTATCAGCTACCGCCGAGCTGCAGAAGATTGGCGGCTGACAGGGTTGCAGGACACGGCGAGCAGTTTGCTCGGATATGACCCCACCAAAAGAGTGACATCCCACAGGGTCCGTAGTTCGACCACGGAAAGCCAAAAGACCTTTCTCAATCAGCAACACGTCGTCAAATCTGACCCAAACAAACTCCACAATTCTGTTGCTTGATTGGCCAGTATTTGGATGACTCAAAGTCTCCAATCGTGCTGAGCCGATCAGGGAAGGTCGTGATACCAAAGTAAAATGGTCACTCCTTCGGATTACGGCGGATGCTGATTTGTTTACAGCCCAGCTTTTCCTTTCGTGCCGGCTAACGACCCATTGATGGTTCTATCCGTGGCATACTTGTGCGATGGATAGTAATGCTGGTGGGTGGTTATAAGGGCGTTGTCCAGTACGACGTATAAGAACGCGTTGCTTTCGCTTGGCCTTGTCACAGCCTCAAAGGCGTCTCTCACAGGGCTGAGCAACGCCTTGGCTACGGCGGGACTCGACTCCGGGTTTTGGTGGGGCTTTGCGGAGGGACGGGAGTGGGATATTGAGCCGGCAGGGAAATTGGAAGGGATCGACTGCGGTTCCTCCACAAGCGCAGGAACCGTTGCCGCCCTCATTGCCCAGCAGCCAGCAATTTTCTGTCTGGCGCTGAACACAACCCTCGTCAGGGTTGCCTGTCCCCACAGCCGACACTCCTAAGCTCAAGAAGGGTAGCCATCAAAGCGTCAAAGCCATCTCAAACCCGCCGTCAAGCAGAAAGCCACTTGATATCACGATGCCGCCGTTTCATTGGACTATAATTGTCCCAACGGCCTGTACGGATAGATTGGTTTACAGAAAGATCTAGATGGTTCGGCGAGTCATAGAATTGCAGTGCGTCCTCCAACACGACACAACAGCATTGGACCATATACCACGATACACCTGGCTCCTTCAAGTCTCGCCTAGACAGGAATAAGTAACGTATCGAGGTCCGGGGCTGGTAAGCCATTAGGCACCTATATGAATGCTGCACGAATACATTTATAGATGCCAATCTTCAGATTGTGCCTTGCCCTCCCTGTTCAGCTATGGGCTGTGGCAGGCAGAACCTAAGCTCGGCAAGCGCTATGAATACGACGTCGAGCTTGAGGATGGTCACCCATAGTCTCACGTAAAGCTCAAGATGTGTCATGAAAGTCTCGTGTTTTGCCTTGAAGAGGTATACCTGACAAACTGCGAGCATAAGCTCTGATAATAAAATACAATCCCCCTCAACATCAGATCTACTTTCGTTGCCAGAAACATCTTCTAACCCAACCACCCTTCACCCCAATCTCCTATAGGGGTAATAACAACGGGTATCACCCATCCAAACACCGTTTTCCAAACCAAATTCCTCAGCTTATGCCTTGAACCAATACCATACCAACCAAAAGAATGCAAAATGAAAGGAACAGCATATTTTGACAACGCGTCAACGTCAGATCTACGCAACACCCGGAGAGAAGCAAGGCTTTAACCAAAACGCCAAGATAGAGTTGAGAGAAACCCTTTAAACCACGAGGGGGTGGTCCAAGACTGATCGGTAGTCACCGTCAATTTTGACAGGCCGGTATCGATTTTTTTGGTGTGATTGAGATGATGTGTATAGAGTAAATGGAGTGACTCTGTGTATAAGTCAGCTTGTGCCCTGATTGCATCAAAGTACTGTTGTGCTTCACGAAACCGTCAGCACATACCTGGAATTTACCATCAGTGCGTTGACCTCTGCCGGCCTTGGCCAACAAAAGTGGAAGAAGCACTTAAGTTGGAGAAGAGCAGATAACCCTGGACGTGAATGGGAATGCGTCACTTGAGCAAGGCATTGAGAAAGGCTTAATGATCGCCTGTGTAAAAAAGGAAGTGTGAGAGGTCGGCTGTCGGGCATTGAGCACCTCCAAGATTTTCGGCACGGCTAGTATGTGGATACGGCCAGATGAGTCTGCTCGAAGGTGCTGGATTGCCATATCCAAAATTACCCTGCTCGCAGATTCTGACATCGGGTCGTGCCTCAACTGTGGGGAGCTGATAGGAATAAGATGTCCTCGAAGATACTACCGAATGTGCATCTTCGCTGCGCACCTGTGCAGTATAAGAGGAGGACAAGGTCGATGAGGGTACAAACGCAAAACAGTACCGTTGCCAGAACGCGGCGTACTGCTTGCACGACGGGCACGGATCAAGTCCATGGGGTTGCCGGTCGTAAAACCCGCATCCTTGGCACTTCCAAAAATCTGTTTCACCTTGGATGGGGGCATGGGCCGATATGAAATGCACATTGAAATCATCGCGATTAGGTCCCTGCCAGTTGCAGGGTTCCGATAAGGGCATTGACACGCAAGAACGCATCTCGTCACTTCCCCAAAGGCAACCCCAGCTGTACCAGGGAAACTCTGTGCCAATAGGAATAGAGATGGGAAATTGATATTGGTCCGTCGAAAAAGGCACACCTCCCGTTTGGGGGACATCGTCTGCCCGCCCTTGGGGAGCAAAAAGTGCCAACGCCGCAGTAACGTCTTCCCGAATTGGTTGCTGGTCTTGAGGGGGGTCCAGTACCAGATCGTACTCAGGGTGTAAATCACCCGCGACACCTCCGAGCGTTTGTAAGCAGGAAGAGTGTTCGCCTCCAACACCAAAAAGGTCACGTTGAACGTTGACATCGATCGGGGAATTGCCTTCTAAAGTGGACGGGTCGACGGAACGCTTCTCTTGAGAAGGGCATTCCAAGTGTGACACATCGACGTGAGTACACTCGAAGACAGTCAGCGACCAAGACATGGTTCCATGGCATTGACCTCTGGCCGACTCACTCTAACCTTGCGTCTTCGGCACTCCGTGCAAGCCCCAGCTTTGCGCATTAACCCCGCCCTTCTTTTAGTCTCCTCCGACAGCGGCCCAATGCGACCGCCTCTTCTCATTCTCTTCTCAGGAGGTCGATCATTAATGGCCATGTCACTCATGGCTCTGGAAACGGAGTTGGTCGTGCTGGCTTGAGAACGGGCAGGTGATGCGGGAGATGCTGGGAACAAGGGAAGTTGAAGAAACATCGTCATGTCTCGATGATCATCGTGGGGTATTTGGAGCTCATGAGGGGAAGTTCTAGGAACGCCGCCATGTTTACGGCGCTGGTTTGGCTTTTGAGCAGCCATTGCGTTCGGAAGCTTTATTCTCAAACGAGAAAATCGGCGTGGTTGCGTGATGGCGAATCTCTATGCGCAAGCAAGTGGGCCAGGCCAATAGTCTTCGAAACGATGCGGCGGTGGTAGAATAGGTAAGGCAGCAATCGACGGAGCGCCCCGGCTCAAGGCGGCGACAAAAGTCTCCAACTGAAACTAGATAGGTAGGTAGCTAGCTAGGTATAACTGGATGTAGCGGCGAAGATGAAGGATGGGGGTCAAAGATCTGAAAATTGTCACAGAAACAACCAATTACTTTAGGAGATTCAAGATGAAAGAGTATTGCAGGCTCATAGGAAGACGGGGCGTGAAAACGGCGAAAGGAGATTGAAGCAAGTGTATTTGCAAGGTAGCCTGGGCCTAGGTGCTGGCAACATCAAGAGCAACCTGCTGCTGTGAGGATGCACTGCCTCCTTTTTTCACCCACCTCAACCTCCTCAGCCCGTACCCGATTAACTTGACTTCACAGTAACATGGAGAATAGATGACAGCACAAATGTTGATCCTAGATGCGAGCGAAAAGAAATGAATGTATTTATATATGACAAGGAGGATGAGAATTTCGCATTGTCAAACTTGGAGTCAGGCATAGATAGCACAGCAAAATATTTGGTTTACCTGACTGGTCTGCACTGCCCACTAAACGTTGCCAGATAGCTTCACAGTGTGTATTTTGTTCTTGGCATCTTTGGTTGAATCAGTGAGGCATCCAACGTGGAAGCCTGCAAAGCAATTGTCGAAAAACAACTCACCGAGAAATAAATAAATAAATGGTAAAGAAAACAACTGATGACAACTATGTGATGGAAGCTTTGTTTTCTCTCTCTCGTTTGCCCAAAAGAGCAGGTTAGTATTTTTATAACTTGCTCACCGCTTCAATGAACTGGAAGACAATGCTGTAGGGTGCAAGCAGCAAGAGTCTCGAGTGACGCAGCCGGATAACCGTGGTGCGCTGCTTGGAGTGCGGCAATCACCAATGTAGGCGCATCAGCGCACTTTTTACTGTTTGTAGACCATATAGTTCGCATATATCTCTACAGAAAAAATTGCATGGGATACGGGCATATGTATCGCGCATTTTCCTTCATTCAAAGAATGATCCAAATTTAGTGGATGTTGATGGTGGCATTCGTTGGACAACTTCAATCATGTGATAAGCTTGCCTATATCACAATTACCAACACCTACAGGTTAGAAACACAAAGCTTGACAAGATCTTGAACTACAACTGCTTGGGATTGAAGCTAATGATTGACTGAAACTCTGCGACTGCCATCTAGCCCACCATGGACCTCAGTCCACCCAATGCAAGCACCTGTTTGACCGAAACCAGTTGATAGGAGCAGAAACTTAGGGCATCATCAGAGGGTACATAGGATGGAGGGACCCAAATTGCACCTGATTGATCAACGGAACCAAAGGAGGAGCGTTCGTGTTGGTCTTTTCACGTTCAATGTGAAACTGTAGGATTCTGTACTAGTGCCGTGCACCAAACTGTTACCCTGGACAAAGTCAAATGACATGGCACGTCCAGATGATTGATGAACTACTGTACTACCTCCAGTGGCCCAGTTTCTCTTGCTGGCTCTACAGATGTAGTGACATCCTTGATGCTAGGATGCGGGGCACTGCACAACACCGAGGTACAAGAATCATGTCCAAACCTGATGCCTTAAACGACCCATCATGAACATTGGGACCTAACTTACGGGCCACGTGGATCATGAACAAGGATCATTTTGGTGTTAGGGATTATCAACCACGAGGTTCTGCTTATTGGCCCAGTAGTATCGAGCAGCCAAATCGCCTTTGAGATGTCTGGAAAGTGATCTGCCTGACAACACCAGGCACATCACGATGTTGAGCCGCAAAGCCCAACTCATATACATCCTATTGGGTAATTTACATTGTTTGCAAAGTACTGTTAACGCAGCCCTAATTTGGTATCCCGTGGCCATTTCATAGCAATGTGGCAGCCGGGAACCTGGAACCCCAGACAGGATAGAGAAAGCCAGCGCTTATGCAACAATTTCCACCTCTGCCGGCTGAAATCAGAACTCAGCCTGCAGGACGGCCAGTTTCGAGTAAGTCGTGCGCCTCGCGACTCCATGGCCCTCCTCCTCTAGCAGAGACAAATCCAGGAAACATCATCTTGCGTTTCGACCGTTCCTCAGCAACAGGCTGACCTGCCCACCCACTTCCCGTTGATCTCATCGCGAAGGATGGTAGCTCCGGTGGCAGGACTGGACGAGGGACCAGGCCGATTGCGTCCGACTTGAGTGCAGCCTTGCGACCTCGTGTTGCAGGATTGGGGATCCTTGGCCGATTAATACCGGTACCACCGTTTGCAGCAGTAAAATTACTGACAGATGGTTGAGCCAACACCGATAGAACTTTCGAAAACGCCTGGTTGGCATCGAGCGTGGACATGCCACCCTTTGACGCACTTTGCATTTTACCAGTTGGAGATTGGACCTCCGCTTGGTTATTACAGGTGATGTTTCCCGCCATCAGCAGAGAAGTTGTTGGAGTGAATGATGTGGCCTGTCCGCCATCGCAAGGCTCGGCTGTGATTGAACTGAGCTCCTCTTCATTGTCGCGGCAGTTGGAGGCATTGACGTTGGTGGCCGGGCCAGTCGGGCTTCCACAGTTGGTATGTTCAGAAGCAGGCTCTTCGATCAGATGGATCGGTTTACCTGGAACAGTTTTAGGCAGCACTGATTCTAGTGTCGGCCCTCCTATTGAGTTTTTGTGTAACACCAGATTGTTTGTTGGGCCAATCTTGTTGGGTTCAGGAGATTGGTTGATGGGCGAAGCAGACCTAACAACTCGATTCGGACTTGCCGCAAGTATTGAGTTTTCAGCAGTCTCATCGACAATGGACGTCATTTGAGAACTGTGTTGTTTCTCTTCTGCGAAGGTTGGCGAGCTGGTGACGGAGGTTAGGAGAGGATTGACGGGTACAGGTGTACTCGTGGGGATATACCCAATAAGTTCTCTGCTCCGAACGCTTTTGCTGAGCCTTGTCAAGCGCGGACGGGACGAAGCCTGAAAGCCTCCACAACCGCCACTTTCCTGCACGCCTGCGATCTTTTTGATCTCTCTTTTTGGACGGACAGGTCTGGCACTTCCTCCTTTCTCGTTATCTTTACTCTTGTTTACAGGGTTTTCCCTTTTTGGTTTTGCGAAAAAGTCTGGGGAAGAAGGAGCCCGGCTTAACTCTCTCTCGTCGCTAGAATCCTCAGGGTGATGAAGTCGTCTGTTTGAAGCCCGCAGTCCCCTTCTGCGTTGAGGAGGTGATGACGAACTTTGCTCGATTTCTTTGGGGCTGTTTGCGGGTTCTGGTGTTGTTTCTAAATCCAGTGCTGGAGCAGAAGACTCTGGCAGATTCTGAGCTCCCTCCCCACGTGAGCACGAATCAAGAATGCCGTCGCCTTTAGCGGCATCTTTCGCTTCTCTGGGAATTTGATTCGCAATGCCTTGTGCCGAGGAGATGAGGTTAGACGATGTGATGGTCGAAGACCTATGAGCAATGGCGAGTTCTGATGCGAACGAATCATTTGAATCATTCGGCGAATCATTTGCAATACCGACTGAAGGGGGTCGATTCCCTATCAACAACCGTGTCGCTCCAATGAAGGCTGATGGTTCCAGAGACGTTGGGTCTGACTGAGTGGATTCTAACGGCATGTTTGTTTGCTTTGCGGTAAGTTTCTTTTCGGTAAGAAGCAACAGTCCACGCTTCGGCCGAGGTTTTAGTCGTAGTTCCATTCTTTCCCCGTTGAAATAATCTTCAACATGAGCTATGACCGATTTCCTGGGCAAAGTTTTATCAGACGGTGGAGGTACTGCCTCTGACAGCTTACATTGGCTTGCTTTCTTTTCCTCCTCTTTCTCCTTGCCATGGATCTGCTGAGGGAGATTAGCACTTTCTGACGCGTCAGAATCTGACTCGTCGTCGAGTACGATAGCCTGAGAAGCCGATGCCCCATGTGAAAGTGACACTGCAGGATGCCGCTCGACCCCGGGCTTGACCGCTGATATCTTGGTCTGATAGACGTGTTCGTTTGTGGAATGCTGACCATCAGGAAGAATAGTAAAGTGCGAGGTGACCAAATCAGAAGTCGTCTTCGTCGACATCCTGGGATTGATTGTTCTTTCACAATTGTCAACCTTGCTCGTGCCTGGTTCAACGAACTCAGATCTAGTGCCTATATTTTCTTGCGGTTGGGAGGATTTTCTCTTCGATTCGGACAACTTTCCAGAGAAGCCGCCTGTTTCACCCCTGGACGGAAAGCCAGACTGTGGGAAGGCTGAGAGCCCACTCAGCGCTCGTTCTTCGAATCCAACAGGCTTTTGCTCTCGGTCGTCTCTCATCCTTTCCGTCGTCCCGGCTTCTCGGGCATTCGTAGAAACTTCTGGCTGGGCGTTTTGCGTCTGGCTTGCCGGACAGCGGGGAGGAACGGAACTGACGGGCACGGCAGATAATGTCAACGTTGCGCCAAAAAGATGTTGTGCATAGCCAGTCTTGCTGGGGGGGATGATGTCGTATTTTCTCCTTTTCGCTGGGCGCGGATCACTATCCGTGTTGGCCATCTGCTCCGCTCTTTGTCGAAGCTCAAACGGCGACTCTCTAGGTATGACTGCACGCCCATGGTGACCTGTGGGCATACCAAGAATGGCCGTCAAAGGACGATGTCGAGTGTGAAAGTGGTCTTTGAGTGCAGACGGGGTATGCCCAGAAACAAGCCTGCCAGTCGGAGTTGACACCGTTCGTTGCTGCCGTTGCTCCTTTTCCTTTGCCCTTCGATCCAACAATTCTGATAAGTCCTGCTCCTGACGGCCAACGCACTCAGCAACTTGGACGATTACACCGCCGCGTTCGAGTTCAATCTCCTCGCCTTCGTCGAAGTCCCAATCATGCCGCCAGTGCATATCTCCGACATAATGCCCCTTCACATCATAAACCATGATGCGCTTGTTGAATGTATGATACTTCAGTCGGCCATCTTCCCAACGCTTGTGTTTCTTTCGGAGGTCGTGGGTGAACAGGCAAATAAATTCGAGGACAGGAGCAGTCCGGCCATTGCCAGCACCCGGGACCCCCGCCGGGGCAGATCGGGCGGTTGCGATGGACGACATCTGTGATGAGCTGGGCTCGTATTGTTGCAGTCAGAATACCATATTAACTGAAGAGGACGTTATTAGTTTCTCAACGCCAGGCCGGCTGCCAGATATGGGGAACACGCATTGTTCAAAGATCTTCCGAGACGACGCGAAATAAGCCAGATAGGCGCGTCTGGCCAACCGCGACATCACATGATTGGCGTCCCTACGGTCCCCACCCCCTCAAAAGCCGCGCTTTCCAGGCTTCCATAGAACACGCTCAACCCCACAAATGCTTGTCTTTTGACGCCCTGGCGCCAAGAAGCCAAGACAGATCCCGCAACTGTACCCCACTACTGATAGGCGCGGGACAGACGCCCAGCTTCAATACTATCATTCGTGCTGCAGACACGCAATCGCATTAGATGCAACCACTCCCACTTCCTCTGCCCTGTTAATTCTTCCTATGTCAAATGCATTCAAATGGTATTCCATCGCCGCAAGTTATCAACAACACTGCATGTTGCGATCAATCGCATCTGAGTCCCCAATGACATACTCGTAGGCGAACTTGTCGAGGTTCTGACCACAGCAGGCAGAGACCCAACGCCACTATGAATGCCTACCTCATCCAAAGGCATTTCTGCCGCTATTTTCAGGTCAACCTGGAAGAGCTTACACACCCGACTTGTCAGGTAGGATGCTGTGTCCACTGGTTCTTTGGGTTGCCATTGCACCCTAGAGCCTACCTCAGGTAGTGTAGGGCTTATGGAAAGAAACCACGCTGTCTGCCCACCGAATTCTTTCCCTGTGCAACGGGCCCGCCCAGAGGTGTTGATACGATTTGACGCGAGGATCCTGTCCATCTTTCTTGACCTGTTATGTCCCCTGAGACAGAACGGGCTTGGTGTCTTCCGGGTGTCATGACCGCTCCCCTCCATCTCTTCCAGGGATATTTTTACTGGTGCTGATCCATTGTCTTTCCCTAGGTATATATTATAATTTTCTCACCAACAAGAAATCATAACTTGCCCCGGTCCGCCGATATTTCTAGGGCAGCTTATTCATCCTCTTCCGAAAGCCATTGTTGTAGGGCATCTAGAGGATGTCATCAAATGCTCCCAGCTAATAGTTCGCCGAATCGAGCATACCACCAAATCATATCATTTGTGTGAAGATGCTATCTATGCAGAAGCATTTTGGAAGGCTCTGGAACAAAGGCCCGGGAGACAACGCTAAAGCTTCGGCCCTCCTGACCGACTATGAAGATGCCGACAGGGTCTTTGCCAAGGTAACGTCATTCAATCTTACGAAGAGCCTCAATTCTTGGGAGTACCCGGGGCAGCTGACTGAAAATACCCTCCAGATCATCGACATGACAAAGCAGTGGAAAGATGCCTGGACATCTCTCGCCTCCTCCCAGCTGCAGCTAGTAGCCGAGTTTGAAGGACTCTATGATCCTATCGTTGGCGCCTCCGAAGGTTCTCGCCGTCAAACCACCCCAACGCCCCAACTTCAGTTGGAGAGAACATTCAGGTTAAAGAAGGAATACAAAGAATTAAAGACCGAGTTATTAGGGGAAATCGGACTGATCGAGGAACATGTCATAAGACCGGCTGCTGAGGCCCGCAAGTTTATTGCGCCGGTTCGGAAAACCATCGGGAAACGCGAAAACAAGCGACTGGCATACGAAAAACTTCAAGACAAAGCAATCAAGATCCAGCGAAAACCTTGTCGGACGACAAAAGACGAAGCAGCCCTTGCAAAACTCGAGGTGGAGTTGTCAAAGGCTGCTGAGGTATGTGCAGTCCATCAACGTGGCAGGCTAAGTTGCCTTGGACGGCTAACAGAAGCCAGGAGTTTGGAGTCGCCGACGAACATCTTCGTAAAACCCTGCCGCCGATCATCATGGCAACCTTCAATCTCATTCCTCCCCTCCTCTCAAATATCGTCCTCATCCAAACCCGGTTGCTGGGCTTGTATTACACCGCCCTGCACGGTTACTGCCAGGAGATAGGACTTCCATCTCCCCCCCCTCCAATGAACGAGGTTATTTCTACATGGTGCTCGACATACGGGACAATTCGACAGAAAGTCGAATCCTTGAGCATCGTTGCCCGTGGGAATTCAGCCCACAAAACCCTGAAGCTTGGCGATGACATTCTCTGTCCAACCGGCACTGGTTCCAATAGAACTTCATCCAGCAGCTCAAGTGCGAAACTTCACGTACGACAGTGTCGGGTTTCGTCCATCAGCTCCTTGGAGGCACCCCCTTTCATGACCGGGAACAATCCGGTCGCTCAGCCCTCGTCAGCCAGGCAGCCTAACTACACTCATCCAACTGACTTTACCACAACTGTCGCTCTTGGTGGTGTAGATATCGTACATCCTGGGCAGCGTACCTCTCGCCTCCATACAAGTGACGACGACTCTGCTGTATCCCCCAGTACTCCATCGAGGAATGTTGGCAATAATACCAAACAGTCGGTGCTTATGGCAGCTAAAAAGAAAGCCCCTCCTCCACCTCCTCCACCGAAACGCATCTCAGGAGCGAAAAAAGAGGAGTGGGTTATTGCCCAGTATGCATTCGCCGCACAGGGGCCTGAAGATTTGTCATTTCAGGAGGGGGACAAGATCAAAGTCTTGTGGAGATCAAAGACTGATCAAGACTGGTACGTCTGCACAAACATCCCCTAGCCTGAAGTCAAAAGCTAATTGTTCGTTGTGTATCCCAGGTGGGTTGGCGAGTTGAATGGTGTGAAGGGCAATTTTCCGGCCAATTACTGCAAGGCTCTGTGAGTTGTGACAGGTACACGCTGGAAAGCTGATGTGTAAAGGAGTCGTCGCATCGGTTTTGGATAGCGGAAGGGAGTTGAGACAATAGTTAGCCTGAACTTCGATCCAAGCTTGGACTTAATCCCAGCGCAATCCCGAGTATCGTAGATCACATATCTTAAGAAAGCGAGGTGGCGATGTCAATGCAACTAACCGTATTACCATGCCGTGCATCGCTGAGGCGACTCTTGCCACGTCTCGGATTGATTTGTCCTGCTCAAGTGCCGAGCTTCTCAAGTTTTCTAGCACTACTTCGTTACCAGCATTTCAGGGTATCTTTTAAGATATCTTCTATCTAGTAGCTCTAACGGCGGATATTTGTTCTAAGAAGGAGTTACAAAGGATCTATTCAAAAAAGCATCCTCAATCTTGTTCTTTCATCCCAGATAAGCGTCAAGCTCAATGGATGACGACGAACACTCCTACGCCCATCACTTCGCACTTCGGTCTTCCGCTGCTGTCCTCGAAGTCCACATGGTGTCATGGCCATCCCTCAATTCTGTGTTTGAGCCAGCCTAACCCTGACCCGATGGAAGACCCCCAGCTTAAGTGTCAGCGGGGCTCGGTGCAAGTGAAATTGGCGTCACCGGCCCGGGGCTGCTGAGCGGTCTGAGCTGCGGCGAATCTGGCCTTACAACTGACGCAGCTGTCAAGCGGGCCCGAGCCACAATGAGCGCGTTGCCGACGTCAGAAGTCTCGCCGTCGGCTCGCCCTGTCTCTATCCGAGTTTTGGTTGTGTCGGCTCGGGTCAGAGCCACCTGTGCGGCCATCGACATTTGCGTGACCATGTCCCGCTGGTATTGGAGCAGGCGGTGGCGGGCGTCGGACCTGGACTGCCGCATGGTCTGGGGGCGGTCGCTGCCGGCAGGATGTGATGTGATCAATGATGGTGCTGCCGGCCAACCGTAGCGCCGCTCCAAGAGGTCTCCGCTGGCCGGAAGAGTGGTTGGACTGGGTGTCGGGGGCGGAAATGCGCCAATGGAGCTTGGAAAAGGGAATTGAGGGGACCCGGTCGGCGTGACTGTCATGGGCGACTCGCCTTCCTCCAAGTCAGGGGCTGTGTTTCTCTCTACCGGGGCATGGCTCGCAGACTCGCCGTGAGGAGTTGTTGCACCTTCACGAAACGGGTGGGGTATTTTGACGCGCGATCTTGGATCTTCGTGGAGGGGGAAGTATGCCCTGTGCAGCAAGGATAAGGGATCAGCCGTGAGATCCAAGGCAGTACCTTTTGGCAAGGGATTCAAAGGGAAGAAGGACTGGTTGCGTGGTCAGGGGTCGGAGCCCGGTGAGAGGGGTGAGAGAGGAGGCGGACATACCCAGGGATGTCTCCCCTCGCCGACAGCGGAGGGTCCGGGGTAACTGCAGCTTTAGATGTGAGATCAACCCTTCTCCGGGGGAGCACGATCGGTATCGGCTTAGCTTCCGCGTGTGTGAAAGGCGAAGTGGCTTTCCGGGTGATTGAGGCAGGCCCGGAATATCTGGGGCCCGTGGCTGCTGAGAACTGGGGCTGCTCGTTTCTAGGGGTGTTAATTGGTGACAAGGCAAAAAGTTCATCGGATAGTTCAGATCTCCGTGAAGCTTCGGATGGATCGGAGAGCGTGCGTTGCCGCGTTCCAGCACGGGCAGTGTTCAGGTTGCCGAAGGAAGGATTCCGAATCTCCATCTTTAGGTGCAGTGGTCACCAACAATCGATGCTTTGACTTAAAATAAAGTTCCCAGCAAATGCAAGATAGGGGGTGAACAAGAGCAAGGTTCTAGTCTCCAGTCAGTTATCGGTTACTGATGAAACCAAGGAAACCCAACACGATGCTTGGCTGTCGATGTCGAAAATACATGAAGACGGACAAGACGAAACAAAATGGATCAAGAAGAAAGGATGTCTAGCAGGAGAACTGTAGAAAAACAGATTGAAATGACCTGAGAAAAAAGGAAAGATAAAACTTCCTATGACGGAAACCCTGAGGAAACTTTAAGTGACGTATAACTGGCTCGGTAATTTCCTATACTGCACGAGAGTATCCAATGGATTAGCAGATACAGGTAAGACCACAATCAGCTTTGGCTGTATCTGGGTTTATCTCTCTCCGGTGATTGAAGAATAGAAAGCGGACAGTCTGTAGCAACGTTTGGTTTGGTTGACTACAGTAATAAGGATAAGCAGAGATACCTAGATAAATAGGTAAGGGATAAGAAAAGATTCTACCAAGGGAACACAGTGTGCTGTTGGTCAGATACCTTGGTCACCTGCTCAGCGGAAGTCAGGTTAGGTTGCAGTTAACACCCGACGCTGACGAAGTCGGTCTGACAAGCTCCCCCCAGAGGAGAAGAACCGTTCAAGCTAGTAGGTTCTTGGCTGGTGCAGTCAAGTAAGAAAGTGGGAATTACAAAGATAATAAGTTTGGCTTATCGGTTTAACAGGAAGACAATTTGATCCGTAGAGAAAGGGTTTGTCAGGAAATGAATGCTACTCGCCGGTGCTTGCACCAGCGGTCACCTCATACCTCATGCGCCTTGAGTCGGAAAAAGTGGGTAACTGACCTTGACGTTTCAGATGCATTTCATTTTCCCTCAATACATAGGATTCAAGGAATCATTGCCTGAAGCACTGGAAATAAAGGTTATCAGACTGAGGTTTCATTCGATCTCCAGGTTTCAGCTACCTGTCGACATGGCCATAAATTTGACTTTTAACCACCACGTCAGGTAACTAGGTAGGTAGACATGATGGGGAGTTCGACATATGCTCCATCGCCATCTTACTATCCATTTAGCGTCATTCGACTGAGTTTTGGAAAACTAGATGGCTTTTTTTGACATACATGCCGATAAAATAATGGTTTAGCATCTTGTCCGTCAGGTATATATATGACTTGCTGAGGTTGCGGCACAAAAGGCAAAAGCCCCAATGTGCATGTGGTGACTTCTTCACAACTCCTAGCAGAAAGACAAGATACCAGGTTGACCTTGCATACTTTGCAGCCAAACAGGGACAATGTTGCCTTCCACGTCAAGTGACAGGCACGGAGGCCCGAGAAGCTTAGCGGTTCCGGAGGTTCGCGGACTGGAAGATTGTGGGAGATTGATGTCTTCCACATGATGATGACGCCATAGGACCCGCACGTATCTCCGGTACCTACACACTGCAGCTATGAGATTGTAGTAGAGGGGTCCTCTAGGGTCCAGATTACGTCATAAGGTCGACCCTGCTCCTGATACCACGCAACCTCGAAGGTAGTTTTGATGCAGGCATCTATTATACCTAGTTTATTAGGATGTCATCCAGCTTTAGAAGATCTCGAGGTATTGAGAGCAACTGAGGTGTATCTATGTGATTTGTTTTTAACTCCCAGACATCGGTAACCGACAGGACTTCTGATGAAGATGCTTTTCTTACTTCCCGTGCTCAAAATTCTAAACCGCTAAGGGCCACTCCAGGTATGTAGAAAGCGACTTCAGCCTAATTAGAATTGTCAACGAAACTATCCCAAAGGACGCAATTACATGATTTCAAGCTCGGACTAAGTTTCTAACAACAAATTGTTGCGCATAGTATAGTGTCAATTCCAAAGGCCACAGAGCATGGAACTCTTGCAGGAAATTTCCCTGCTTAAAGCCTTGCACGGCTAGTAAAACGAGTTCTGCGCTCCCTGTGACGCCACCAGTAAGCAAGGTGGGCTAGGAAGCCGATGAGCCAGAGCATTGCACTAGTAAAGACGATCCAAACGGTGCTTTTCATCCGTTTGATATCCCCATTTCCGTTTGCATTTTCGTGGATATATTTCTTTATCCAGCCGTCAGCAATAACATCAAGATACGGTGACAATCATGAAATCTTGGTGACATACCCTGCCAAAGAGGCCGAAGAGCACAATCCAGAGAATGAAAAGGACCAGGTTCCATGCCCAGATCAGAGCGAACCTTAAGATATACGGGATACAGTAAAGCAATGTCGTTAAGGCAGACAATCCTCCCACGACCTCAGCGTAAACCTGTCTCCAGTTAGTTCAGAGTTCCGCTACCAGGACCAACACTATACCCCTCGGGGCTTTTGGGACACACTCACCAATTTGCCATCGGCACTTGCGTGCGCCTTCCGGGCACGGTCCAGATCAATACCATAGAGAGCACACACCACAATGGCAAGGACAAATTGCGCAAAGTGCAGCAGGGTAAACAGTAGGTAACTCAGTGTGACATCACCTACGGCCATCTTGCTTGCTGTTTGGAATACTGGATGATCTCGGAGCTAAGTAACCCGTTGGCAATAAAAAGCTAAAGAAAGCGGGTCAGAAAACGGTTGTGCGATGGCGGTGTCAGTTGCGCCACGAAGCAGTACTCCAGGTAGATCAGAACGTTGAGGGGTCACTATTGATGGAGGATTTGCAATAAACAATGATCTAGAGTTGACTTTGAGCGAAAACTTCACGATGGGTCAATGATGAGTTGGCCAAGGATTGCCAAGAACAATTGCGCGTTGACCAGCAACGAAGTCATGCAGAATGGAACAAAAGCCAAGAAATCCATAATCCTTGTTGGACATGCACGAACAGCTGTTGTAAAGGGTTGTTTTTAAGTAAGACTATACTCAGTAACCCATTGGCTATCAACAACAGGTCACAAAGGGGAATTCATCAATGTAATCCGCTGTGGAAATCAACTCTATGTTGTCGGGTATAGGCCAACGGCCAAGGATGCCTTTACATAGTGTATGTGTGCACTTGTCTGTGCAGTGGCCAAAAAAGCAGGATCAATTCGGATCTCGGAAATAGTTTTCCCGAAAGTCCAGCATGCCAAAGCTCAACCCCACCAAACACATAGTGACGTCATCCATAAGGAAGTCGATGCATTGAAGCTGCGATCCGTAGCATTTGAATCTCCTCTGCCCACATAGTCAAGTCCAATTGCACAACCGATCTAACAGAGTTCTTTCCTAATCACTTAGCACTATGGGTGTATATATGGCAACTTTACAGTAAACTTGTGCTATTGGGGTCTACCTCACGATTCATTGCGCGGGGCTGATTTTCTGCCAGGGGCCAGGTTGCTGCTCCCCTGCTCCCCTGCCGTACTTTGTTACTTACGGCTGTGCACAAGGATTTAATTTTCGGTGAAGCCCATGAAGTTTCTGGTGTATTGGGCAACAGAGGTTCAAAAGCCTCACCGTTAGCCCCGGTCGTATATGATTGCCCAGATCGTACGACTGCCAAGATTATGAATGTCCAAGTTCAAAAAATACATCCATATTTGGCGCTGTCTTGTTCACAAAAGACAAGAGTCCCAAGCTCCAATTTGTAATATCCAAATAAAGGAACAGCCTTACATGTGCTCTTGCTATTCTCCTTACAGATACCTAGCACAGTGCCATAATTGCAGCTTGTGGATTTGTGCCATTGCCCAGCATTGCTGCTATCAATTCCTTCGCATCCTACTGGTCATTTTACAAAAGTAGTTTCTCAAGATGCATTATGGGCTTTCGATAATCCTTGAGAAAGGCTTGACTTGACAGAAATTATAGGTCAATGACCAAAATCAAGGGGGTATGAGCATATAAGGTTTTTAAGATTCCACCAAAACATAAAGCACACATTCTCAGTCAGCCTTCTGTTGCGAGTCTTGAGTACCTACTTAATCTTTCTATCCACCTCTTGATCTGCAGTAGAGATCGAGTCCCTAGCTTACAAGGTCAAACTGCAAACTTGTGACGACATTGTGAGTTGAGGCGCTCGGACTTCCGGCAGGCAACCTCAGTAATTTCATCACCTCATCTTGTTAGCAGACAAAACTTACAAACAAATTTGTCTGAGTTGGAATTCAGCATTTGTTTGCTTAGCCTTGGTTGCCTTACTTTCAGCCCTTAATTCAGGACTCCAACGGCATCCAACAGGCATCGAAGTGTCCTCGAATCACTGATCTCGGAGACTGCCATTGAAGCATGACACCGCGTTCACGGCCGAACGACAGGATAGTTGGAATAGGTTGGGAATTTCTTCGCCAGGTTGACTGCGCCTTTGGGGACCGAGGCGCCAATACATGTCACCGAGAATCGGAAGTACTACCGCTGTGGATATGCTTTTCGGTGAGAGATGCCAAAGATGCCTCAGATCCCTCCTCGCCCTATCTCGCGTTACACCGAAAGTTGTCTCGGGCTTCTAACCAAAAGATCTTCATTATACAGTTTTTACGAGATCAACAGTTTCCTCGATCAGTTCGTCAGATGCAATTGTGCCCTGGAAGACGGAGAGAGCCTTTGAGGGTACTAGCCTCTAGGAGAGTACGCTAATGTAACCAAGATCAGAAAGTTGACGCAGGAACTCCGTCAACTTGGTGTTTTGTGGACGATTTCCGGAAAGTATTTGCTATCAAGCTCGATCTACCCTCGATACCAAAGCTCTATGACTGAGAGATAGCATAGTCATTAGTTACAAGTACTGAATCTAAGTGCTCTCTAACAGTGGTGGCCCGCTTGGTAGCTTTGCTCACTGGATGTGCCTCGACATTGCCCCCTTGGGAATAGTCTTTATTAGAGCTCGACCGGAGGTGCCTGGGGCAGGGCTTCTCTGTTTTTTTGCTTTGTTTTTCAGTTTCAAACTCGAGAATTCCATTTCAATTCGCCTTGCGCAATCCCTAAACTAGCCCTAGAATATTGAATCGCGATTGTTAGATCAAAACGCCTTATTTTGCTCTGAAATTCAACATATAACTACCGGCACCCTTCACCATGTTCAACCTCGTTCAGGAACAACGTCGAAAATTTATCACCCGTGAACGAAGTCAAATAACTCCATCCTCGAGTTATCTTCAACACTGATCCGACCTCTAACAAAACTCTCCAACATTCACCAGAAACCATACAACAAGCTTTTCTCTTCAGCATAAACATGAACCGGAATGTATGTCGTTGGCAAACAGTTCTATCGTATCCCGATAAAACCTGGCTAACATGACATTCAGACGAAGACCAGAAAGGAGAGAGTGTGGTACTGTTGTCACTGCTCCTTTTACTGGTCGGTCAGACTTTATGACCACTGTCAAAATTGCGGCAAACCACGCTGCAACTGTTGCATAGTTCAGGATATCAAAGTTCCTGCCGACACTTAAATCTCCCTATCAACGGGTGCTCTCCGACAGATTATCCGTTCGCTTCCGAGGGACGCGGAGGGAACACCATATTCTTCCTTCCACTTGGCGGTTCGGCTTTCCGCAGTTCTACGAGAATTCTGGTTGTGGCCAGTTTTGTCACTGTTGAACTTCCCACTGGCCATGTGGTTTGTTCGCAAGATACATCTCGAGATTCTATGTCTCTGATCATTCAGCGAAAATTTTTTTCTTCTCCTTTCTTTGTTGGGTTAGATTGGTAAGTTTTTGACCTTCCCACCTTTATGATGAAGATAATGTACTAGGCTTAGGTAAAAACGGGGCTACTTGAACCGTTGGGGCTGATGCTGACTCTATTCTAGGGACGCCTCACTGGTTTCATTGTGGCTGGTTTTGTTGCTTGCTGATAAAGGCTTGCTTCCATGTATTCTCCTCGTGTTCTGGTCTTATTGTGTCCTGTAACTGTACCATGTGATAGGGATTTGGTTTTTGTAGTCATCTTTGTTGCATCTTTCACTATTTTGTCATGAATTCGTGTCTGCATCGAGGATTGATCAAGTTACATGGAGCGCGTACTAAGATGAGCATAAAGGGTTGATTAGATTGGATTAGATCAGATCAAGCTTTAAGATGTCTCGGTTTCTTTCTGTCATAGAGTGACTCTTACCCAATGCGACAGCATTTTATGGTTGAACACATTACATGTATTGTAAACCCGGTTTCTTGTGCCTGTAGAACAAGGCCCTAAAGCCTCAGGCTGCCCTGTACAAAGCCCAAGAAAGGTCAGGCAGAGATGGAAAAGCAGAAGAATTTTCACTATAAGAGAGGTTGGGCTGTGTCTCCTGATCATGGAAGGCTCGTAGGGTATGGGGGCGTTGTTCTGACCCAGTGCATAGGACTCGAGCGCTGGACCGCAACCACCCACGAATTCCAGGCGATCAGGCAACTTGTTGCCTCAGCTGATCCGGCAAGGTCCATTGGTTAATTGTAAGAGGTATTTCTCGAAGGCTGCGTATTTGGGGCTCGGGGTAAGAAAAGAGATGTTGAAGCTGAGCTTACTGATAATAGAATTCGAGTTGCTGCGTGATTGGGACAGTTACATTATGCGGCTCAAACGGCGGTGAGCCCCCTACCTGTGTACCTTGATCTCGATTGGCCGGACGTCTTTGATTGAAGCAGTGGGTAGTGGCTTGTGACTTGCATACAGGAGCCTGTTAACAAGAATAGGTAGACAGCAATGGGAGCACTTAGGTCTATATGTAAATGCACCAGCGGATTCTGATTAAGACACACCAGAGAGGCTCGTTAATGTCTACATAGTAAGCTAAGTCCTTATTTGGTCTGGATTTCAACGTTACGCACCAAGATGCGACTGGCAGATGGTGTTCCGAAGCTGTCCCCAAACCACAACTTAGGTACCTACCTACCCTTCCTCCCTCAGGTCGCTATATTGAAGCCATAGTAACCTCGAAGAAAGCCATACCTGAGTATTTTTGTGAGACAGTATCTTAACCAGATGGCCGTGATTTGTCCTTTGTTGGGACAGCATGTGTTGCAACTTGATACAGGAAGGAAGTGCGTCAAGGAAAGAGGCACAGAGGCGTCTGGGTATATCGGAAAATACCTGCAACGTCATGGTACAAAAACTCTTCTTGGTACTAAGCGACGACTCTATGTAAGCAGGCTACCCTTGACCAGGGATATCAAGACTGGAAGTAATTCACATTGCTACCTGATGGTATCATGTATGGCGTTGTATGGCGGGGTAATGGTCGGATTCAAGATCCCCAAATGCCCCTCACTCAGCTGAGTGGAGACTCTGGGCCGAGGTACGTGAATTGGCTTGGGAGCTATTGGAATATCGTCCGAACTGCAGGGGCTCTGCCACAGCCTGACTTCCCATGTCACATACGGCCCCTGTACCAAGAGCAGGTGGCTCGCAAGAGAACCAAAATTTCAGAGTTCTAGAAATCGCAGCCAACCAGTGGCTATGATGCAAGGCGTTACTGGTGTAACAGCACTCTGGAACTTACAGAATACTCCATTGTAATCCCAACAAGATCTGAAGTCCGCTTCGTACCACGGAGCGTGACCGTTTCAGCAATAAACTGCGCACACATATCTACAGCCTCAGCAGAAGATACAGGCACCAACAAGCTGTTCTGCTCAACCATACTCTTTCGCATCATGGCCATCGAAAACAGCGGTACCGCCACCCCGGGTGCAAGCAATACCATTCAACGACTTCCATCTCCTCCCTTCATCCACGTTCCTGGCCTCACCAATCTCAGAGATGCAGGAGGCTGTACTCTTGAGAACATCCCCGGAAAGGCCGTCCGACGCGGCATTCTGTTCCGTTCTGCTGCGGACCCATGCAAACTTGATGCCACTGGTGTGGCCATGCTTCTTCGGTTAGGCATCACGCATGTGTTCGACCTCCGATCAGTCATTGAGCTTGGTCGCTCTGGAATTCAGGGTCACGGGGTCAGCGGGGACCAAGGGCAAGTTCATGATGATCAGGCTATGTGTGGCACTGGCATCAAGAGGCTGTTTGTTCCTGTCTTTCTGGACAAGGACTACTCTCCTGAGGCTCTTGCAGAGAGATTTGGGCACTATAGTGACGGACCAGAGGTTAGTATCCCAATTGATGTTCACGGCTGCTACGTCTTGGCTGAAGGTGCATGGAGAGTGAGATGGGAAGATTTGGATGAACCCAAGGTGCGGGAGCATCGCAGTGCGCATGCAGGCTCCCGGCAGAGCATCAGGCTTGCACGCTTTCTGCATCAAGCCGCCAGAGGCGGCTTTGCCGAATCCATCATCCAACTAAAACCCTGTATATCACCGATTCTGCAGCATCGTATTGTCCCAGGGAACGCGTGGGCCAAGGAACCAGGCACCTTGGGCGGCTCTTCATTGAGTGCCTGACTGAACGAACCCGCAAACTATGCCACGTAGGAGGAGTCACTAACTGTGAATTCCTAGGGTTTTATGAAAGCCTATGCTACCATTCTTGCTGCTGCTGCCGATCCAAATCATCCGTATGCCCCATTCCGAACCATTCTTGAGCATCTTGCTTCACGAACTGCCCCCACTCCTGTCCTGATCCATTGCACTGCAGGCAAAGACAGTGAGTTATCAGCCCCCGTTTGGCCCCAGTCCCAACAGTGTTATAGCTCCTTATGTCTACATAGCCATCCCCAACAGATGCTTCTCGCCATTGGAAGCATCGGCAAAGCTAACTAGGCAGTTACCTGTGGCTAACGTTGAGACAGGGACGGGTGTGATCATTGCGCTCATTCTGGCCCTCTGCCATGTCTCAGACGAGACTATTGCGGATGAATACAGCCTCACTGAGATTGGTCTCGCCTCACGAAAGGAGGAGATCATCCAGCGCCTTATCCGCCCTGGAGAGGCACTGGAAGGGGACAGAGAAAAGGCAGAGAGGATGGTGAGCGCCAGGTATGTTTGAAGCAAACATTTTTTGCGCTTCCCCTCATCTCCTGCGCTGCATGTGCCACATGTCTTGGCACACATCCTCCCCTCCTTTCGAGTGCCGTGCTTGGTTCTCTTCCTTGGTCTTCCTGGTTCTGAAACTGCCTCCCCAAGGGAATGGGCCAGCCTGGCATTTGCATCGTTCACAAAACAATGGCCGTGTTTCCTCGGCTCGGTCTGCATGCCGATCCTCGAAGATCTCTCTTCCATTTTCATTGCGTCCTTGTTGTTGAACTTGCTAACGCACCTGCAGGAAAGAGAACATGCTACTCACGCTGCGTATGATCCGCGAGAAGTACGGCTCCGTTGAGAAATACGTGACTGAGCACCTTGGCATCTCTCGAGAGAGTGTCGAGCAGATCCGGCGGAATCTGATTGTCGATGTCGAGGAATCAAGCAGCGATAAAAAGGAGCGGGAACAACGGCCTTTGCTATAGTGTATGCCCGATGCGACATGCTGAACTACTTCTCGACCAGGTCGCTATGATTGGCACGTTTGATAATAGGATGCAGAGCATTAGAAGTTGGATACAGCATAGAGCGATTGAAAAGTTAGGCCATGACACTGCCTAGTTGAAAGAAAATTATCATCACATCTGGCATGATAACATGGGCCAATTGGATGTCTTAGAATACAAGAGATTTAGTTTAGTCTGCTTTACACGGTTGTCATGAGAGAATACACACCACCAGGCAACCACATACAAGACAATAGACGATAATATACACAGGCTTCGCTTGCGCCAATCGCCTTGCCCATTATAAACGTCAGATTGATCATCAACCGGCTCCACAGGCCAGCCGTCTAACGCCGTGGCCCCCCCCCCCTTTTCCTCTTTTAGAGTAAAATGGACACCAAGCAACGCTACTGGAAAGAGCCACAGCCCAACACCGACCAGAGCAAATCAATACCATTACTCGACCTTTGTTGGGATCTTGACTTCACCTCTCCTGCGATCATAGAAGGGCACACCGTAGCGCCAACCAACAGCGTTCCGCGCCCGACCAGTTGGACCAACTTCTTCAGCATTGATCTGCTCGAAGCGGAACTCGAACCGGTTGGTCTGGACGCGAATGCGGCGTGCTTCTTCTGCACGCAGACGAGCCTGCTCGCGCTCAGCCAGCTTGCGCTCGCTCTCGGCAGCCTCTTGGATGAAAAGCGCCTGCGCGTCGCGCGCGTCCATACCCTCGGCGATGCGCTTTTCCATGGAGACCAGCTCAGGAATACGCATCTTAGCATCCGGCGGCAGAATGTGGTCGCCAAAGGCCTTGGCTGCGTCCTCACGAGTAAAGTGCCGGGATTCGGATACTGGCACAAAAAGCTGCTGCATTGTGTAGCTGTGGACGTGGATATCGTTGATGGGCTCAAATGGCGGGTCTCCCGGATTGAGCTCTGCCTTTGGCAGCATCTTCATCATGGCCTTAGCGTAAGGGATCGCCAAAGGTTTGCCCTATGCCATTGTTTTGTCAGCTATCTAGGTGGCTGATAAAATGGGTAGAAAAAGAGCAAGCAAGTTAAACCGGGCTCCATTCAGAAGAAAGGGGTGTTTTAACCATGGGTTACGTCTTCAAGACTAATCGATTTTTGGTTGAATCTCATCATTGAAGCCAAAATCGGAGAAAGATGGGAGAGGAACGACAGCCAACTCACCTCGCGCTCCCACTGCTTCTCAATCTCCTTCATCCTCACCACAGCAGCAACACGACGCATATCGACACCATACTGGGCCGATACCGCCTTAAGCGGCATTCCATTCTTGATAACTGCGTGCCAGATCTTCTCGCGCGCAGCCTCTGATAGGACCGGTTCGGAGCGGAAGTCCGGGTTGCACGGGAACGGCTGGTTCGGGGCAACGGGCTGGCCCTCCCAGTTCTTGATAACGCGCGAGAGGTAGTTCATTTCGGAAGGTTCACGGAACCGCTCAAACTTCTCGATCCACTCGAGGAATAGGCGCTTCTGGAGCGTTGGCTGCTTGCCCTTCAAGAGCAGTTTGTCGGTAGGCTTAGTGCGGGCTTCCTTCGCGAGAGTAGTCGAGAAGACGCGGCGGTTGCCGCAGCTCGTGGTTGAGGGGCATTGTGCTGCTGAGCGGATCGCCAGGCTCGCCGACGGCACCACACTCTTTGAGGTAGCTGTCTCAAGACTAGCTAAAAACAGCTGCTGCGTCTGGCAGCTGTTGCAGGGTATCCGGGGCGGCATGGCGGGGGTTGTGGTTGTGTGGTGATCCGGAGGAGTTCGGCTCAAGATCAAGAAACTGGAGAAATTTCGAAATCAAGCCAATACTTTAGCTGGAAGGCTGATGGTCCCAGCGTGTTCTTATCACCAATCAGCGTACAAGGGCTGATTGACAGACTACTATCCGAGGGTTAGGGTTAATTGTTGGAACAGCTGATTCGTTGAGCTCAAGCATGGGCTGTGAGATAACGCTAGATTGTTCTAACAGGCAGCACAGCACAAATAAGAGCTTGCGAACATGATAATATCAGAAAAGAATATATCAGTTGCCATTGTAATCCGTTTGGGATTTTTCCATCCCTAATCGAAGTTCAAATTCACTGGACGTATCTCAACGACTCCATCCTATCATCCCCAGTAGTCCAATGCGTTGTGATCAACAATCAAAAACCATATGCGGATGGGCCCAGTGGGCATCTCTTCAATTAAGTGCTGTTCAATGAGTGCCTACACTCGAAGCATGTAGTAGGCGATAAAGGCATCACACATTACATCTCTATCACTCAGAACCAGCCGATGATCCCGTGAAGTAGAAAAAAAGATGGGACCTGAACCTGCAACCCTGGGGAAGGCCTTACCGTAACTTCTGTCCGCAACCGCTGACCCTGCCGTTGGTGAAACCATAGAAATGCGCGCCCTTTCCGCCAAATACCGCTCAACATGAGGAAAGCCCGAAGTAATCTGTTTTGAAGATGACCAAATGAAACTAGGAGAGAAAATTGAAAAAAAAAAGGCAAGGCTCATTGTCCATCAGAAGACGAACTGTTCGGGGCAGATCGGTACTTTTTTGCCTTCGACTTCTTCGCAGTGTGCTCTTCGTTGTCCCGCTCTGCATACGACTTCCAAGTCCGCCAGCCTTCGTAGTCGATCAACGCTTGCATACAGCCCCATTCCATGACCTTCCGTTCGAGCCAAGGATAGGTAACGGGCTAGGATCCATCAAGTCAGGAGGCATTGAACATAAAGTCGGGGAAGGTTCATCACAAGACTTACCTTTGTCAAGAAGTCATTACACCCAGCGGCGAGAGCCTCATGTCGGTCGCTCTGTAATGAGCTGGCTGTGAGGGCGACGATGATTACAGGACTCTTGAACAACTCCCTATTTGGGAGCTTGTCTTGCTCACAAAGAACAGTCGGCTCCTCCGGCACGCCATCAGACTGTTGACCAATGCTCGAGGACAAGACGCCGATTGAGTTCAGCCTCTCCAGCCTGCGAATCTCACGGGTGGCTTCGAGCCCGCTCATGACGGGGAGCTGGATGTCCATCAAAACTAGGTGAAAGCCGCCCATGCGCCACTTGTTAACGGCCTCGCGGCCGTTCATAGCAGTCGACCAGCGAACCTTGAGACGCTTAACGAATGCCTCGAGTAGGCGCAAGTTGATGATATTATCCTCAACGATCAGCACATTGATCGGGGGCACACCGGGATTGAGGATCCCAGCAGACAACGATTGAACATCGGGCCCCTTTTTCTTCTTTCGCGACGATGGTGGGGGTCGAGGAGGCGATGTCTTCGCTGGCGGCGTGCCAGCAGCTCTGGTCGCAGATGTTGGTACGTCTTGAGCCGGAGGTGTTGGCAGAGGGGGGACAGGCGGCGCGCCTTGGGTGGTGTGCGGCTGCTCCGGAGAAGTATTCGAGTGGGCCCGGGACGTTCGAGGCAACGGGGCTTGCTGCACGCCATGACTGGAGTGACCTCCGGCACCGACAACATTGAGTATGGTTGGAGAGGAGGCATGCTGTCTCCCCAACCGGGGCCTCTCGAACCTTTCGCGATACCCGCGCGTCCTGGTGCCGCCGGGAGAAGGGATTTGGGGTACCTGTCCTGGATTCAACACCGAGATAGGATGAGAGGTACTATTCACCATGGAACTGGAGATGGTCACCGGTATCTGAGCAATGGCACCAGGTCCAAAATAGTCAGTGCTGCTCTCCATAGGTCGCATGTCTTCGTAGCTGACCGAGGCAAGGTGCTGCTCATGGGGAGGACCAGCCCTGGGCGAGGGTCGAGGGGTACGACGGACAGGGACATCAATCAACAAGGCCTCATCAACCGACTGTCCTCCTGGGTAGTATGCGTCCAATGTACGGGCCATTGGTTCCTCTGGGCCCAGGATGTGATCCTGCCGGTTTTCTTCCCTCGGGACGATGCGCAGCGTTAAGTCCGGAGCGTCATACTGCCGGCCGAGAGAATTGCTGTACTTGCGCAGGATTAGCTCACGCACGTCGTCAACTAAGTCGTCTTCGGTGATTGTAATCAGCGTTGGCGATCCACCTGGACGCTTGACCCAGATCTTCCGTGTCACCATGTTCGGGGTAAGCGGGGGAGGCTGCTCGATGGAGGACGAGTCTGGTTCATCCGAGGACCCCGCCGAGATCAGCAGCCGTCGGATCAAGCTCGCCTGTCGGCTGGGGAGCAGACTTTGGCGTCTCGAGAGAGTGGCTGTGCGGGTACAGGACTCGAACGCACGCGCCTGGCTGTTCTGGTTCGGGTCCGCGGGGCCTCCGTGGGTCGAGGATGGGGGAACGGGGGTTACGGATAGGGTGCCCGGGATCGCCGGGTCAGAGCTCTCGGAGGCGGGGACGTCGTCGCTTGCTCCGACTTTGCGGACGGGGTCAGTGGAGCCTCTTGGCTTGGGTGCGTCGGCGTCGGAGGGCACAGCGACAGGCGGCAGAGGCCTCGATGGAGACGGCAACAAGGAGGGCTGTGGATTGGCAGCAGTTGAGCTGTCAGCGACGATGGAACTGGTATTTGGGCCTTTGCTGGCAAGAGAAGCGCGGCGATGGCCGGGTTTGCTGGTAGTTGGGACGCCGTTGTCGCTGTTATTAAGATTGCTGCTGTGTGAGCAGATGAGTGACGGGCTGTTTGCGGCAGCTGTATCCGTCGTGCTGGTCCGTGCGGTCGCCGTCAGCGCGCCTGCCATGTAGGTGTAGGTCGGTGCGCTGTCGGGTCCAGAGGCGCTCAGGCTCAGGTCTGTCTTGTCGACATTGGGAATTCCTGTCAGCGATAGGTGCCTCGCTCGTTGTCGCCGTTTGTTTGTCGACTGCGCTCCGTTTTTCAGGCCGTCGGCTCTTGTGGCCGCCTTCTCGGTGGTGGTTGGACTGGTGGCTGCTTCTGTGTGGCTGCGGCTGCTGCCCTGGTCCGAGGGTTCCAGGGGAGCTATGGCTGTCTCGGCACCAAGACCTGTCCCCGGTCCCGTCGTCCCCGTCGTCCCCGTCGCCCCCGTTGTGCCGCCAGAGCCGCCACTCGCGCCTGGCTCGGCCGTGTTGGGGCTGGGGAGCGGCGAGATGCCCGAGTTCCGGCGTGGGAATTTGGCCCGCAGCTTGGACCTGAGGTCACCCATGACAGGCCGTTCAACCTCTTGGCCAAGGGCGCAATCGACGGCGGTCTGACAACTGGCGCTGGCTTTCTAGGTGCTGGAGGTGAGCTACGGCTCCAGACACGCCAGCTCCGAGGGCGGCATAGAGGTGCTGCTGCCTTGAGACGCTAGCTACAGTGACGACGTCCAAGCGAATGCAAGGTGTATCGGTTCAGCGTCCGAGAATAAGAATGCGTCTCTTAAGCCCACGGCGCACGAGCTGTCCGAGGGTCTGGCTCCGTGGTGGGTGGTCGGGACGCTCCATCGCAGCGAGAGCTGAGGATGCGAGTGTCGATAAGAAAGCTTGGCGAATGAAATGCTTGGTGTCCTTACGAGCTTAAATACACAGCAGATACGTAATTGATACGGTTCCATACACATACACCGTATCGTGCATATCTTGTCTTATCAAGTAAGTGGGATTTCCCAAGCGATATTTCTCCCCTGCTTTTCCTGTTCCAAACCTCCATAGCTGCACAAGTGCTTGCTTGTGCAGAAAGCATTCACAGAGGGGCAATTCGCAGACCGCCCTCCGCACGGCAGTCGGCAACCCTCAAGCAATTTCCAAATGCCTTTGCTTGGAGCAGTTGCTCATCAGGACCCAGTACCAAACATGGACCAGCTCTCAGTGCGAGAAAAGCTTGATATCAATGTCATATCAACCATGTTTCCATTCATCATCCCACTAGCTTTATGTTCAAGCTCCTTGCGGTGCCCATATCTGTCGTTCTTCTTCCTTTCCCCCTGTCTTTTCATTTGCGAAAACTCAGAGGTTCCTTCCTCCGTCCTCCTGCCCCTAAAGCGAGCTTCATGGCTTCGGGGTTCCGTATGCTCCACACATTCTCGCCGTTGCCCAAGGCACCAACCATACTTGGTCCTTCATCCCTAAGGCCTGGAGTCCTCCCCACTGTGGCCTGTCTACCACAAACGTCTGCACCTTGAATTGCCAGTTCAAATATAAAAATGGAGGACGTTGTGGTTTTAAACCCTCCACATTCCCTTGTTTCCCTTGATAAATCGTGCTGTTTGGCAAAATCCAAAAGACTTATTTCTCAGTTTCCTTTCTCCATTAACACATTTTCTCCGTCGCTCATATAGCCGGTGTTGTCCCGATCAATGCAAGAGTTTGCTTTTGGTCTTCTCCCATGATGCATCATACAAAGTGAAGGTGAATGAAGGAGAGCTTCCAATGATGCCGATCAACCAAAGAGCTCGAAGAAGAGGTCAATTCTGCTGGTTGCACCGGTTTTGTAGCACTCCAGGGAATCATCCGGACACCAAGCCGGATGACTCTTGGCTTAGGTCCCAACATGTGGAATACTTGTCATATAGCCATCTTTATTAACCCAAAGACTGGTGCAGAGACGATGCTAATAAACCAGAAACAGGAAAACGGTAGCAGGTTCGTGTAAAAGAAGCCAAAAACCGGAAGGCCACGGGACGGGGGAGTTTAGCAACCTCCCCGGACTGGCTGCGTACCCTTAGGAAACACCTTGCTGGAATCCCCATCACCGAGATATTGCTGGAGAAAGCGAATCTAGGTGTTGATGCAGAAACAGATTCGCTTTCTGTAACGGGCTTGTCGCCAACTGCAACTACATACCGATCTTTAGAATTTTTTTCTGAGATCGTGGAGCTGTGGGTTGGCGAAGCCCTTCTATTAGCCCCAAATGCCATCATCGAGATGAAGAAGGGTTCGCGGGAGGACACAGGCCCCATTCACGATGTCAAGCGTCTTGGTCATGGGGTTTTAAGGTCCGGATTTGCAATCGGTCACTGAAGATGGCGGCAAGAGCATCATGGCGACTTGAGTTTCACGGGCAGCTGGTTATGCGTCTTGTGTATTGTATTTAAATACATAACGCTAATGCCAATCCTTGAGTTCAGCGGATGAGTTTGTTTTAAGAATGGATCACAAGTCATCCACGGATCATAGATGATGGATGATAAACTATAGAAGTCGGCAACCTGTTGCGCGTTGCGGACCGGCAATCCCGGAAACAAAGTTCCTCGAAAAAAAATTGTCTCGACTCTGGCTTTTATCTCCTTGGCTCGCTGTCCTGGCGATGAGTTGAGTGTTGAAATGTTGGGTTTTAAAAGGGATACCGTGGGGTAAGCGGCACCCTGTTTAGTTCCAGCGTTTCTACGTGAGGGGTGGCCGTCATGATATCAGCACATCGATGGAGAGCGTTGGCGACCCATTGTTGCGTCAAAACGTGATCACCTGCATGACCACTAACAGGTCGCTGATCCCCATACTCCACAGCGCTCGTGGGCCTATGGATTGCTGTGTGCAAGCCGTCGATTGTGGGGCTCCGGTTTGCCAGATGTGCGGCCCGTCCCGTAGCTTTTCCACAACCATCGATCTAGCTTTGGTACTTGGTCACTGCCCATAAATCCTTCCAACAAACGTTCTATTGGCCGTCCGAAACTGTGTTTGATCAAGTACGTAGTAATATCGATGTTACATCGCCAATTTAGGCCAAAAGCATGCTAGCAAAGCCGAAGTACAGAGATTAATTAACAGTTACGCCAGTCTCGATCTCGAAGTGATCTTTCGGGTTGTTCGGGACGAAGGAAGATGACGTCTTCGAGTCTGGGCTCCTTTTCATGTCCACGACCTCGGCCACCAAAATCACCAGCGCATCTTGCGCAAATCAGAGTCCAGAATCGAAGAAGAGCCTGGCTTGATAAGCATCCAGAGTATTTTCAGTCGAGTGAACATGAGTTAGCAGGTAAATTGGCGCTGTCCCTCTTTGTCACTGAGAACGCGTTGGCATCAAGGAGATTGCCACTTCCATGCCACTCGCTTATCCCAGACAGTAATCAGTACTCAATCACGCGCCTGTCAGAGAAAATGAAAATCGCTAATTAGGGTACTATCAAGATCCGCTTCTGTACGACCACCTCATACGACGCTTCCAGACCCAGGAGGAGCGTGAGGCGGAGAATCGAGCTAAAGGATATGCCCGTGTCCTAGAAGGATCCCTTCTACGTGGTGAGGAACGAATGGCCAGGCTACGAGCTCAGACGGTTCAAGAAGAGCGAGAACGTGCCCGCCAGCAGCAGCAGGAGCAGGGGCAAGGAACAGGAGTAGACGGCGTCCGCGTTACTGGAGAGACTGCCCCCAAACACACCTTTCCCCCCAACGGGGGGCACGCCCGGGCTGGCCCATCAGCTAACACGAATGGTATGGGAGATGACGATATCCCTGGCACGACACTTAGCAGCTTGAACGCAGACCTCTTGCCCCCTCCGACGAATAAAGAGGAGGGACGTGCTCAGTGGGAAGAATTTCTGAGGGATCGGTTCATCCGTGGTGAAGATGACGACTTTGATTACTCGCTGATAGATGATAATGATGAGTACGATGTGCTTGAGAGACAAGAGCAAGAAGAAGCATGGTTTGACGAGGAGGAACCTGAGTGGGCCAGCAGTTGTGGTGAAGAGGGCGAAGGAGGAGGGAGGGTTTTGAAGGGGGAGACAGGAGTGCAAGATTTCTAAGCATGAAGATGGGAGGTTGTCCTCAATGGTCTCTGTGGTGCCATATGCCTAGTTTTGTTGGTAAGAGTCAAGACTGAAGCGTCTTTTGGCGACCTTATCAACATCGAAGCGAAATGCATCTTACTTAATTGACGAGTTTGGACGAAAAATGACTTGCCAGTACCAATCAGTATCGAGATAGTCATTTAGTACATAATGAACACCAAGCAACATTTTAGACGCCAAATTAGATCCTTTTAAACAAAAACCGAAATTAAAAAAGACATCAAATATGCTCACCCAAGCTAGAACAAGTCAATAGGCGACCCGTCATCTCCCTCTCAGGAGTTCACAGCCTGCTGGTAGTACTTCTCCAACACCGGAACCCACCGAGGGTGCACCCGCCCAATCTTCTTCACCTTCATGCCGTCTTCGACTGTGTAGACCCGTTTACAATCCAGTCTCGCGGTAGGCGCGATATAGTGTTCAGGGTCCTCGACAATCACGGCAATTGGCGTCCGCATGAATTTCTCATCATCGTAAGGCAGGGGTGGGTCGACGGTAACGCGATAAAGGACTGCCACGTTATCCGATCGACTTGTTTTAGACGCACCTTTCTTATATGTGGTGACGCTAAAGCATATCGAGTGGTCATAGCGTCGCTGAACGACGACAAACCAACGGTAGCGTGCGATAGGCCTCGATTCGGCTTCCTCGCCAAAGGCCTGACATTTCTTGTCCAGCTTGGAATCAGGGGATAGCTCTGTCTGGGCCTCTGGTGCTGGTTCGTACCACATCATTTTGAATATTCGCCCAGGAATGAAGAAGCGTTTTGGCATCTTGACAACTTCAAATCCTATGTCAGGTATCCTCGTCCAGTTAGCACTATTGGGGCCATAAAAAAACCCTTCGATGATTCTTGGAAAGACTGGCTGGACCTTACCTCGAGATTCGGAATTTAGACGAGTCGGAGGCTTTTGATAGTCTGCATATCTGATATATTGGCCATCTGGAACATCATATTAGTATCATTTGGCAAAAAGAGACTGCAGATCACCTGAAACCTACTTGGAAATTTTTTAACCCAATCCTTGGCATCATCATCCCATTCCCACCGGGTGCTGTCACTGCCCGAAGCCGTTGGTTGCAGTTCTTCCGACAAAAATATTTTATCAGTATGATATTACAAATGCTTCAACAGAGCAAGCTTACCTCTGCCCTCGGCAACCCAGCAGTGACGTTCGTCACTCCATGTCCAAAATATGAGCTCCTCCTGGGCTTGAGATGGACTCGTTGGCTGCTCTATCCTATCGGTGCTTCGGAGATCTTCTTTGGAAGCTGAATCGCAAACTGGGCCGGATGCCTCTGCAGGTGTAGAAGGCGGCCTACGAGCCATTTTGATGATTGTGATTATGCTCAATGGTTAGCACTATCTCTCGACCGCGGTTAATCAACTGCGTACATTTTTCCTGGGACAACGGACAACGTAAAGCGTTTTCTACCGAACACTCTTGTAGCAACTTCGACAACGCATGGTGCATAAGTTCTCAGGATGGAGGACTGAACACATTACGGCATTGTGTGCCCGGTAAACGCTGCCGACGTAGTTGTGGCTGTACTGGGCGGTTATCGCGCGAACGGGGACCTAGGTGGGGATCAAGAAGGGAACCAAAGAGTCAAGAACTGATATGTAGGCCGCATGGTTAAGGACGATCCCTGACTGGCGGCATTAGGATCTCAAGTATCAAAGTTTTGGAAATGGATTACAGGGCCAGAGAGGTATTTATCTGCTCGTTCCTGACTTGTTTGCTCTTCCGATACGGATTATGGGCATGAATTTGGATTTCTTTGTAATAAACCTGTAAAATTTTTGGAGAGCCTGGCTAACGCGGAAAGTTGGAACTAAATATAGAATTCCAATTTCCTAATTAGTCCAGTCTACTCCCCCCAACCGGCGGGTGTCCAACTACAAATACAGGATGTTCAAAGCCTTATGCCCACCCCCATGAAAAAGTGAAGCGGTTGGCCCGAGCTCTCTGGTTGGAATATAAGGAGAGTATGCAGATAAGATGATACGCCCTGTCGAGTCCAAATTTCGTATTGAATCCGGACAGCGAGATCAGGCAAAGCGGAACAGGTGGATTAAGGCCCAGTCTACCGGAACTTAGGTGACTAGGTCATAAAGGACATTGTAAAATGACATAACACGTTCTAAAAGGGTTATTAAGAGCGACATTGGAGAGAAGTGTCGTATGGACAGCCTCCCAACCACCCGCGACGTAATTATACAGAGCAACTATGAGCTCATTACCGCATTTCCCATTCTCCTCACACATGCCGTCCTCTTTTACACATACCCATACCGCTAATCTGACCATCACAGCAGTACTGCTGAGGATAAGTGTCTTAGTTACCACTTAGCTCAGGGATGTTCGGATGTTGGGGGTACACTGGCTGCTGGGCTTGTTGTGGTGGTTGGGGAGATTGCCCTGCCTGCTGGTAGTATTGCGTGTTAAGCTGCGCATGCGCAGGCGGACTGTATGGCTGCTGATAGGGCTGATACTGGTGCTGGTTCTGGGGCTGGCTTGCAATTTCACGGCTGTCTGCCTCTACAACGCTCTGAGGCGGCGGTGAAACTGAGCTATACAGAGCGACGGTAGCTCCTGGAGATACAGGTTGCGCAGTTGACGTTTGGGACACCGGCGTCGAGGTGGCATTATATGGGTAGGGAGAAGGAGTCGATGACGGTGGTTGTTGTGGGACATAATACCCAGCGAGCTCGGGGTTCTTGGTTTCTCCAACAACAGGTTGTTGCTGCATCGCTTGACTTCCGTTCGGTTTTCCCGAAGTCGTATCCGCTGCGGTTACAGCCTTACTCGCCTTTGCCTTGCGCCGGTACCACCAAACGGCGAATATCAGGCCGGCTATGAGGAGTGCTCCTATACCCACCCCAACGCCAATACCCACCTTCGCTGCGGCTGACAAACCACCCTTATCATTCTTGTCACTTTTACAAAATAGACCTGGTCAGTCGACGTTGCGAAGATCTGAGAAAGAGATGGGGTCATACGTGTCTTCAATGTTTGCGTTGTTTCCAGCGCCATAATTCTGATTAGGAGTTCCGCCAGAGTTTGCGGTAGGTCTACACAACTGATTAGCTGCGTCCGGTCATTGGAAGCATGGCAATGAAAGAACACTTACTGGAAAGATCTTGTGGGGACCTTGGTAGTCAGTCCGTTTGGCGCCGACCCACAAAGGCTCATGTACATTGACAGTTCCAGTGTCCTGTAGTCTGGCTGCTTTGTTAGCATTATTGTCATTCTGGGTAAGAACCGAACGGACTAGCATACAGTCGACGCTGTAGAGACTAATACAGGAACCCGTGGCAACCCTGTCGTAGAAGCAGTCGAGGTAGCCGTCGCCGTAGTTGCAAAGACAGGAGGAGAAGGCACCGTAATAATCGGCCTTCGTCATCATGTCAGGCAAGCAGCTTGTTATGAAGCTGGTGCACTGATACGCATAGTTTAGCCTCTAATTGGCCGATTGGGTTAGCATCATAAAGACTCCTATGCACAGAATAGTGAGAAGAGGAACCTACAAGACAATCGGAACAGCTATCGGAGGGACAGGTGTAGGTGTCGAATGAGACCGTAAACAACCCATCAAACTGGCGCTGCTGAAGCAGCGGATTGCGCGATTGGAGGATGAGCCGGGGCAGGGGGACACCGATCTCTGGAGACGGAGTGACTGCCGGAGGGAGCGGCGGAAGCGTGCTCGGTGATGGTGTTGGTGACACCACGGACGGCGGTGGCAACAGCATGGCGGAGTGTTGTGTCGCGCAGAAACAGAGGAGACGTTGCTTGTTTTGGGTATCGATCACGGCGTCACAGAAAAGGGCTCCGTGACGCGGACGCGAAGCCTTGCTTAATGACAACGCAAGGTCCTCCGTGACTTTGTGTCTAGCGCAGGCTGCGATTGCTACGGACACATGACGGATACGTAGAGAAGGGAGAGTGTTTAATCGCGTCGCGGGCTTGCGAAGGATTTAATCCTTTGTAGGTAACCCCAGGCCGCGAAGCTTGTTCTTGACCCACTAGGTGATTTCCCGATCCCAGCAAAAACTAGCATTTTGTCCAATGGAAAAGGGCACAGGAGCAAAGGGCCAAATTAAGAGGAGCGCTGATGCAGTGGAAGATTGGATGTGTGGCGTTGTGCAGGCGATGTGATAGGGTAATTTGATGAGATTTGGATAGCTTCGCGAAGCCAAGATGACTGGGCTCTCAGCTTTTCTTGGCAGCTAGATGCCCTCTCCTGCCAGAGTCGTCTTGCATTGGTCCTGTTCGGCGCACAGCCACATGGCCTTCTCATCATGGGTTACTAACAGAAGCTACATCATGGATTTATTATATATGTAGACCTAGAAGCAGAGTAAGCCGAGTCTCATACTTGTCTCCAAGCCGAATGGTTTTCGAGCACCACCTGGAAAGCGGACAACGAGCTAGCTAGCCGAGGACAATCAGTCTCTTATCACGGTAACTCTGTAGGTAAGTAGCTTACCTAGGTATCTGGAAACTAGTTGAAAGCCAGGGGAGATGGTACGGAGACATGGATGACCCAGCAACCACTGGAGCTGTGTGCGTGTTTAGCAAGACTTCTTGCGACTGCTGAGTGCGCAGCTAGCAACATTGGGCGCAAAATATTTCGGTAGTACTGCCTAACCACCGCCTATTACTTTTACACCAGGTATGAATTGGAGGATGGGGTTCGGCGCCGGGAGCTGCAAGGTCGCCGGGGATGCGGCTCTGTGAAGCATCCAATACATATATATCCACCAAATCACCGTTGCCTTGGATTCATCAGGACTAGTGTATCGGGTACCCTGAGGACATATCGTAGGTGGGGATGAACGTAGGAAGCGGTTCTGGGGCCCCACGGGTCAACCAACGAGTGCTGCGTTTTCTGCTTCCGCATTCCCCACCCTCCCAGATATCATCCTTTGCAGACTGCAGACGACAGTCGCCACCTGACCCCTCCAACCTAATCCTGAGTCTCCACGAGCCCCCCATGCGGCGGTCCGTGGATGTTGACGCTGCGGATGAGAATCAAAGGGATTCGGGACGAGCTGACATACAATCGTACAGCTCTCCCTCTTGCAATACTTGAGCTTCGAAATTACCAAAGAGAGGAGGGACTGGGGAGGAGTCGATGCTGTCTTCTCCCGTCACCGTCTTGAAGTCTGTTCTCGACTTCGGCATCTCGACCCAGAGGTGTTTCTGAACTCTCAGCAGGCGCATGTGACGTCTGGGTCAAAGCACACTGGTTTCACAATAACACGCCCAGCAGTATCCTAAGTTGTGCCGCCATGCTTGGGCTTCACGGCACGGGACCCCGCAGACCCGCCAAGTCGGATGCTGGCAAGACGGTTAAATGGGGATAAATAGGAAATGGGGCCAAATATCCTACATTCCGACACCCAGCGCCTGGTTGACTGGGACGATCCAACACGACGGGCCGTCATGGAAGATCATTAAGGAAGGGGGTAAGAAGGACGCACTGGTCAACGGCTGTGTTTCTATATAAGCTGTCGTTCGTGTCCTCAGTGGCCCCGTGGATTGCATCCTCCAGGCCACCATCGTCATCTTCATTGCCACATCCTTAAAACGCCAAAGAGCCTTCTCCCATACACACTCCCTGCTCCTCGATCTGCACCCCGCAACCCCTCTCTGCCTAAGCTCCTCACCCCACTCTATAAGTCAGACAACGACGCCTAGTTAACACCATGGCTCCCCTCATCACCCACATCTACACAGCTGACCCCTCCGCCCACGTCTTCGAAGGCAAGATCTACATCTACCCCTCGCACGACCGCGAGACCGACATCCAGTTCAACGACAATGGCGACCAGTACGACATGGTCGACTACCACGTCTTTAGCACTGAGTCCCTCGACCCGGCTGCCCCCGTGACTGATCACGGCGTGGTCCTCAAGATGGAGGACATCCCGTGGGTCTCCAAGCAGCTTTGGGCCCCTGATGCCGCCTTTAAGAACGGCAAGTACTATCTGTACTTCCCGGCCCGCGACAAGCAGGGTATCTTCCGAATTGGTGTGGCCGTCAGCGACCGTCCGGAGGGTCCCTTCACTCCTGACCCGGAGCCGATCAAGGGCAGCTACAGCATCGATCCAGCCGTTTTCGTCGACGATGACGGCGAGGCCTACATGTACTTCGGCGGTCTGTGGGGCGGCCAGCTGCAGTGCTATCAGAAGGGCAACAACATCTTTGACGCGGAGTGGCAGGGGCCGAAGGAGCCGTCGGGAGAGGGCGTGTACGCTCTGGGCCCGCGCGTGGCCAAGCTGACGGACGACATGCGGCAGTTCGCTGAGGATGTGCGCGAAATCGTGATCCTCGCACCCGAGACGGGGAAGCCCATCGCCGCTGACGACCATGACCGCCGCTTCTTCGAGGCCTCGTGGATGCACAAGTACAACGGGAAGTACTACTTTAGTTACTCGACCGGCGATACCCATTATCTGTGCTATGCCGTTGGCGACAGCCCGTATGGACCCTTCACCTACGGTGGCCGCATCCTGGAGCCGGTGCTCGGCTGGACCACGCATCACTCCATCGTCGAATTCCAGGGCCGTTGGTGGCTGTTCCATCACGACTGCGAGCTCAGCAAGGGTGTTGACCACCTGCGCTCTGTCAAGGTCAAGGAGATCTTCTATGATTCAGAGGGCAGAATCCTCACTGAGAAGCCTGAGTAAGCAGTGGTTGGGCAACAAGTTGTAAATTTGTTAGAAATGTCTTGGCTACAACGGTAAGGGTGTTTTGGGTATAACATCAAAAGGACAAGATATTTCAAGGGTATATATGAATATATATGTACGAGAAAATGATCATGAATGAACCAAATCCAAAATGCCTGCCCGCTCTTCCGAGTGTTGCGTGTATGCCTGCTGACAGCTGATGGGTTATGGTGCCGGTATCTATGCGCGCTGTATGAATCCAACCAACATCACGCACACCTCTAAATCCAACACACGAAAATAACAAACCAAGAACATAGGGAAAGCAAAGAGATAGAGAAACCCAGATATCCCAAAACTCCGTCCCTTTTCAATCCTGGCCCATCACACCTGCCGTCAACCCCTCCAATGCCCGCTCATAACGCCCAGGGTTGTGATCAACCAGCATACACTTCCCGAGCCTAACCTCTCTAAATCTCTTCTCCACGTCTCTGACATATTTCAGCACCACGTTCTTCCCTTTTCTGCCCCCCCTCATCATCTTATCTTTCTCAGCCTCCACAACAAACACCTCTCCAGGAGGAACCAGTTTCTCCCCCACCATACTGGCCCTCAGCCCTTTTAACAACGCATATGCCCATTCCTGCGTCCGCTGCTCCTCCTCACTGTTGCTTCCACTTCCAAAACCGCTAATCTTTGCGGCCTCGGTCATCAGACCTTTCAAAATCTTCTTCCAGAGTTCCGCTCGGGCAGCGCTGCTGTCCGACTTGAGCGCAAGTGCGGCCGCCTGCATGTCGTGCAGTACACCCAGCGATAAGTACGGCACGATATCGTGACCGTTGACAATCGTAGTGATCAAACCACGTGTAGCGTCGCGCAAGGCGGGGGAGATCGTAGCCGGCGGGCCGTAGGCAAAGACGTGAATGGCGCGACCAGCGGGTAAGCAAACATGCGGAGTAGTGATCGGTTGTCCGGTGACGAGGCTAGTTTGTGTGGACGACGGATGAGTGATATAGCGTGTGTGCGGCTCGGCAGTGGTGACAAACGGTGTTCCTGGGGACTGGGCTGGTTCGGCAAGCATGATGCCAAGAAGCGTGGTGACGGCACCGCCGAGGGAGTGGCCCGTCAGAACCAGGCCGTAATCAGGGAATTCTTCGAGGGCGGTCCGCAGGGTGGCCAGCACCTTGCCGTCGCCGCCGTAGAGCAGACGCCTGGCAGATGCATGGACACCCTTGTGGACCTTGTATGTGCGTCCCCGCCACAGCATATCGTCATAGTCGCAAGTCATGTCGGCCAGGACGTCCTCGAAACCAAGCGTACCACGACAAGTGAGGACCACGGCTTTGGACTCGTGGTCTAGGGAAATGTAATGCACAAGAGGGACACCGGTGTTGGTTGACCCAGAAGAATCCGAGCCTCCATTAGGATCGACGAACGAGGAAAGAAGAATGTCGCTTGGATTCGATCGGGTGTGATGAGCAAACGACCGCAATTCTTGGTGTGTGTCGCGAAGGTCCGAAGGCAAGGGAGGCATCTTCGTCCCGATTCCCAAGAACTGAAGAAACCGCAACCCGTAGGAAGCAGAGGCGAACCGCATATACCGAGTAATATTGCGCACGAGATGGTTGTGTGGGAACATGCCATCCAAGACCCCGTTTTGCTTGAGTTTGTCCAATGCTGAGTCGTCACCGAACGCAGTTCTGGCCACTGTTCCTTGGTAAGAAACCACGGATGCGTCTCCTGCATCGGCGGCCAAGGTGTAAATGCTCGGCGTATAGGACTTCATTCGCCGGTGGTCTGTTCGTGCAATGGCATTGGCGTCTTTCCCACCCCAGCTGCTTTCGTCCAATTCTTCAAGCATCGAGGCCCGGGGATCTTCTGTCATCGAATAGGTTTCAGCCAATGAAATTGTCGATTGCCGCACACTTTCGCGAATCGTGACGAAACTTGCGACGGAAGGGCTTCTCTTAACTGGAGCCCGCCGAAGATTTTCGACATTCCCTTCGCTGCTGAGAACCGACAACCCATCTCCCGAGTATGGCATGGACAGCTGACTTGAAGGGTCGAGCCTGTAAGAAGAGTGTTGAGCGCCCTCGGATACTGTCCAAGTACCAGACAAGGCATGTTGCTTGTTGCTCGACGTCGGAAACCGCGTGCTCAAGTCATTCATATCAAGCAATGACGGTGATTTTCGAACAACGGTTTGCAGTCCCTGTCTTGTTGAAGAGGACATTGATCGGTTGACCCCAGGCGACGAGGTGTTGGAGGGATGGCATGGCACAGAAGGGTTCGAAATCGCAGTGACAAAGCTGTCTCGGCTGCTTGAAGGCAAGGTCGAAGGCATGCAGGAAGACACTTTGCTTTCTGCGTCGCTGCCAAAAGGAGGGAATGTTTCAGAGGCTTCACGATCGCTGATTAGCCTACTGGACGGTCTTGTATAGTTTGATTGGTCCAGCTCGCAACTGTCGATGAAATTGACATTGCCATCAACCTGCTGGAAGGAGGTTGTCCGCATCTCATGATGGCGTTCGCGACGGAACACATATCGCGTATGCCGTCCCGGTCTCTCACTGGCCCCTTGCCGTGCAGAATCCGTCACGGCCAACCCGGTGCTCTGCTCTACCAGCTCGATACCAGGTGGTGGTCGGACAACAGCTGGCTGGTCATCACTGATAACATCGACCCTGATGATGTCGTACGCAAAACTTTCTCGGTTGATAGCGACTTTGGCGTTAGACGGTAAGGCCCTCATAATCTCGCGTTCGAGTTCCATGGTCAGCACACTATCAGCCCGTTGTGTCTCATCCTCATGGGCGTCTCGGCGCTGCAAAGCCGCTAAAATGGGGGCATGAGATAGAGCAGATGAATAATCATTCGCGCGGCTATCAAGTTGCAACGCGGTGATAGGCACGACAACATCCCAAACAACTTCTTCTGTCCGAAACGCGCGCGCCTCCTCCTCTAGCAATTGACGACATGTAGTCTGAAGGTATGCCAGGCCGCAAAAGACCATTACTAGATCAGTAACAGACACCCTTTCTCCTGGGGCGCCGGTGGCCGGGTTCTGAAACTCTCGACGGACTAGCGCGATGATGCTGGTGATGGCGCGAGAGGAATCCGTCGAACCAAAAAATCTGTCTATCGTCGTGAGGGCGAACTGAGAAGTTTCGGAAGCCAAAGACAAAGTAGCGCTCGTCATGTTGAAGCCCGCCGCAGTCCAAAAGGCGGCGTTATTCAAGCTGGAATGGAGGAACTCGATCGCTTTTTGGAGCGTGGTCTCGGTTTCGGCCCTTGCCAGCTCCGACTCGGTGCTGGAAACGACGTCCTTGCCAGCCAAATACAAGATATTTTCGAGAACAGACCTGCTCAACTCGATGGTCGATAGCGCCGTGTGTTTGGCGACGTTCAAACCACAACCTCCCAGTCTAGTCCCAAGCTGGATAGCCAGATTCGTAGACCGCGTGGCAAGGCTAATCAGACTGGCCATCCGCTGGGGGAGAAGGGGATCGCCATGGTCGGAAGATGTCGAACTAGCAGGATCTCGGGCCTTGGACTCGGCACGGTGTCCTGTAGGCACCACGGCCAGCAGAGATTCCACCGGCGCTGGCCCCGAATCCATCGCCGAATCCTCCTTATTGCTTTCGCTGCTGAAGAAGAGCAAAGGAATAAACATAAGATGAATATGTTAGAAGAACAGACAGTTTCTTGGTGTTGACGCCATGAGACGGCAATAGCGTTGTCGCGTGTCGATTCCTGTCGTCTGGAGTTGCTTTATGGAGGGATGAATGATGGGATAACCGCACACGGGATGGGCCGCCCGCGCTTTTGAGTCGAATTGCAAAGCTTGTTGACGTTACGGTCCCATTTGCCTTACTGCATTCCAGCCCAATGCGGTTTCAGGGGCCCGATCAAGATGTTAGCAAGCAAATCCAGGCATGTGACGACACTGGGGAAGGCCCTGGGGTGGTCACTTGGTCGTTATTCGACCCACCCCTCCAACAGTCCCTTAACAGCTGCCAAGCACACAACACGTGTACCGGGACTCCCTAAAAAGACTTCCGCAATGCGTTGCTCCACACCAGGTTCCCTTTTCCACTGGTCCGTTTTATGCTCTGGGTGACAGGATGGCTTGTAATTTCCCAACAGGTTGCACTGATGTGAGAGGTAACCGGGATGGCCGAACAGATAGAAATGCCGAGGCGGTTCCCACGCTCCAGACAGGACGCCCTGTGATGCGAAATGATGCGTCGTCGTTGATGGGTTGGTTGGTGTTAGGGGGTGGGGGTGGGTGGGTGAGGAACGGCTGTGACCTGCAGTGGATATGCTGTAGGTTGTTACTGCCGTGGCTCGAAACAGCAGCAATAGATGCCAGCCCCGATCTGGGAGCTGCAAAGAACGCCTTGGAAAGCGATTTGGCGGATCGCTGCCTTTTCGATCTGTCGCAGCCCGTGAAATAAGGCCACAAAATGCCGCAACACCCAACAATTTTTTTAGTGCAGGAAGTAGGCGTTGGGGATTTAAATTGGCTGCACCCTCGGTCGCGTGGCCAAAAATGCTGGTGGTGGTGAGAGTGGTGACGCTGTTGAGCGCGTGGCTGCTGGGGTCCAAGAACGGCTGCCGAATGAGTGGGGCGACAGTACCGCCTGAATGCCCCAACGTGGGGATCCCCCATGGTTGGTTACAACACCAATAATTGTGGGCCTTGATCCAAGTCACAGGCGGGGCAAGATCGCGGAGGGGTGGCCAGGCCTTGGCAGGGACCATGCCCCGCGTTGGCCTGATCTCTCATCCAGCATCCGAACATCTGAACCCAAATCGCATGCCTTCCCTATCGCGCTAGACGCCAGAATAGGACCACATTCACACGCGCGCCCGTTATGCATTGAACATTAGCTTCTAGAATCCGAAAACAGGCAGATCATTCGCAGCTTACGGCGCCCCCTCCAGCAACCGGCCGATCAACTGTAGCGGCCCTTGGCTCATCAGATCCGACAAACCAGCCCTTCAGACATCCGCCCACGAGTCACAAGAATTACAATGGCAGAGAAGGAGCTCTTCCCTTCGGAATACCTCTCTCCTGAGGTGCAAGCTCAACTCCCTGAGGGTTATAAGCTCCGGGCGCTCAGAAAGACGGACTACGACGCTGGCTTCCTCGATGTGCTGCGCGTACTGACAACCGTGGGCGACATCCCCAAAGAGAAATTTGAAGAGCGTTTCGACTGGATCTCGAAGCAGGATAGTTCGTATTTCATCATCGTGATCGAGGATACCAATTCCAGTCCGCCTAGAATTGTGGGCACCGGTGCTTTGTTAGTGGAGCGCAAATTGTGAGTGTTCTGGCTTGTCTCTTGTGAGTAAATTAACATACAGACAGAGCTGAAACTGACACGCATCCCTACAGCATCCACCAGCTTGGTTCTGTTGGACACATCGAGGATATTGCCGTGGCTAAGGATCAGCAAGGCAAGAAACTGGGCCTTCGCTTGATTCAGGCCTTGGACTATATCGCTAAGCAGACTGGTTGCTATAAAACGATCCTAGACTGCAGCGAACACAATGAGGGCTTCTATGTCAAGTGCGGCTTCAGAAGGGCTGGTCTTGAAATGGCCCACTACCACGAAGGCCCTAAGAGTAACTCCACGCAATAAATCACAGAAGAGTGCTCGGGGTTTATCTACCGAGCAACAGACAGATCTTGTCCATCCAGGCCATGTTAAACGAATTGCATCCACGAAGATTTCATTGGTACCCATGTACGACTGGGTGGCCCGCGACAAGCTTTCGGCTGTCCGCTCCGCATCATCAAGACTACCTAGACCGTATCGGTTGATGAAGCGCTTCAGGCCATATATTAAGGGTCGGCAAACAGTTGTTTCGGCAACTTGTAATGCGCAGGCATCGTTGGATTAGAGGATACAATGCCATTGAATACGTGAGTCAAAGTGTTTATTTGAGGGTTTTACCAGAAAGAATGCCAAGTCTCCGTCGAACTCCATGGAGTGTGTGCTATTAGTACAAGTCGCCCGAGCTGTTTCTTGTTCTCTATATTATATGCTTTATATCCGCCGCTTTTCAAAGTCGGGCCATGGTCGTTGTCGGCTTTCCCGCGGTGGCACCACATCCCCTTCCCCCCTCCGCTCCCGGCCCCTCTCCTCAACTTCCCCTACATTAGAGCTTAAACGAGCTAGTATCACATGTTTGCATGTGATCCTTGATAGCAATTTCATTTTAATGGCATCGTGTGTGCCTGAGGCAGTGATTCTGAGAAGGGATTTTCCAGTTCCATCAAGGAATTTTAGAACTCTCATCTATATCCGCCCCTGCTTACTGAGCTCCTCTGACCCTTATAGTTTCATGATCCGTCAAAGCCCTTCACACACAGCTAGTATTCATCAATAAGGCACAGATGCTGGACATAGATGCATAATTCAGATTGACTAGATATGAACTCACCCGCTTCTCATCCTTGGTAGGCCCTGTAGGCTTTGCTCAGCTGGCCCACGATTCGTCAGGTGTCGGCCTGCCGGCCTTCGGAGATCCCCAATGTCCTCCAGATATCACCCCTCTCAATCCCTCGGACAAGCTTTAGTATAAGGTCATCGGACTTTCTGTTGATGTGTGCCCTCCCCACTTTCGATATCAAGACAATGAGGAGCCAGGCTGACATGTGGTCTTTCCGCGAATTCAACGCGCTGGTTTCCCGGGTGCGATGCGCCTTGGTCCAGTCCCAGTAAGTTGGTTGAGTCATTATTTCAAACGGTCAATGATATCTGAAGTCCGAGGGAAACAGTCATTAACAGTTGCCGGCTGCGCCTTCTAGGGCTCGTCAAAGGACCGGTTTTTTCTCTTTACCAAGTCATAACCGCCGGAGAGCCCGCGTGAGAGTTGTCTACAGCGGCAGGAGGAACGGTGTGCCCCTGTTCACCAGAAGAACTATTGTTGGTGTCTTTAATCCCATCAGGCGCGCTACCTGTGATTCTTGATATCATCTCACAAGTCTTGAGCATAAATCTTGTGTGTTTTCAACGCAGTCAAAACTCTGTCATTACTATGGCTCCTCTAAGCTACGAGATCGGTTCCCAAGCTCGATCCAGCGGGAATTCGAATACTTCAAAGCATTGGCTAATGGGCCAGGAAGCATTCAAGGCCAGAATGCCACATCATGAGAGCATCAAAGCCCTCTGGGAGACGAAGTGGAAGTTTGCTGTATGCATCTTTCCTGGAATTTTTGAAAATTATCGTTTGCCTTTATCTTGTAGTCCGTCCATTAATCAGAATTTCCGAGCTAGTGCGAAAAGGCCGTCTATCCATTTCATGATGGCGCTTATGAAGACTTTGAGCCAGTTTTCAAAGAGCTTATCGAAGTACGGTCCCTAGAAACTTCTGAATCCTCCTTTCTCCCCATGATTGCAGTTACTCAACAACACTCATGACTGTCAGAAACAAAAGTTCGAAGCTAACAATCAGCTAGAATAATATCTCGGACCCTTATCATCCACAGTATGCGCTACCATTCTTCACTGCTGCCCAGAGATTGTGCCTGGAGGCAGAGACTGCCCTCCGGCAAAGGGGAGACAAGGACCTTGCCTCGTCTCTATACCTCCGCGCCTGTGCTCTTTATAGGATCTCTCGCTTTCCTTACCTTTCATCTTTACCTCGAGGAACGGATCTCACAAGCAAGGTAGTTGCTTTTGAGACACAGAAGAAGGTATACCGCTATGTGGGGAACCTATGGGAAAGTCCTCTCGAGGAGGTAGAAGTTGATTTCAAGCACCGGAAGCAGAGAGAAGGCCAGTTTATTCCCATCTATGTCCGCATTCCTGTCGACAAGAATGGGGACAAGAGACTATGGCCCGCGGTGATCCTGCTAACTGGATTGGATGGATACCGGCCTGATAACACACAAAGGTGCAATGAGTTCTTGAAGAGAGGCTGGTGAGTTTTAAACCTTTTGCGGTGCGCAAAAAAGGGGAGACGACAACTTAATTTACTCGGATTGACAGGGCTGCGATTGTTGTCGAAATCCCTGGTACAGCGGATTGTCCAGCCGACCGTGCGGACCCAGAGGCACCTGACAGACTGTGGACGAGTCTTCTTGATTGGATGGCCGAGGACGGGAGATTCAATATGAAGAAAGTCATGGTCTGGGGACTGAGCAGTGGCGGTTACTACGCTATTCGTATTGCCCACACGCATAAAGATCAGCTCATTGGGTGCGTTGCTCAGGGTGCTGGATGCCATTATTTCTTCGATCCTGAGTGGCTTGAAAAAATTGATGGACATGAGTATCCTTTCAAGTAAGTATGTCCAGATGCACGTTGAGCCTGTGCAGTCGATGCTGACTACCGGAAGGTTGTTACCATCCCTGGCTGTCAAGTATGGTTTTGACTCGGTGGAAGAGTTTAAAACCAAAGCTCAGAAGAAATTTTCGCTGCTTGAGACCGGAATTCTCGATAAGCCGAGCACTCGGCTGTTGTTGGTCAATGTGAGTCACTCCTAACTATTCCTAGGATGCTCTGGAACGTTCCTAACATTTGGTATCAGGGAATGCTTGACGGTCTCACACCCATCGAGGATAGTATGTTGCTCTTTGAGCATGGTTCTCCGAAAGAGGGCCGTTTCTTTCCAGGGGCGTTGCATATGGGGTATCCGAAGGCAAATGAATCGGTATATCCCTGGATGGAGTCTGTCATGAATTCAATCAAGGATTAAGTTTCAACATGTGTACAAGAGTTTGTATTAACCCGAATAAGCTCCAAGTTGTTAAACAGAAACAGAAAGTCATTCTTGTGTGGAGCTAAATCTGCGTTCTTCAACGCCCCATCCATCCACCATCGACCACTAGGATGTGACCGCTCATATACGAACTGGCTTTGCTTGCTAGATATACCGCCGTACCTTTGAAGTCATCAGGAGTCCCCCACTAAAAGCTGATATCAGTAAATGACCGCCTAACATTCATATCTCATGAATTAACTTACCCTGCCGGCAGGTATCCTGGCACTAATGCTTGCCAACCTTTCCGGGTTGTTCAACAATGCTGTATTCATATCTGTTTCGATATAGCCAGGAGCAATGGCATTGACGGTAATACCCCGCGCTGTCCACTCATTGGCAAAACTTTTTGTGAGCTGACCGACGGCACCCTTGGAGGCCGCGTAGGCTGGAACTGTCCAGCCACCTTGGAATGTTAAAAGAGAAGCAAAATTGATGATGGAGCCACGCCGGCCGGTCACAGGATGTGGTTCCAGCTGTAACATGTGTGCGCCAACATCACGGCAGAGCGTGAACACACTGTTGAGATTAACCTGGATAACCTGGCGGATGTTTCTGTCAGTACAATGCAGATATACAGATTAACGAGGCAGGCTTGATACCTCATTGAAGTCAGACTCAGGGAACTGTTCGCAAGGATGGCGTCTCTGAATCCCCGCGCAGTTTATCAGTATGCGGATCTCATGGCCATCTGCGAGGACACGAGGCACAATCTTGGAGACGTCTCTAGGATTGCTAAGATCTGCTGTGTAGATCTCGGCCTTCCGGCCCAACGCTCTGATTGCGTCACGGGTTTCCGTGGAGGATTCGTCTCGCTATGAGTGACATGGTCAGCGAGGGATCTTCGGAGAAATTGGAAGTGTGTGCAAGGGGGACACTCAGAAGCTGTATGAAGAGGGTTAGCTCTACCTGGACCAGCAGAACGTCGGCTCCGGCTTCGGCCAGAGCAATCGCGACAGCTTTACCAATTCCTCGAGTCCCTCCTGTGACGAGAGCTGTTTGGCCCTCAAGGGAGAACAAGGACATAATGCTGTTGTTGGTAGTCATTGTGATGTCCTGAAGGACCTGTATTATGGAGATTAGAACAGCAATTGAACCGAAGTGTCTGGGACTTCAATCAATAGAACAGGGCAGACGTTTAAGTAGGGAAGTCGGCGGGTGTATGTGGAAGTCTGTCAGCTTGACTACGCTGATGTTAGTGTTGTTACCATAACTATGTGTATTTTAGCGAGGGAGTTCGGCGAAACATTCCTGTTTTGGCGTATTGCAACGTCTTACAGGAACTCCCGCGTGTAATTTACACCTTCGGTCGCGGTGGATTGCCTTTCGGGGGCAGACCCGGATCCGATGACGGGGAACCTCCCGTGGAAGCTCCACCCAATGCATCCAATGCCCAAGCTCGACAGGTGTCACACCAACAGCTGGCTTTGCCGCGCTCTTCCCCACCGACTTTTTACGGCGCAAGTGACCATCTTCTCAATGACAGGCCGCAGTTAGTCTCGTCGGCTTCTTGGATTAAAGTGGTTGATTGCCTGCTGCCCCTGACCACTGGACATTGGTTGGTCACCAGACCTGAACTGGCTGCTCCGCCGGTTCGGTCCTCCTTAGCTAGATAGCATAATAAGATCTTTTGATGCAAGCTTCGGGCGTTGTTTCCTCTTTGTGTCCAAAGCAGGTAAGGTTTCAAAGAGTCAGAACGGAGACTTTGGTCTGGATCTGGCTTGTACATGTCTTCCATTTCCGCCGATGCCTCTCCGGTGACCATGCTGTGCTCCCTTGACAATTAATACTTCAGCCTTTACTTTTGTTGGCTCTTCTGATAACCTCACCTGCAGCATTTGCTTGTCCATACGATCGTGCATGCTTTCAGTTCTTCCGTAATTCTGCAATCCGTTGATCTTGAGGCTTGGATGATGGCAGCCACTAAAGTTAGGGCTTCCGTTCTTCATGGTGCCCGTGATCTTCGACTCGTGAGTTCATCCACTTTTGAGGCTTTATTATTGGAACCAATCTTACACCTTCACACAGGAAGAGAGGGAACTACCCCCCCTTGGCCCAAAAGACGTTCGAGTAGCGATCAAATCAACAGGCTTGTGTGGTTCTGACCTTCACTACTTCAACCACTTCCGGAATGGCGACATCATCGTGCGAGAGCCACTCACTCTTGGTCATGAGTCTGCCGGCATCATCACTGCAGTGGGTTCGGATGTTGCTGAATTGCAAGTTGGAGACCATGTGGCCCTCGAAGTCGGCCAGCCCTGTGAGAAGTGCGAGCTATGCGTTAGCGGCCGCTACAACATCTGCCGGGAAATGCGCTTCAAAAGTTCAGCCAAGGCCTATCCTCATGCTCAGGGCACACTGCAGGATGAAATCGTGCACCCCGCAAAATGGTGCCATAAGTACGGTTCAGCATATTGCTCGGAACTCCTAATGCTATACTAACAAAGATCATGTAGGCTCCCGCCTAATGTCTCTCTTGAACTTGGAGCACTAGTCGAGCCCCTGTCTGTGGCTCTTCATGCTTCAGAAAGGGCGGGCCTTTCACCTGGTTCAACAGTCCTTGTCTTTGGTGCTGGAACTGTGGGCCTACTTTGTGCAGCCATCACCAAGGTTTTGGTCCCCAGCTCTAGTGTAGTCATTGCCGACATACAAGAAGATCGGGTTAAATTCGCTGTTAAGAATGGTTTTGCGGATGCCTTCGTTGTCGTGCCCATGAAGCGGCCTACAACGGTCGAGGATAAGCTGGCTTTTGCCAAAGAGATGGCTGAATCGGTGAAGGCCATCATTCTCCCCGGAGAAGACAAGCCTCTTGGTGAAGTATCCGCAACCTACGAGTGCACTGGCGGTGAAATATGTTTGCAGGCCTCTATCTACGTAAGTTCACCCTTTAAAGAAGCAAGTCCCGATATTTGTTCTAATGCAGCATTAAGTCTACAGCTCCTGGCGGCCGGATCATGATTATCGGAATGGGCACTCCGATCCAGACGCTTCCCATCTCAGCAGCTGCTCTCCGTGAAGTTGACTTGATTGGTGTATTCAGGTATGCCGGCACCTATCCAAAGGTGATTGAATTACTGGCAAGTGGAAGACCTGGGCTGCCAGATTTCACCAAACTTATAACACAACGATTCTATGGGATGGAGAGTATCCCAAAGGCTTTTGATATGGCTGCCAGGGTTAAGGACGATCAAGGCAACCTAGTCCTCAAAGTGATGGTGAACATGTGAATCGGGTGTCAAGGACATGATGATCTTAGGGAAAGGGGGCATAGATGAACGCAGATCTGTCTATACAGCAACTATAAACTTTGATGCTCTGAAATTTATCCCGCACACACTCTAACCCATAGAAATTCCAAGAACTATTAAGACTTGTCTGGGAAGCCAAAGTCTACACCAAATGGCGGATACACAAACCTCTGCAGCTTGCCCTCCTTGGTTAACTTGTCCGAGTAGTCATTTAGCAGCTTCATATCGTCGTCATCCAGCTCAATGAGGTTCAGGTTCTCCCTGATTCTCTCAGGGGTGACTGACTTGGCCAGGACAGTGCTTCCTCGACGGACTACAACATCTTTGGTTAGCAACTGTCATAAGGAAACTTGGAAGCTTAAGTGACAACGTACGGTGATAACTCAGCAAAACGGTCGCAGGCTTAACACCATGCTTCTCTGAAATCTTAACAACCGGCTCGGCACGGAACAGAGGGCCGCCAGTGCTACCCAATGGGCTGTACGCCATGATGTGGATGCCCTTTTCTTTACAGAGATCAACAATTTCTTGCTGGGGCAACGCCGGGTGGTTCTCAATCTGATTGACTGCTGGGATAACAGTGGCGTGGGGGAGGAGCTGCTCGAGGTAGCGCTTGCTGTACTGTTTGCGTATTAGAAACGACCTTTGTGCACTTTGAAAAAGGGTTTGTCGTACGTTGCAGACGCCGATAGCCTTTGTTTTGCCAGTCTTGAGCACCTCTTCCATCTGCTTCCACGTATCGACGTGGTTGTGGCTGCGGATAATATCACGCTCTCCATTGGGAAGTTTGGGGAACCGATCGTCGTTGCCTTGACGACTGGCGTTAGTATCAGCAACCCTTGTTGGTTCTCTGGACAATGATCCCTTACCGTTCGGGTTCATCAACAATGGCCAATGCTACACACATCACGTCAGCCAAACGCATCAATCCCATGCCCTGTGGTTTGACTTACCACTAGGAACAAGTCCACGTAATCCAAGCCCAAAGACTTCAGACTCTTGTCCAATCCCAGCTCCACTCGCGTATTGTACGTTGTCCAGACTTTGCTCACAACAAAGATATCCTCTCGCTTAACAATACCGGCCTTGAATGCGTCCGCCAACCCTTGCCCGACCTCATCCTCGTTGGCATAGCAATAAGCACAATCGATCAGCCGATATCCAGCCTCAAGCGCAACGTAGACTGCTTTGCGGACCTCGCCAGGAGGGGATTGCCAAGTCCCTGTTCAGACGTTAGACGAGTCCAAGCGCCTGGGGCTTTTCACGGAAGGGGTAATATTGAAAAGCATACCAAGGCCGATAGCCGGGATTTCTTGGCCGGTGTTGAGCTTGTAAGTCTTGTTGGCCATGGTTCTAGAGCCTTGACAAGCGATAGAAGCTTGAGACACGAACTGGGAAACGAGGCGAAGGCGTAGACGGGGATGAAGCTGGCGAGGGAGAAGATCTCGGGGTGTAAGTGGTAGCAGGTGATGTGCTAGAGACAACTCTGGTGCTGCTCTCAAGTCAAGCTAGGCACCTAGAGGTAGCCTGTTGCCCACGACAGCTTAAAATCCCAGGTTAAGGGAAGGTTAGAGAGGAAAGAAAGAAAGATTAGCATGGAGAACTTGAGGGGAGGTTGTTGCCGTCATGTCGTCTACGGTTCATTGTGGGTATGTTGGTGACCGGCTAAATGGGATGTCGACTATTGAGACATTCGGCACGGGGCGTGCCAGTTTGAGCGAGGATGGAAAATATCGGCGGAAACTGCCCCTCCTCAGACACGCCGTCTCGTGGGGCGTGACGCGGGGTTCTTGGCTTGGCTAGGGGATGGCCATTACTGTTTTCATCGTATGCATCTAGACCAATGGCGAGGGACTCTGATAGGTGGAAAATTACGGTGATCAAGAAGAAGCTGGCTTTAGGTGCGGCAGCAGGCTCACCGCTGCCTCGTGCACGCAGCTCAAGGCTAGGATTTCACCGTTTGGGAAACCTAGGTGAGAGTTTGTCATTAAGGTAATCTGTCCGTATTGCAACAGCAAACCCTGCCCAGCTGCGTAGTTCGTGTAAATCGCACATACCATACCCACACCATTTGCTCTCGTTGAATGCCCATTGAACCATATTACCAAAGTCTACCATGCAATGGTCTATGATGACGCCAGAGCAAGTAGTACGTGGAAACAAGTGCTATACAAAGAAGAGAACAAGAAAAATGTCGAGACCAGTGCATGTTTACCCGGCGATCAATACCCAGAGCAGGAAAAAGATCATCTAGTTGATGGTTAGCATTGGTTTATCGGGTGAGAAGTGAACGGCACATACTAATACGCCAAACATCTTGGCGATTAACCACCGGTTGCTCGACACTCGAGACCAATATTTAAGCAATTCCTTTTGAGCTCCTTCGACATTGTCCACGATTTCCTCTCTGTCCACGAGTCAGCGTAACTCTCGAGTAGGGGAACATGATGGGTTTCATACGTATTGGCGTCAATTCTTTGGATCATTTCAGACTGTTCGCTGACCATGGCAGCCAGCTGCCCGAAACTGCAGCCTCAGTCAGCTTTCCGCGTGCTGTACACTTAGACGCTGCTGCTTGTTCTTACATCGATCCCAGCTCATTGATAGTGGCCTCGATGGCCTCGATGGCTTGCCCTCGTTGTTGGATATAAGTGTTTTGACCTTCTTCCAGTAACTGCAGCTGCAGCTGTTGGTCGCCCATGGGATTCAGGGAAATTAGGTCAGTGGACGGCATTGGTGTTCCTCTATTCGGGGTGCCATAAAGCGGGGATGTTGACGGTGGGAGGGCCGCATGGGCATGCTGTCCAACAGTGGACACAAATGCCTCAGTCCGCGATTTTGATGCCTGGATGTTCTTGGTTCTGATTTCGAGAACTTCCTGCGAGAGAAGTGAGCGTTGGATCGGCACCTTTAAGCGGCATCCCACGTACCTTGAAGTTTGCGCTGACGTCGCCCAGCTTTCCCTGAAGGAGCAGTAGGATATTCTTGTTGTTTTCTCCTTCTTGATCTGGCTTGGGGTGTAGACGCTTCGAAAGGGCCTGAAGGTTGCGGATCTCCTCATTGAGTCGAGATAGGTCTTGCTTGATAATAAATGTCAACTCATTGACCTCAACCGGATTATCATCAAAAAGCGATCTCTTCTTGGCCACTATTAGCTGGTTAGCGCTGCTCTCGAAGAAGCAGAAAGCTTGGGATTACCAACGTTGCGCCAGCTTTTCCAACTTCCCCATCGTAGCTGAGATGCCCCTTCCGATCTCCGCAGCCTGACGCGCGAACTCGGAGCGGCGCGGCGGCCCGGCTGCGCTTCGTTGAGCATCGCTGAGGAGTCTTTGAGAGCCTGGTTTCGCTGCTTGCTTTCGTTGTGCGGCGGAGACAATCTGACGGAACTCCGCAGTGCGGTCGTTGATTGCGACAGCCATGGCAGCAGCCTTTTGAAGATATCAACGAGAGAGTGGACGCTGTGGACTAAACAGTACTTGAGGATGTGTAGCCAGTCTGTATTCGGCTGCGATCGGGATCTATATTCAGGGGTTGTTGGAGCGCCGCGCGTCACCCAAGCGCAGGGCAACTAAGAGCGCCAGATGTCGCACACACACACACACACACACAAGATAATATGACTTCTAGTGAAGGGATAAATTTCTCTTTGGCTCGACACGAAACGATCAAGCGAAAATATGAGCGTGATGCTGCATGGCAAGAGGGCTGTGGTAGCTGGAATCTGGGGCTCAGCTGGGGAGGGAAACGTGGTTTCGCCTTCAAGGCTGTGGCGCTTGGGCCTCCACTGTGACAAAGCTGGGGCAGTGGTTACCGCGGTCCCTTGTCTGAGCACAGTAATATGGGTTGCGGAAACTGTGTTTTTACTGTGTATATGAAACGACCCCAAACTCTCAAGCTTCTAGTCCAACGGCGGATGCCCCGGTGCTACTGACAGGCTGTGCATCAAGATTGCAGCATCTTGAGCTGCTCGAGTTCAAATCGAGTATGCATGTAAAGTAGTATGTCAGTTGCTCTCTTCTGTCTATGCTGTATGTGATGAGTTTGGAGGCTTCCAGCTGCCCATTACATATCTAGTTTTAAGTGAGCTGCAATCCTCATTCATATTTGGACCTGGATCGCCTAGGATCGCCTAGAATGTCTGGCCAGCTTGTGTGTTGCCGGTTATGGAACCAGCCTTTCTTGGACTGTTTGCGTTTGCTGGTATAGCTTCATTGCAAACAAAGTCTGAATTAGGCAGTCATAAGTATTGATTTACAAGAGCAATTGAGCGGACTCTTTACTTTGCCCACATTAATAGGGAAAACAACTGGAGTTTATGGGAGACATCGGGCCTTTGGTCCTATGCATCAGTATCTTAACTTTGCGGCCGACATACAGAGGTACACTCGCCCTCGATGCTCCAGATAATTGGACGCCATAAGAATTTAGTGTACATGCTTGCGTGAAATGCTTGTACCTACACCTCGTGGGAGAGTTAATATTGCGTGGGATATGCTGGTTGTCTCCCCATAAGCTCAGCGGTGAGTCCCTCCACTGACAGGTCTAAATCGAGCCTCTCAAGTTGTTACTACCGATGCGTAGCTGCAGTCCTAAACGGCATGCTGCACAGATGACAAACAGAGCCGGTCCAGATCCGGTGTTCATTTCTACATACAAGTACCTTCATGACCTGTGATCTGTATGAAAGGGCCTGGGGATTCCAGACCTTTTCCATATGCATTTCTGCAAGCGCGGGAATGTCGACGGGTCCTCCCCACATCAAGTTCTCAAATCACGAATCAGACGTGCTGAAAGGGTGACGCGTAGGAGAACTCTTTTTTTGGCTGCAGATCCTCTTGGCAAGGAGTACCCTTGTGAAGCCACCATGACCCGGTTGTTCGTTTCCATCTCGAGTTTAATCGCGTGGATTTGTCCGTGGGGCGGCTCCTATGCCGAACCGACTGACGACACAGCAGTTTGTTCCTTTCTCCTTGATGATCGTTTGGGCTTCTCCTCTTCCTGTTAAAACAACAACCGGCCAACAACTCGAATGCCCGCTGTGTGGTCAACAATATTTGCGACTGCTAGCACGCTTGGAAGCAACTAGATACATAAATAGCAACTGCTGATAAGTCGGTCCACGGGTGTCTCTGCCGCTCTCGAGTCCCTGTACCGCTTGTCGACCCTCTCCTTGCACCCTGAACATCCATCGCGTTTTATCGCACACGGACTTGTCGTCGGCTTCAGTGTCGACTCAGCCGCTCTTCCTCTATACCAACATAACTGCATTATCTTAGCCAGCACTTTCATTACCGCCAGTGCGGATGCATCGGTAACGAAGTCTTTGGACAACACAAGGTGCAGCCAGTCGGTCAGTCACCATGGATGGCACATACGGAAATGTCCTCCCGACCAGCAGGACTATGTCAGTAATGCCCATGTCCACATGTTTCTCAATCAGTAGGAGATCTGCTTATCCTAATCGAGTAATCTGAGCAGTCCTCTGAGCATGTCGCCGCCGAAAAGTGATAGCAACAAGTTCAAAGTGAATGTGAATCGCCAGAAAACGAAGAAATGGGCAAACTTTAAACCCCAAAATTATGATGGCGACGACTGGGGAGGTGGCTATGATGACGCACCGCCCCACGAGCATGAACCTTCCCCGCCCGTGAGACCAATGGGCCCCCAACGCCCTCCGGCTACGCGACAACCTCAAGGCACAGGATCTTCCCTACCACCCGGAATGTCGACCACCCCATCGCAAAGTTGCCCATTCCCAGGGCCCAATCGAAGAACCACTGAGCCTGTCAATCCCTTCAAATCGACTCCCACCATAAGCACTCCGCCAGGCCCTGGTATAGAGAGGCCTTTTCAGGCTCGTCCGGTCCTGTCACCATTTCCAAGAACATTCCCATCGCCCGATTCGACAGTTGGCCCGCCACCCCTGGTGACAACGTCTGGAGAGAAAGGAATGGATACAACGACAACTCTGGTTAATCAGTCGCTTTCGAGCCCTCGAACTGTTGGCACAATGAAACCATGGGCGGAACAGCGGCCGGCGTCTCCCCAGAGAGCTGGATTAGCTACGTCGCCTAGCAAGTCACCGTTTGTTCGGCCAGCTGACATCTATCGACGCGTTGAGGAAGAAAAGGAACGACGAGGCCCGCAGGCTGGTACATTTCCTAGCAGTACAGCAGTGTCCGCTGGAACACGGGTTGACGAGACTGCTCACAAGCCATCTGTATCAGAAAATACTGGCTTGGGCCTGCAGTCAGTCCATGACGCAACTTTGAGTGCTGAAAGGAAGAGCGAGTATGGTCTCGAGGGCTTAATTGACAGCTATGGCCATAGAGAATCCACGGTTGCCCATCCAGCAGGAGGAGGGGACACAAAGCTGTCTCAGGAGCCAAACTCCGACTGTGCGGGCACAGTGAATTCGCGGCGTTTTTCAACAAGTCCGCAATTACCGGATTTAGCTCGCATGTCTGGGTTTGGAGAAGACTTCTTCTCCTCTGCGCTTTTTTCTGGTTCGAAAATTGACTCGCCCGCCCAGACCTCTATGCAGTCTTCTGTATCCGATTGTACGCCTGCTGCACCCAGCATCCAGCCGGCCTGTGCAGGGTTGACGTCAGGCCAATCATGCACTTTGCTTTCTGCACACCCTCCTCCGCACACGCCTGTGTCCTTTCCTTCAAAACCGGTCGTCGATTCGAACGCACCGCTGCATTCTTCCAGCGCTAGCGTGGCCAGCAACTCTACTACCTCCTCCTCACCCGCCGGGCCCGATCAGGCCGTTGGGCTGCCGTTTCGCGATAAACCTCGCGAACTATCCCCAGGTAGCGACGGTCCCACCGAGCAACGGCAACCCGCAGCGGAGCCTTCACGCGAGGCCGCATTACATGCAGGAAAGCACACTATCTCTTCCCCGACTGCCCCAGCGTTACCAGGTGGCTGGGTTTCTGAAAGCGCGACACCAGCTCTTGAGCCTTCTCACTCCCCTCAAAATCCAGCGCTCTCTTCTCATCAGCTGCCGGCTAAGGCAATACCATCCCCACGTTCTCCAGAGGCACCCGGGCTCCCTGCAGGGCAACCTCAGCAGGTCGCATTAACACCAAATAGCCAGGAGATGGTTATCCCAACATCTACCCCCGCGACAAAAGCAGCTACGGCAGTTTCAACCCTTCCTATTTCGCCGCGTGAACCGTCCCCTCTCCATATAGCTAGCCCGGTCTCATCTCAACACGCCACGTCTAATGTGGACCGTAATGTACACTCGCCTACAAACCAAGATCGCCTTTCTGGAAGCCAAATAACGACAAATGCAACCTCTTTCCATCTTGGGCTAACGACCACAGCACCGTTAAATCCTCGAAAGGGTTCGTCGGATGCTAACATTTCTCTTCTACCCCCCATCGTTTCCCTCCCTCCATTAGACGCAGACACGTCCTTTGGCTCGTCGAATAGCTCCCCGGTTAAAGACAGCGACATCTTGAGTGAGGAGATCATCAAGTCCCTGACTCCATCAGAGCCGCCTACTAGGTTAGGTGGAAAAGCCAGGGAGCTGACGACTGCATATCCTGCTGCAGCAGAACTCGAGCTTTCTCGCGAAAGCAGTTATCTTGGCGATGTCTATGGGGATTACTGGGCATCAGTTGGAGAGACGTTCTCCCAGGGCGATCGACCAAAAGAATCTCCACAGCCTTCACCGGTTTCGCTACGGCCTTTGGACACTCTTCAGAAACCACCTTCCGCCATACTAGCCAAAAACGTTGTCAATCAGACCAGCCCAGAAGACTCTACAACGATTAATCCAGCTGGTGCTCCTGATACAACAGCGAACGGGACTGGAACACCCCGCAATCGCTTCTCATGGGAGGAAGAAGACGTTGGCGAAAGCATCATCAACAGTTCGGGCCAGCGAGCACAAACACCTTCTGAGCCCAAAGCTTCTGTGTCCGATGTGGCACAGAGCTCCGTGCTTGCTACGGAACCAACTACTGCCACTACCGCGGTGACTAAGCCGTCACCCATATCTTCTAAAGTGGACATTCGACAGCCATCTCCAGATCCACAGTTTGTCTGTCCTCCTGAGCGAAGTCAAGCAGCAGCTGGAGGCGCTTCCGATAAAGCTCCCGGCTTCTCCGTGTCCGATTATAGCGTCAGTAGCCGTTCTCCGGTTTTGGAACGGCCTGATGTTCAAATAAGCACTCGGCCGCTGTCACCAAGTGAAAATGCTGTTTCACAAGACTCATCGACGGGCAAATCTCCGGAGGCCGAGCAGGCCAAGACCTCGAATGTTTCTTCGATCAAGAAAGACTCCCCTAATACTATGCCATTCCGCAAAATAATGGAACTAAGTTCACCAGCAGAGCGCATCAAACAGTACAACCATGCTCGATGGCAGGTCTCTACAGCGGATTCTGGGCTGACGGAGTGGGTATCGGTCATGCTGGCAAGACACCCTGAACATGTTGACTCCGGGTTTTCAACGACTCCGGCATTGCGTTCCCCTGGATTTCCGGGTCAGGGTCAAGGCCCGCTGAAGTCGCCGATCGTGTTGTCGGGAGCATCTCATCATTTACATCAGTTGGGACATTCAAGCAACCAGATGGGTTCAAAGGGCAAGGAGTTCTTGATGGCGGCAGGAAAGGCCGGTAAAGGGCTTTTGAATAAGGGCCGGAGCAAACTGAAGGCACTCGAGGACAAGCTGGAAGAGAGGAGGTAGCTCCGATTGTTTATTTTTTCGGTGTTGATCATTGTGGTTGCATTTACCCGTGTTTTAATCTACCTCAACCCAAACTATCAGAGGCACTTAACCAATGTTCACAGCGGCTATCCGATGGAGCTTGAAGAACCTCTCTGGCTTCAGCCTTGGATGTCTTGCTCTCTATAGATGAGGGAAACAAGGCTTTGTCACGATCTAATTTTGTCCTACAAAATCTTAGGTTCTCCCAAGCCCAACATACATGTACGACCTACCTTAGATATGGATATTTTCTAGGATAAGTGCGAGCGAATCTACATACATATCGATTACACAGTTTCTCGTTCTGAAGCCTCATCCACTACGGATTATGTATGTATGGCTCACATCTATCTGATCGGCCAGCCTTACGGCCCGGCCTGAACCCCGCTTGTTTCGAGCCGCGTTCCCCAAAAGGGGCAATTCCCTAGTCATCCTCCGCCCCCAGCGCCCCAACAAGGGTCCTATAGCCCTGCCGCCTGGGCTCCCAGTTCTCCGCTTTTCAACGGATGACTAAATCAGCAAGCAACAACCACCGAGAAGGATCACCAACAGCACAACTAAGGATGAAGGGTGCGACGACTTCACCCGCCGCTTTCTCTCAGCGCCACAAGGAATTGATCGGCCTTGATTGAAGTTTACATGCAGCCCGATCTGTCACAGCGCTCAGTGCCTTGTGCTCCGTGCAGCACAGCAGAGATGCCCATGGCCAGCGGGGATTTTAGCACCTCAGCCCTACGCATCGCAATTACTTAAGGCACTTTGTACTTGCCTGATTCATGCGCTGCGTTACGCCGCCCATGGGGGCAGGCCTTGAGAGCTTCAACGTTCGACCAGGCTGGTAACCAGATATTGAAACATACCGTCAGCGAACGGGGCTAACGAACGCGAGCTGCAGCTTACAGCCAGTGGCCCAGAGCTGCTAGCCAATCCGCAGTCTCACAGTTACGGCCCCCGGTCGACCTGCCATCCAGTCATTTTCAGGCACCTCGGGCCTTTGGGACCCTGCTCTGGCAACCATTCCATTCAATGAGAAGCATGTGCGAAGCTGCCGCGCCCCAAGAGCCCCAGAAGCTCCTACGTACCTGGCCTATTTTGCCTAGCCATCGCAAACTGAGCGAGCCGCGTTCGCAGTCGGCCCACACAGAGCAGTCTTGCATCAATCTTATAACCGATCTTGATCGTCACCTGCTGCCAGCGCGAGTCGCGTCTTGAACGTCCACTATCTTCGCTCGGAGGGGCGTTGAATGCCAGGCTCGACTGGACTGTTCGATATTTGGCTGCCTGCCTAGCTTGGCGCGGAGTACTTAGGTTAAAGGCTTGCCTGACCTGTCCGCCTGCCCAACCTCTCTTCCCGGCGCGCACCACACCGTAAGACGCACGCGAGCCGCTGAAGGACGAGCTGGGCAAGAGTCGAGCACATATTGCCGACGGATTACTCGGCGTCTAACCATCAATCAATCCATTCTAGTTCCCCCCTGTTCGTGTCACCAAATAGCGGTGCCGCCGACCGGCAGGCCGGGGAGACCTAGACCCGGACCCGAACTACCAGTTTGTGCGACGCGACCTTTGTGTGCTCCCACTGCGTTTCTGTGTTTCCCTTGCCCCCTCGAATCCTTTTTTTTGGCGACCACCTGTCTGTCCTCGCCATTTGCGGTTCTGAGTAGTTTGCCTTGTCCTCTTGGAACTGGTGGAAGACTGCCGAGCGCGAGCGTCTGACGCTTGGTCTTGATCTTGAATTCAAGATACTTAGCAAATTTCTATTTCTCGTGCATGGCCTGGCGTGCAGCGTGACTCTCCCGAGACATCGCCTTAGACGGCCAACACAATTGCGGCAGACAGTTGCAGTGCTGGCACACCTGCAGATCACCCACAACTTCCAGGTCGTACTAGGTACTTGGGTGAATTACAAGGCCACGGCGCGGGCACGCTGCCGACCACCTTGAACCCCACGTCTATCCGGCTGACGGGCAATCAAAAGCGAGTCCACGAACCAAAACACCTCAGTTCCATTGTCCCTGACGGGTCAGCCGCTAATTGACCGCGCGCAGCTTTGCCAACCATCGCTGGCGACGGCAGCTGCGACGGCTATTCCAAGAATCCAGGGCCTATCTCGTCCTCACTGTCATAGCGTCTCTTTTCGCAGATTCGAAGAACTCTTGTCAATCTTTCGCCCTTCACATCAACTACATATCCTGCACTCGCAACCCTTTCAATTGTGCGCTGCCTTCGCCTTCGTAACGCAAGCTGACGACACCCTCGCCAGTCGCGTACTATTCACAAACGAAACACAATGGCTTCATACGCGCAAAATCAGAGCTTCAGGCCCTTGCAGTCGCCTGGCGGTCACGCACAAGCATATCATATACAAGGTCATCAGCAGAGTCATCAGTATCCACAACAGCAACAGCAACAGCAGCAGCATCAGTATCAGTATCAGCAACCGCCGCCGCCACCGCCATCGCAGCAGCAGCGGCAGCAACAGGAAGAGTCGGGTGGTGGTGGTGAGGGCTTGCGCCGTCTCTCTTCTTTTGTAGGCCTGCCCCCCATCCGCCGGAATTCTACTTTTAGCGCTTCTCTTGGCCTGACCGCAGATGATTTCTCTCTCGATGACCAGAATGAACCGAATCAGCGCCAGCAGCAGTCCAAGTTATCATCATCATCATCATCATCATCCCAGCAGCTGCAAGCCCATCAACAGACGCAGCAGCCGCACCAATTGCAGCAGTCGCAGCAATCTCAGCAACCTCAACAGTCGTCTCAGCAAGGGTTTCAGGGCAATACAAAACCCCAGATGCTCCCGTCACAGCAAGTCAGCATGCCGGCTGCACATCCCGCGATGGGCCATTTTATGGCTGCTTCGCAACCCACCGGGCAGTACATCCAGAACGTGTATCGGCCGAGCCCGGGCTCACAAGGTTCTCAGGTCTCTCAGGTCTCTCAGATCTCTCAGGGGTCAACCCAGGGCCAGTCGTGGCAGCTGCAAGGCCAACAGCCCGCCCAAGGTTTTCCGGGTGCTGTCCCAGGCTTAGCACAAGGTCCAGCAGCCCATATCCCTCGGGTAATTGCCGCTCAGCCTGGCAACCTCCCTCCCGGAATGACTGGCCCGATGCTTCCCATGGGACAGCACCCGTATGCTGTTCCCATTGGTCCCAATGGGCGGCCATTGCCGCCCCATCTGTGGCCTAATAACCTTATGCAGCGCTTCCAGCCTTATGGATGGAAATTGGAAGAGTCGCATCTCCAGGAGCCTCTTCAGACGCCCAATCGGCACCGTCGATCCCCAAGTTCAACCCAGCAACAGTCATATGCTCTTGACAAGGAGATGGGACTTTCGGAGTCATCCTCCTCAAAGCAGCGTCAGAAACAAGAACCGAACCAGACAACCCAGCAGTCCCAGCAGACTCTACAAGATAGGGCTCAGCAGCAGAATCCAGTTGGACCGAATGCTTCTTCGGAAGCTTTCCAAAAGGAAACACAAGCGCCCAGTCATCATGACAATAAATTATCTCGTGTTGAGACCCACGGAAGTGATGTGACGGGAGCCGGTTCCACCTCTGCTGAAGGGAAGCAAAAACGGAACTCTGGTTTCTTTTCCAGTCTGCGAAGTCGCTTTGGTCATCACACCACGGAACACCATCGCAGTCCAAGTACAGCCCTTAGCAATCAAGGTGCTAATGACGATGCCGACTCCGAAGCGAGCATCATGGAGGAAGCCTCTCAGCAAAAGCAGCCAGGTGCCGGACCAGGCCAAAAGGGCGCCCAAGCTCCTGCAGACAACATCTCTTACAGCCAGAGCAAAGACAGCCTTGTTGCCCAAGCCCCAAGCACTCCTGTCAATGAGCGCCTAACACCAGCTCCCACACCCCAGCCGGGGCCATTGGAGAAGAAGCGGACTAATTTGTTTGGAATTGGTGTTCATCTCAAGCCCGGACCATCCGAACTTCCACCTCAACCCGGCATGCCTCGGACGTCAACATCGACGACGGTTATGTCTGGCCCACCGCCTGCTGGAAGCAACCAAAATCCTCCCAAAAAACGGTTCGCAGCCCTGAAGAATGTCAAGGGCGTCTTTCATCGTTCATCACCTTCCGATGCCCCCAAGACTGCACCATCACCATCTTTTGCTGTCAAACTTCCTGGGCAAGCTCAGCAGCCCCAACAGCCTTATCCTCATGACCAATTACCCGGTCAGCCACTGTTCCAGACTCAGGGCCATGGGTCCCCCTCGAACCAGGCCCCAGGACAACCACAAGTTCAATTACAGGGACAATCACAACCACAACTTCCTCCGCCGAGTGAACCTCAGATCCAGCCCGCTCAAACTTCAGCCCAGAGACAACCCCAGCAGCCACAAGCTCCGGAGCAACCAGACTCCCACCCACAGCCAAAGACCATTTCGCAGACCCTCCCTCCTCAGAATGACACAGGCCCGCGATTAAGCCATGCTAGCACTGTACAGACGGCCCATGACTCACAGCCAGCTCCACCCGCTTCTGACATCGGTTTGCGACAGAGCCAGACCAGCACTTTTCTGCCAGGAACCGGACCACAAGTTGATTCTGCCCCACAGTCCAAGATGCCCAACACTCAAACTATTCCACCCAGTCTTCGCCCGGGCGGTCCGAATGCACAGTTTGCTCCTGGCTTACGACAGCCTAGCTACGGCTTACCCCCTTCCCAGCCTCAACCACAGTTGCCAGCTCAGAGAACCTCCAATGCTGACCAGGAAAAGGCTCAGAAGTCAACAAGTGGATTTTTCGGCTTTCTGAAGGCCAAGCCCGACTCGAAGCCTCCTGTCCAGCCTCAACAGCAGGCTCAACCAGGAGCTAAAGTCCAATTTATACCATATAATCCGGCACATGCTCAGTTCCTGCAGGGCCCATACTTGTCTTATGGCATACGGATGGCCGTTGGCCCAGATGGGCGTCCTGTTGTCGGTCCTGATGGTCGCCCATTGTTTATTGGTCCCGACGGGCGTCCTGTCATACTGCAAAGCCAACCGGTCTTCCCGGGGCAGGGGCCGTTCCCTCCTCAAACACGGCTCGGCCCTCCTGGAATTGCCGGAAATCCTGGTGCACCTGGTTCGGCTCCATCACCAGGTCCTGCGGCTCTGATGTCTGGTGCTGGTGAGAGCCACCAGCAGTCTGGTCCTCAAAGCCAACAACAGCCCACTCTCCCTGAGGCTCAACAAATAACTGTCCAACCTGTACAACAATCTCCGGCACCAACGCAGCGATCCCAGTTTACAAGCCAACCTCAAACTGTGAACAAACCTGCTTTGGCCCAGGAGCAGGATAGCGCGGCCGCAGCTGAGCCAGCACAGCTTCAGCAATCATCGAAACAGGACGGTTCGAAAGTGCCTAATCCAAGTCCATCTATCAGCAGTTCTGCAGTTGATTCGCCCGTCTCACAGCTTTCGCAGCCCGCAGTCCAGCTTATCATGGATCAATCTCGTCTTCTAAATGAGGGGCCGGAAAGCGTCAGGCAACCATTCAACCTCCCGCCGCCTGAAAATGCTCAGGGCCAGCCGCAGACCTCGAGTGCCCCAACTGCTTCAAGTGCCCCAAGTGCCCCGAGCGGCACTACGACGACGGACGCTGGCCAGAAGCCAACCCGCTCGCCTTCAATATCTGTTGATGAGCCGGTGGCCTCTTTTGTTTCGCAGTTTGCCACTGAAAACCGTTCTACCCCAGTTGGCATTCCCGGCGAACTGATCGAGCAGGGTCGAAGTGCGCTGGCGAGTCTTCGCCCAAGGAACACGGTGCCAGGGCAATCTTCAATGCCACCATCCAATGCAGCTTCTACACCGGGAGCACAGGCTGGCGAGCCAGCTCTAGGGACACAACCAGTTCCTCCCGCTCAACACTCTACTCAGCCCGGTTCACAACATCCTGTTGGTCCGCAGGGTCCTCAGTTGGCTACCAGCCAGTCATACTTCGACGGTCAAGGACGACAATGGACGACCAGGCCTGGCCAACTCCCTCCCCCTCAGCCCCCGCAACAGCAATCTGGTCCTGGCGGGATACACTCCAATAGCTTTCCTACCAATGCACAACAGTCGAAGGAGAAGGAACAAAGTACGCTTTCAAAGTTGTTCAAGGGCACAAAGGTTTCGAACTTGGTAACATCGTCACCACTCAAAATGGAGAAGGACAAGAGCTCTATGCCATCGTTGTTAGCAGCCTTCAAGCGCGGCCACAGAGAAGAGAAGTACCAAACAGCAACAGTCCCAGCCCAACCAACTCCAGGCCAACAACCAACGATGCAGAATATCTCCTCTGCCACCCAAAGCGCCCAAGCTGCCCAGCGACAGCCGACACAGCAACAACCACAACAATCGGCAACGGCTTCGTTCCCTCAACATGATCGTGCAGTTGCAGTTCAGTTTGCTCCTTCGGTACAAGGATCAGGCCCGTCACAACCCGCTCGACCCCAGCAACAATCCCAAAAGCAGCCGCCCAAGGGTGCCCCGATTCAGGAACCTCAATACGCCCCCGTCCCAATCCCAGCTGGTTACGGGTTTGTGCATGGGGAAGGTCGTGTTGCTCCGGCCCCGGCTCCTCTTTGGGTTGGACCACCTCATGGCCCGATGTACGGCCAGGTTCAAGTTCCCGGACAAGTCCCAATTGTCCCCGGACAAGTTCCCGTGCCTGTCGCTATCCCACGTATTCTCCCACAGCAGCCGATTCCGGCCAGTGTGGCTACTGCCCAGCCCGCTGTTTCCAATCCTGCATATGTTCAGCCAACAATCGCTCAGCCAACTCCTGGATCGCAAGCCCCGTCAATTGCCCCATCGCATACACCATCTCAAGCAAGCGGCCAAGTACCACTCACCGCGACACCAGGTCCCCAGTCCGTTCCTGTCCAACAGCCGACTTCCGAGCCGGCGACAGCTCAAGTGTCGATGCCGCCAGCCCAGCCGTTCGTATCCACGGCCACCGTACCCACAACAGCGGTCTCTTCAGTTTCGGTCGTACCTGTTCCGGTTACGTCAGCTGCTCTTGTATCAGCCTCTCAAATCTCTCCTCCAGGTTCGCTTGCTCCCACTCCGCAGCCACCAGCGGCTAGCATTTCTCCTCCTCCGCCAGAAGAAACGCTGTCGCAACCCGAGACTGCGCAGTCAAGCACGCTCCCTAAAGATACTTCCTTCAAGCAGGAGACAGACCTGCCGCCACAGCAACCTCCTGCCCGACAGGCCCTGTCATCTAATAGTCTACCAAATCCTAACACTGATGCCCAATCTGCAAGCCGAAGTCAACCTGTACGGAAGGTTAGTGGGGATGACATCTCGTCGCTGCCTTCGCAGCATGCAGCACGGACGAAAGAGCAGGAGACATTTCCTAGTTCATATATTACCAACTATTATGCTACCCGTCACCATACGGCATCTCCCACTTCTCCTCACGAACGAACCGTCAGCCCTCCTCCTGCCGAGCCAAAGTCTCCTCACTCTCCGACGAACCAGGATCAGTTGACGACTTCAACCCAACGTGTGGCCGCTGACAACATCTATGATGCTACCCCACGCCAGTCGCGTCCTCCTCCTACCCAGCTGCAGCAACCATCACAGCGACAGCAGCCCCAGACAGATACTCCGAGTTTCATCATTGTGAATGACCCTGAAGCGCCTGCTCAGCCAAGCGTTCGTGCATTTCAGCAAGAACTGCAACCGGCTCCTCCTGCGAATTACTTCGTTATCTCAGGAGAAACCATTGTCAATGCGCCGCCTGTGACTGCTCCAAGTAGCACCACGACCTCTCAGTCTACCCCTGCTTCTGCCCCGGCTCCGGCTATGGTTCCCCCTCAATCAGGCCTTCTTAATAGCCACGCCGCCACGACCGCGAATAACCATACTTCTTCCTCTGAGAATGAACGATCCTTCGATTCCGACATGTCCGACGAGTCCCCCGTCATCCAATCGGCCACCATCGCCACAGTGCAACAAGCCAGCCCAACCGAAGCCGGCACAACCAGCAGCAACAACCCGCAGTCGCCGCCGCCCATCACGATTCAGCCGGCGGCCGTGTTGGCCAAGAACGACGTGGCGATATTCGAGAGAGCCAAGAAGAAGGCGGAGGAGCAGCGCGAGATGGAAATGCGCATGGTGTTGGAGGAGAAGATCCCCGTACTGGCGGAAATCGAGGACGAGCAGAGCAAGAACAAGAAGGATCTGGACGATATTCCCGTCATGAGCGCGACGAGTTATCCAGGACAGGAGTGGAACCCTTACGGAGAGGGTGGCTTTGAGGATTGGAATGATTAATCGGATCCGGTGTTTTGGATATTCACAGTTGGTATTCCACTGGTCTGTTTGAGCCGGACGATTCGTATGTTGATCTTTAATCTCGTTCAATTCGGCGCTTTCAATGCAAGCTCGCAGGTTTATTTTTTTGTTTCCACCATTATTGGAGACATTTACGTTTTCATCAATGTAAATCATTTTTGCCTTCTCTTTGTGGTCAAAGTTAACTTTCTCAGAATTGTTGGAAGTTTAGAGTACCCAGTAGTTTCCATTAAGTTCTATATCGGAAAAGTATCATTATTATATCCGTTGGTTGCGTAACATCTACTGGAATTATCTGTAGAATCATCACTTCTAGGTGTTCAAACCTAAAAGTCTGGTAATAATATACTTATGTGACATTGTTAGTCGCAAAGGCGATTTTGGCGCTTAAAACTAGATGACAAAGCATGGAAAAGCTCTTTCGAAATAGCAATGGATGCACTCGGCTATCATATAGTATGACTCTAAACATATTTGGGACGACTTAAATATCTATTGCACCACGTCATCAATTAATACTGCCTAAGTCTCTAAGTATGCTTGCATGCCACACAGCCCAATCCATTCATGGCATCACCGACCTAGACCTGGTCCTCAAAGCCAGCCCATATCCCCATTCGAGTCGTCGTCATTAATTACTAGGTATGTATCGTATCGTGTCAAGCATTTCCATCCATCCGTACAGACTATCCGTTCATCGTCAACGTTTCCAAAAAAAAAGACAAACAAGAGGAAAATATAAACATCCCGACTGCTAAAGCTAGCACCGAGTAATACGCCAGACTCAATGCCTTTTTGATAGGTGAGGTTCCTCCATCCCTTCCAGTGGCCAGAGTGCTTGACAGACAAAGAAAACGGAATATGAAAATGCAAACGGAAGACAAAACCCCAGACGCCATAACACAAGGTATGATCTTCCCCGTCCTCATTTATCTACCAGGAACGAAGGTATGTATAGAAGTACATACGGCAGCAACGCCATGAGTACTACCTCTTATTCAGGGGGCAAGAACGTTTCGAGAGAGGTATTGTTGCGGAATGTTCCGTCGGTTCTTTAATGACTTAATTGCTTGTCACCAAAGTATCCGGCTTGGTTTCGGTACATTCAGTCGCAGCTTGTACCGCAGTTTTGGAAATCTCAGCGGAGACTGGCTGGGGGACCCCGGGCGTCTGCTGCTGAGGGCAGGAAATGGCTGTGTTATCGGTTATGTCTGACAGCTCTTGCGTTTCTGAGTTACTCGCTTCATGCTCTGCTGTAGACTCGGCGGTTCGCCGTCCATCGTGGCTCGGCCTAGGACTCCGCTCCCCTTGAACACTCGGGACCGTGCTATAGCTCGAGGGATGGCGAGTATGACCTGTCGGAACGACACCGCCACCGATTCTACTCCAGAACATCTGTTCTCGTAAGCGAACGCTCTCCTCCCACGCCGCCTTCTCGGAATCCTCATCATCTGCTCGCCAATGACCATCTTTGACAATACGAAGGAACCCAAGAAACTCGCACGTTGACCGAACGCGAGCGAGACAGTAGCTGCAGAGAGGATACGCATTTTGGCTGGATTCCGATTCGCTGATCCGGAAGCGATGGGTACGGAGGAACTCTTCTTCTTCTCTCGACTCGCCACAGAGAGCGCACGGGAAGTGATCTGGCCTGACAACCTTGCCAAATCGCCCAGAGACCGTGGGAGGAGAGGGTTCGACGACCAGCGATCCCTCCGTGATGGCTGATAACACACTCCGGCGAGCAAGCCAAGAAAGGCCCGGTGCCATGTCAAGACGAAGTGTTGGCTCAATATCCTCAATGAGGGCCCGCTTGTAGAACTTTGTTTCTTTCAGAGGTGGGAGTGTTGGGGCACCAGCAGATGCACCAGCCCCAGCAGATGAAGCGGGTGCACTGGCGCTTTGGTGTGCGGTCGTCGAAGAGGTTCCTGTCGTGGCCAGCGAGGTCACTGACGCATTCGCCGGTACAATGTGCGACGCGACTGAGCCGAGGCCAATGCTGAGAGAAGCCAGTCCGGAAAACGTGGACCCTGTGGACAGGCGATTTGCCGAAAGCCTCTTCGATGTCCTGAGGAGCTCCTTGAAGTCATTGTATGCGGCCAGATCGGTCCGCAGGACAGGGCGCAGAAGATGAGTGAAACTTGTCGGGTAAGATGGTGTGAGTGGCAACGATAAGCTCTGATGACGCGAGCTAATCGATCGACTTGTCCCCTCCGGAGTATCAAACGTTGTGGCGCACGGTGAGGATGGAATAGTGGGCGGTGACTGCGTTTCTCTCTCGGCAGTCAGTTGCTCCATGACATGCTTGAGCTCTGCTAACTGTTCCTGCTGAGATTTCAGAAGACTTTCGGTATCAGCCAGCTGGGCGCGGAGCTGTTCGTTCTTTCGCTGAAGGAGTTCTTGCTCAGCACGGGCTTCTTCCTTTGCTGATATGACCATCTTGTTGGCCTCTTCGAAGAGTGCTGTCGTCAAATTCTCCAGCTCCTGTTCAATTTTTTTCTTCTGCTGCTCCATATCAAGTCGGGCTTTCTTCTCTTCAGCGAGGCGATTTAGGAGCTTAGTTTTCTCGGCTTCGACAGTTTTCCGCCTCACCCACACATCGCCCGCAAGCATTTCTCTTTGCTCTTCCACTTGTGCTTCTAGCTGCCGTATCCTTTCCCTGGCCCTCTCCAACTCCAGCCTCGCGGCTGCCAAGCTGTCGTCGAGAGCCGTCTGGTGATTGATGGCATTGATGAGTTTCGTACTTAGCGTGGCCACCTCATCGTCAAGATCTGGATGTTTGGGCATGGCTGCGGTGCTGTTTGCACTGGCAGGACTGAGAGCCCTGCTTCTGGGATCGGGGATGGTACTCAAGTCATTCTCGTCGTCAAATGTAATGGGAAAACATTTATTCGGTAGATGTGGCGTAGAAATATGGGAATGGGCGACGTCGGCGGTCATGGATGTTTCGACGGACGAGTTGGAGCGAGCATGTGAAAGGGGCTGGCTGGAGGAGGAGGGTTTGAGTATGCTCGACAGTGACCGGTGATGACCAAAGGTCGAACGACTGGTAGAAGGCTGGTGGGTTGACCAACCAGCAACGGCGACGAAGCTTTGTAGGAGCATGTGTCAGCGATTATCTTCCAATTCTTAAGCGTCTACGTATCATAGTGCCTTCCCGGGATGATATGTTTTGGGCCCCCGGGCCGACGTCAAGCTGGAGCTTCCCGCAGCATCAAGTCCCCAGCTCCGGGCCGCAGCCGACTGCAATACATGCGTGTAGGTACGTCCAATGGGTCATGGCAGGTCCGGGCAGAAGGAGCTGAGGAGCCTCCAGATCACGCCTTGAAGTAACTGCCTAAGTAGGTAATGTTGAGGAGCATACATACGAGTAATCCAGCTTGACGGCTGACAAGCGGACCACACCAGGGGCTGGCGGGTCCTATTTGCGGGAGCGCTCAAACAACCTGACGGGCCCTAACGGATTGCAGCTGTGCGATCGCGGTTGTACGGGGAATCTCTATGTTTATGCGCCGTTTGCTTTCGATCGTCCGAGATGTTCAGTGGGCAAAGGGAGGTCGACTGATCGATCGGGGCCGTTCAGGTGCCGAGCACGCAAGCAGCAGATGGCAGCGACCACAGCGCGGCTTTCGGAGAATATGTCGTCGCGATCGGACGAAGATCTCTATGGGCGAAACCAATTGGCAAAGTGCAAATCCGATATGACGGTTTGCTGATGCGTGGCAACCAAGAGCCGGTCCTTTCTTCCGAACAAAGATGAGAGCGAGATAAGGTTAAAGGACAGATGCGTCCAACCTGGTTGGCTTATCACGTTATACGTTATAGCAGAATGGTTCGGAGGATGGGAAGGAAGGGCAAACAGCGAACAGCGCTGTGGCGGTTGACGCCAGCCTCTTCAAGGTGGCCGGTGCCCACGATGGGAAAGGTGCCCAGTCGGACCGGGGTTCAGCTTTTTGGTTGCTTGGCCGGCCTAGCCCCCCCACTCGCTTGCAAGCTCTTAGCGGTAATGTTACGCAGCAAAACACGATGCCTTGTTTTAGCTTCTTGACCTCCATTCCCCAATTCATCCCCTTTTGGCTCGCAAGCTGCTTCAAGGTGTCTATGGCAGGCTTGAGTGACATCGGCAGACGCGGTACGAACAGTCGAGTTTCGCAATTGTTGCCAGCACACCTTGCAGGCAGCACGCTGCCGCTCGCACGTTTCAAACAAACGAGAGGGAACACAGCCGAGAGAGCAGGTTACAGCAATCCGTATTAAAGCTTTCCGCGGAACTGATTAGATTTATGAAAGTAATCCGATGGTTGCTGGTGGATTCCAACCCACTCAAGAATGCTTGTGGCCGGCCCCGCTCGCGTGCTGCATGCACTCCTCATCTTTTGCCTCACAGATGCCATGTGCTACTGACTCCAAAAAGAATAGTCCAACATCATGCGTTTTCTGGTTCCGGTCTGTCACAGTTGCCCAAGCCAGGGTGAAGTACAGGTTAACCTGACTATCACTTTAATGATCCCTTGTATCCATCCTTACAAGTGCGACATACACAAATAGCCTATTGAAGCCAACCTTGGAACGCATTGGCCTTTTTTATCAGGAGGTGTCTGCTGGGAAAAAAACAGGCATGCAGACTAGACCACGTGCCTAATCACCCCAAGGATCCACAAAAACACAGCTCACGACCCAAGGTTTTCTTCGAGCCCCACCGCTTGTGGGTAGTTTAAGTTGAAGAAAATGATATTATCGTAGTAAGCGAAGAAAAGCTTCTATCAATGCGCATCTGTCATAGCGTGTGCACTTATGTACATAAGAATATTACACCTCATTCCATAGCACGAACGATGCGCACCACTTGCGCATGACCAGCACCGCAGTCGAATGATCCCCAGCACCCTTGACTGATGAGCAACACAGCAGAACGTCACCCTCCCCCTTCGATACATGCTGGGCTTATCCGTACAGTATATCCCTCACATAACTCTGTGGTTCCTAATGAAGATGCCTTGTATTCTAAGACCTTTTGGAAATATATGTTTCCATACCGAGGGTTTTTTTTTCTGTATAAGGTAGTTTCCATTTCGTCAATTCTGAGTGGAAACTGCCTTCACATTACATGGCGGCAGCATCAAACAGACAGCAAAAATTCAAAAGCAGTCTAAGTCCGTTGACATGTACAGCAATCAATCAAATATAAGGAGATCTAGGACTAGCGTATCGTCCTTGCCGGCACGTAGGGTTGCTGACATGCCCCAACTCAAAGAGTGTCAGCGTGTATCCCCCAGCAACGCGAGTCGTCAAGATCAAAACAAATCCATGCCCTCCCTCTTGCAGATCAAATCACTTTTCCGTCCCACATACCCCTTTTAAACTCCCGGGTTTTACCATTTGACTACGTCTAGATAGGGAGTCAAAGTGTATGAAGTGTTACGAGGAGTGAAGGGGCAAAGCCACTGCCCCGGATGTTAATCGTACAAGCTCAGAGTGAATGGACAGTAACAACGATATGCCTAGAGCTCTTCCTTTTCCTCATCTGCCTTGGCAGTCGCTTCATTAACTTCGCTCGCTGGTTTAGGAGCGTGATTCTCTTGTTCATTCTCGCCTTCGACGCTCTGCTTAGCCTCGGGGATGGCTTCATCAGGAATCAGGCTCTGAGAAGTCGAACGATCGACGCCTATGAATTGAGGCATTAGCGTAAGTGTTTAAAGCTTTTATGAGTAAAGCCGCCGAAATAATCAATACCTTCGACATCGGGATGCGGAGGAGCAACTCCCTGGTTATCAAGTCCCTCTGGCAGCTTCTCTCCCGGCGGGAGGATGATCGTGTTGCCCTGAGAGTCAATGATGCGAGTACGGGTCTCATATCTGGTCTTAAACTCGACCTTGCCTTCCAAGGCTTTAACTTGTTCCTCGTTCAATAGGTTGCCATATTGGTCACGGTACTCAATGTGCTCCTCTTTGTGGATAACCTTTTGGTTTGGTGGCAAAGGAGCACCAGACACCTGTTGCTTTACCTCTTCCTTCTGTTTCTGATCGGCAACAGGGATCTGGGCACCCTTACCACCGACTGCCTTCGGCTGCTGAGCCTTTACTGACTGTTGAGCAGTCTGAGAAGCCATTGGTGAGGAAGTGAATGTCTGCACAGTTTTGTATGCATCATACTGCAAGGGGCATAATTGTTAGTACGAGCCTAGCTTTGAAGTCTGCGTCAAATGGGCCAATATTTCCGTATTCTCTTGTCATGATAAAATGCCAAATGTAATGTCTTTTCATGACCCGCGGCATGAATTGAATGAATATTCTCCTGTCTATCCTCTTTGTGGGAGCCTTCTCTGTGGGATTTTACTTACGTTGTCCAAAAAAGTGTTGCAATCCCAGTCCCAAGTCTTGAACAGCTTGACGCGCTTGCACTCCGCCTTGGTCCATGCATTGCCATACGCAAGAGGAGAGAGCAAAGTAAAGACAATGAAGGAAAGAGTCAAGAACACAATGACGCCGAGTCTGCCGATCATCGGTTTGTCCTTGAGGCCGAACAGAGAAAATCGGTAGGAAACGAAGTCGTAGATCTGGCAAAGTGCGATGATCGAGAAGTATAGAGCAGGGAAGTAGTGGTGCAAAAATAACTGCCTCTTCATGAGATAGAACGGGAAGTAATGAAGAGCCCAGCCAAGAACAGAGGTACCGATCTCGTAATCAAACCGCTTGAAGACGGGATTAGCGTAGTCGTTGCAGCTCCGCTGCCATCTGAGTATCGCGATGCCCTTGAAGACAATATAGATAGCAACGGCAGCACTAGCGCTCCACCAGATGAGCGGGTTGCCAATCAGATAGACCTGACGGTGATCTTTGCCCCAGAAATTGATACCGCGGCGGAGAATGGGCCAGGAAGGAGGGCGAGAGTCCCAGGCATGAGAATCCGTAAGGCCGGCGTTTGTCTTCCACATAACCTTCTGGAGCTCCCAGAACTTGCCAAAGAAGCCCGGATTGCGATAGTTGACCTTTTCAACATCAGGACCAAGCAGGGGATGTTCGTTAGACTCAATGTACCAGAGACTGTTGGGAAGCGTACCGCCGCGAGCGCAGGTCACCTCCTGCTGCTCCGACGCCCAGTCGGGAAGTTTGACTTTATGCGAAAACAGCACGCAACCGGTCATAACATGAACGAGCCTGAACTTGGTGTCGATGGTACGCAGACGCTCCTGGGCAACACCAGGCTTCGACTTCTTCTTCACAATCTCAACCCGGAATAGATCGTTGGCATCGCCGTCAAAACCCTCGTAGCCATAAGCGGAGACCTCGTTTTGCCAATCTGCTTCAGTAATTGGCGGCCGAATGTCGTGAGAATGCAGTCGACGATGAGTAGCCAGGTGATATAGCCGAATGATATCACCGTTCTTGACATACTGCGGCTCAGGTAGCTTGTACCATGCATTGGTGCCATTGATAGGCTGGCCGTTCGAGTCGAGAGGTTGTGTCTGATTCTCAAGAAGCCACAAGTTGTTATCGTCCTTATGTGGGTAAAGGGTGACCTGCTGCTGCTTCGAACCAGTTGGATACATCAGAGGGTGAGAATGAAGATAGCCACCCTGTGTGTTCACGTGCCGGATAACAAGCCGGCTGCCAAACAAAACGTCGGCAGGGACATCCTTCATGGCCTTCGTTCTTAGGGTTGACTGGAACTCGGGGCTCATGAATCCATCCCCATCGCCAGGATTCACCAGGCAAAGGAAATGAATGGCAAACATACTCATGTAGATGCCCAGAGGGATAACAATCAGACAGAAAGCCCGGGCCAAGAAGTGCTTAGCAAAGATGCGCTGCCGGCACGTTAGTTGATGTTCTATTCCAGGATTCAGTGAGGGGCATGGACGTACGATTGTAACATGCTTGTAATCACCAAGCAAGACCCAAAGCTGAACAAGAGTCAAGAAGCCAACCCAGGCAATCGTGAAGAGACCAACCCATTTGATACTGAAGGTAATTCCCAGACCAATGCCAGTCATAAACAGCCAGAACCACCAACTCAGACTGAAGGCACGCGAGGGGCCGAGCTCATGCTGGTTAGTGAAGGATGTGAAGGCCAGGGCAGTGAACCCCGTGGCGATCATAAGGGGAGAGTCGAGAAGAATCAGACGGGCCTGAGTCAAGAGACCGTTCTCTACAACAGGAGGTACATCAGTAAGTGTTCAGAGGATCAGCTTTTGCGGGTGCCAACGGACCGAAAATAATAAGGCCAGCGCCCATAACGGCAGTGGAGGTACGGCAGCCGGCAGCTTTGAGTGTCAAGAACATAACGGGAGCGAGCAGGATGCCGCAAATTGCAGGGAACATGCGCATCGCAACATACGGAACGCCCGGCTCCAGATAATCCTTCCCAATGTCCTTGAAGTCGAAGTTGCCATCAAAACCAGCAAGCCAGCCGAACAATGTAATCATGAGCTTGGCGAGCGGAGGATGAACGTCCATGAAGAATTTGCCCTTGATATACTTCGAAGCGAAACCGCCGAAGCTGTATTGATGATGCCGTCAGCTGCGCCGCTGCATGAAGGGATACCTGAATCTGGGGAGTGCGGATTGCTTCGTAGCACGTACTGGACCTCATCGAAGACGACGCTGCTGGGTTGGTAGATGCGGAACAGCCGCACAAGGGCAGAGACCGCAGTAATTGCCAGCATGATTTTGTAATCGGAAATGGGGAGCAAGAAAACATCGTGGTCCTCGACACCCTCGGAGGAGTAGTCATCAGGCTTGGGCTTCGCCGACTTGGATTTGGATTTGGTGCTCGCATTCCCGGGAGCAGGTGGTGGCGATGCCCGCGCCGGTGGCTTTGCGCTCGACGATCGAGCCATGCTGGGCAATACGGGACAATTGCGGCTAAGCTGTCGAGTGTCTTGGTATAGCAGACCGTCCTGTATCAGAGTTGAAGTAAATTTCTCGAACGGGAGTGGCAGTTAAGCCGTTAAGCCGCGAAACAGGAAGATCAGTGATCAACAAAGCGGAGTAAACGAGAGTCGAGAAGTGTCAAGCTTGAATTACAAGGCTAGCATGGGATTCCGAACCGAAGGAAAACAGAAGGATAGAAGGGCCAACAGGCCACGATAGAAAATAGAATGTTCAATGTAGGAAGAAGGATAAGACGAGAAAACCTCGCCAACGCTGTCGGTCTCCTTTGACCTCGGAGCTGGAAAGGGGTTGTGATGAAAGGTTGCGTCGCCGGCACAGCCATAAATTGAGAACAAGCTGAAGTGGCCTTTAACCCCTGCCGCCTACCAGGCCAAAACAGGCCATCCCAACGGGTGTTGCGGCCCGCTCACCCCACGATTGGCCCAAAGTTGGCCTGCACGGACCACACTGCAATCTGGCAGCTTGGCTTGCAGCCTGCTGGGCCCAGCTGCGGTTTGCTACAAAACTTCCCTATTGAAAATACTCAGGTAATTACTTGACTAGGTAAAATGACGTTATCTATACCTGTCTAAGCAGCCATAACGCAAGATGGCATTCACTGCTGACGACTCAAAGAACGTTAAACTATGTGGACATTGAGCAACCATGAACACAGAAACCTAAGATAGATAAGGAGTATGACCGCCAAGTCCTTACAAGCACGGCATTTGACCAGGCCCTTCCCATTCGGACAATCCATTTCCAGATTACCGTGCAGCATGTGGGTTGTAAGGAAAACGGATCCATGACATTACAAAGACCGACGTCAAGGTTGCGCATTTGTGCTACCGTGCTCTCCGTACTGTGTATGCGCAAGGCTGAAGGTGCCAAGCCTTTCTCGAATCGTTTGGCCGGCCTTTGAACACAATCAAGCGCGATTCACGCTCCCGCCTCAAAACTTGTCACTCAAAGCAGCACGCCCAAGTCCCACGCAACTCAGTCGTTCAGAAACCGAGCGCGATGCCCGGCCCGACGACAAATGGCGATGCAGCCGCTGCGGCAGCGGCCCAACTTGATAACCTCAAGCCGCCGCCGGGCATTATTATCCCCCCTCCAGGCGAGATCCGCGAGGCTATCGAAAAAACAGCCGGCTACGTGATGCGCGGCGGTGCCGGCCTCGAACAGCGAATTCGAGACAACCATGGAAAGAATCCGAAGTTCAGCTTTTTGATGTCCCCAAATGACCCGTACAATGCCTACTACGAATGGCGCAAAGCCGAAATCAGGGCCGGCCGCGGCACCGCCATCTCGGCCGGGCGCGTGGGTGAGGCTGCTGCCACTCCCGCGACGGCGAAGCCAGCTGGCCCTCCAAAGCCTCCCGATTTCCAGTTTTCAGCTCGTATGCCTCGCATGAGCCAGAAAGACTTGGAGATTGTGCGACTGACTGCCCTCTTTGTCGCCAAGAACGGCCGCCAATTCATGACACAGCTTGCCCAGCGTGAGGCCGGCAATCCCCAGTTCCAGTTTCTAATTCCCAATCACACATTCCATAACTTCTTTCAGAGCATGATCGACCAATATACGATTTTGTTGCGCGACAGTGGAGTCAATGGCGAAGGCAGCAAGGCTCAGCAGGATCGCATCGAGGAGCTCCGACAAAACGTTGCCGACAAATACAGAATCCTGACGCGCGCAAAGCAGAGAGCGGAGTATGCGAAGTGGCAAGAGGCCGAAAAAGCTAAAAAAGAGGAGGAGGCCGAGAAGAAGAAGCTAGAATTTGCCCGCATTGACTGGAACGACTTTGTCGTCGTCGAGACCATCATCTTTACCGAAGCCGACGACCAGGCCAACCTTCCTCCTCCGACAACCCTCAATGACCTCCAGTACGCCTCTCTTGAAGAGCGAAACAAAGTTTCTATCAGCTCAGCACTCCGCATCGAGGAGGCATTTCCATTCGACGATACAAGCTACAATGCCCATCCACCCCCTCCAGCTTATGCCACCCAAGCACCTGCTGCGCAACCAATACCGGCACCGGCACCTACACCGGCACCAACGCCTGCACCAGTGTCCCAGGCATACGGCACTTCAGCGCCTGTTGCCGATCGCACTAAGCCCACTGGACACGAGGCTCCTGCGCAAAACGAACAAGACCGATTGCGCCCTCAGCCAGTGCAGGCTGCTGGTGGCCCTGTACCTATGAAGATCAAAGAGAATTACGTGCCGCGCGCTGCCCAGCGTGCTGCTAACAAATTTGGCACTCAGACTGCCATGTGCCCGAATTGCAAGCAACAAATTCCTCTCAGTGAAATGGATGAGCACATGAGAAGTAAGTCCGGACTTGAATTTCTACCAGTCGATAGTTTTCTGTGCACCATCACTAACGTCTTAAAGTCGAGCTGTTGGATCCCCGTTGGAAGGAACAGAAAGCAAAGGCAGAGGCCAGATACGCCACGACTAACCTGTCCACGGTGGATGTCGCCAATAATCTTAAGCGTCTTGCCAGCCAACGAAGCGATGTGTTCGACACGTCCACTGGTCAGACAGTCTCAGAAGAAGAGCTCGCCCGTCGGAAGAAGGTTGCACTTGGCACAGCTGATAACACTCCCGACGGCAGGAGTCAGATGCAGACCTTCAACCTTGACGAGCAGATCCGTGCTATCCACCAGAAATTCGCTGACAAGAAATAAACACGCTTCGGGAATTTGCTTGGCACTTAGACCGCGTTTGATTAAGAAACACTAATTGCCAGGCCTCTAACCCAATCATGAAGCCATATGGTATAATTTCCTGTATCTCAAAAGGACGGCGTCGGTGTTAGGCGTTTGGGGGTCAAAGCGGTAGGTGAGAATTATCACCTTAAGGTTTGTTGTTGAAGCTCATACCAGCTGGCATCATAGTGGCTTCTGGCACAAAAGTCGGAAAGAGACAACTTCTAACTATGTGCTGTATGATATCGCGACATAAGGAAACATGCAGAGAGATTGACCAGTTAAGCATTGTATGCTTGATCCCGTACATTGAATCTTGAATACCTATGTCTGATATGGATGCCCACCGTTTTGGAACATATGCCACGTTCTGCCGTAGAGAATCGAAGTCGATCGGGACGCCGGGTATCAAGTGCTTCAAAGAGCTCCTTGAGGGAAGGGCGGGATGATCAAAACATGGAAACGCACTGTGTCAGGGGACTGTGAAACGAGATGGTAATGTGGTGTAATCGGTACACCATACCATGCGACCATCATCACGATAAGCGGGTTCAAAATGGAATCTTCTACCCCACCCTCTGAGCGCTGTGGTGGCTTGGCTGGTGAACGATCACAGGCCAACAACCTTGGAACAACCACCTAACCCCCCTCCCAAACACAAACCTCTGAGACAGTTTACTTTCCATCAACTATCAACCGTACTCTGCTGCACTACAGAAACGCAGCGCTTCGGCGCATCGGAGAACAACTCGAAAGGTCGCGAAGAGAAGGGGTGTTCGGTGACTTCGGTCTATTTCCTATTACCAGCTTCGCCCCGCCAACGTACCTTACGACCACCCAAGTACATCTCGAAACATCAGCATGTCCTCTCCCCAGAGTTACGACACGGCTACTGCTGTTCCTGGAGCAGAGGACCAGCAGCAAACAACGCAGCAGCCGCAATCTCCGCCCAAGTCGCCATCTTCAACCGACAAGCGTGCTCTCGCCGCTGCGGCTGCCGCTCGCTTACACCGTCCCATTATGCCAACGTTACCAGAATCGCGGCCGCAGACGTTTGACGAGATCTATGGGCCACCAGAGAACTTCCTCGAAATTGAAGTACTGATTGCACTCCTTCTTCTTCTCAACCCTCCCACTTCAATCGAAGAACGACACGCGCTGACCAGCCTCATCATCAGGTGCGCAACCCACAGACGCATGGCGTTGGTCGGCACATGTACACCGACTACGAAATCGTCTGTCGCACAAATATCCCAGCCTTTAAGCTGCGCCAGTCATCAGTGCGGCGACGGTACTCGGATTTTGAATACTTCCGCGATATTCTGGAACGCGAGAGCGCTCGTGTGACTATCCCTCCACTTCCCGGCAAAGTGTTTACCAACCGTTTCAGTGACGAGGTCATCGAGAATCGGAGAGCGGGGTTGGAGAAGTTCCTCAAGATCGTTGTTGGACACCCCCTGCTGCAGACGGGGAGCAAGGTATTGGCTGCTTTTGTGCAGGGTGAGTATAGCTCTTATCTCGAATGTTGTAAGTAGGAGTGATGGCTAACAGCAAAGGCAGACCCGAACTGGGACCGCAACGCTTGGTAAAGCTTCTGAACACTCAAAGACGATAACCGCAAAATATGACGACGACAACGCTGCCTGGACCGGGCTATTCGGTTGACACACCCATCACCCCCAACCAACGTAACTGAACGGATTAAGTTCAATCGGTCCACTAATTATTGACCGCCAGCCGTACGAAGAAAGCATACGCAGATCTCCTGTATGTCGGCTCGTGACAGCTTAGTTGAGATATGATAAGGATTGGCAACGTGTATGCCATTCAAGGACGAGTAAACTATGTTTTTCCCCGACAGCACACAAACATACTCCTCATACTGTAAGTATATTGCCAACAGGGCTACATGCGCCACAAATGTCTTCTCATTCCCAAGTTGTGAAGCGTCCTTCTCATTCAAGTCTTGTTCAGGGAAGTATAAGGAGTTGGAAGAGGGAGGTTGTTGTTTGTGTCACCAATCGGTCTCTACTGGAGTGGGTTTTATGGGTCAGAAGTCACCAGAGACAACTCGCCAGACCGATACTTTGGCCCTTTTTTTTTCAACATGTGTCTTACTGATGCATGGCAACTCCTTGTTTCCGCATTCAAGATAGCAATTCGTTCTTGTGCTTACCTGCCTTCTGAACAATGGAAACCTTGGCAATTGACACCTGCTCATGCGGCCCATTGTCGATGAACTTATAATATCAATTGAGCTGAGAGGAGATCTATCCCGCCCAGCTGACAGTTGAGGCAACAAAACAGCCTGTTCCCTCTCGCAAAAGAAGAGGATTCCGTCCGCCAGCCATAAAGCCGTATCTCATCACCTCGCCGTTTACCGTGGAGGTGTGCATACCTTTCCAGCGCCGTACGCCCCGAGGGTTTAGCAGAAGATCTAGCACCAGGTCACCCTTGGCCTAGACGCATATAGTACACATCCCATCCACTGATGGGATCAATCAACATGTGTCCATGTCCGTCCGACGGACACTCGACCCAACAGCACTCTTTTTGTTGCCCAGCATTCCAGCGCCCACCAACGCCAGCACCATCCTCGGATAAATGCATAATTAAAAATGACACAAGATGTACCCCCTATGCCAACCAGCCAGCCTTTCCTCTCTATCGGTCCCGCTTCTATAGGCGATCTCATAAAATGATGGTAGAGAACGGAGGGGTAGGTATCACCTATCTAAGGCACCTGGCCGGGCGATTCCAGGGGATGGTCTTGCGATCATACCTGCACTCCCCCATCACGGCGATTAGGGGAAAAAAAAACCTACTTTTATACACGCTTGTTGTACAACAGCCCCGGGTTGTCGTCGGCTCCGAGACTAAAAGATTCGGCGGCGTATGTCAGACTGTGTGTTCAGTAAATGAGGCATTGGCAGGTTACGCCTTAGTGCCGAGCAGCCGTAGGATTCCTTCGTACATGCCGAACATGATGGCAGCACTAGGAACTGTCCGGAGAAGATGAGGTGTCATTCCTCCATATAGGCCAAGCATGCCTTCTTCTTTCCACACCAGCTTAAAGCATTGGACAAGGCCGGTGTATTTGGGCCTGCCATCAGCCAGAGGAGCCTGGCGGAGTCGAGTCCGGGCAACCTGTGATGAAGTCAGCTTGTCAACCCCCCCTCCGCCAGTACCACATTGATACAGGCTTACCTCGTGTGGATATGTCAAGACAGCCGCCACAAACTTCGCAAAGCCTGCAGCGCCAAACTTCCCTGTCCAATCAACCGTATGATCCCACCAGGTCTTTGGCCTGCCGCTACGCACAATGCGCTCCTCTCTCCTAGCCAATGCCTGTTTGATCTGCTCATACAGCATCCAGTGCATGGTTGACTCAACCACACCAAGATAACTTGCGCTCATTCCCTTGTAGAGTCCGCGAATGCCTTCGTCACGCACGACCTGCCTAATGCAATCAATGCTGTTTTTGTACCGGCGCTTTGTAACACCGCCGCTCTCGATAGCCATGTTCTTATCGAGTTGAAGGCGGGTCTTAACCATCCATATGGGATTTGTTGCCGTGCTGGTGACGATACCCGCGATTGCACCTGCACTGAGGTGCACCCAAGCAGAATCCGAGTCCCCTTTAGCGAGGTGCTCACTGATCAAGCGCTTGCCATTGCCGTAGGTAAAGAAGTTGATCGACCGGGCAGGAATGACACCAACGAGGTTCGGGCCAAGGCCCTTAAAGAGGGCTCGAGGTCCTTCCTGTTGGTATACAGTACCAAGGATGGACACGGTTTCCCTGAAGTGGAATGCGACAGTCCGGAGAGGGTTCATGTGCCCCGTGTGTGCCGCTCGCGAAGCTTTGAGCTGCGCTTGGTAGAAATCAGACTGCAGTCTCGTTTTAAGTACGTCCAATGGTGCAGTCAAGGTCGCAGCTGTCATGCCGCCGATTCTAAGGAAGGCAAGGTCAACACTGTCCCGATATGAGTAAGGTTGGACAGCCTCAACCTACCCTCCTGCCACCATGTGCGCCCATGTCTTCGATATTGGTGCCGCCTTGTCGCGGTTCACTATCGGTTCTCCTTGAATAGACTCTGGATTAACATCTCCAGTTTCCCTTGATTGTGTAAGCGGCGCATGGTCATGCGTAGTAGTAGGCTGGTGGCCAGCAGGCAGCGACCTGGCGGCGGATATAGAGGCCATGGTTGCTGCCCGCGTTTGTCGATATTCTGCTTGCAGATTGTTTGTGCGAGAGAGATTATTAGTGCCAAAGTTCTTCGGCTGAATCGAAGTGGAAGCGCTGTCACCCTTTACGACCCAGAAATGCTCAGAGGGAACTGTTCTGCGGGTCGAACGACTCCAGTGGACTTGTGGTGACGGAGCTGTCGCCAAAAAAAATGCCCGGTTGTTATCGTGATAAGTCAAGGTCCCGCGGTTCCGTCTTTCGCGAGCGAACTTTTTTTACCATCGCTCCGCAGCGCTCATTGGTTAGAGCGGTTAATCATCGGCAATACCCTACAAAAGAAACGTTACGTCATAGGTCAGGCTCGGCAAGTGGATTCCTAGGCGGAGAAGTGAACAGGTACCTCCGTAGAACCTTGATGTCCAGCAAAGGCGCTGATGGTCAACCTTCATCACACATGATATGGGTTGATACCTACCTAGCTGATATCTGATGTGTACACTAAATTGATTGAATCTGTTTTTCTAGGCTTTTTACCAGCAATTGTTCCCTGTCTTCTAGGTGGGAGACCTGTAAGCACAGCTAAACCAAGGGCCACATTCTGGCCAGTGTACAGATACTTCTGCCGGAATGATCTAATCTGAGCCGGCGTTGCCCCATGGAAGCACAATGTTTGTTTACTTGCGCTGAAGGGGAAAAGGAGAGGTTGGCTGGTATTATCACAACACAAAGCTCAATCAACTCTTCAGTCACTTCATGATGAAAGTTAATAACATGTTAGGAAATAACCCGTATTCCCTGAATTCCGTGTATACTTCTACCAACCAGGAAGGAGTCGATGTTTAGTTTCCATCATCACAAACCTGAAACCACCAAAGGGTAGATTGAGGGATGTGATGCACGCTCAGTCTGTCTAGGACACACCATCTTCCGATATTGGTCTAACGCAGCAAGCCAGCCCCTCAGTTGACTAACCGATAAAGAAGTTCCCTCATGATCTAGAGTGGGTCAGGCTGCACATGGCGCTCTCAAACCAGATGCTGGTCAATGACTGCAGCAACCGCATGGTAACCTTTCCAGACAGCCAGTTATAACAGATATCTGTTCGATACCTGTGGTATGCATGTGTATATGCTGGAGTGACGAAATCGAACTCTGTCCTGCGTAAACTTATAAATGCCATGAGCTGCCACTCCACGAACTCCCAAACTAAACTCGAAATAGAGAATCCCAGGAAAAATTGAGAAAAGCAAAAGGCGAACTGTTAGTAGCCCCTCACGGATCAGGTCGACCAATTAGTTCAACGATTTGGACTGGACCAGACCAGTGCCCAAACTAGGATGATAATAAGATCTTGAGCCGGATTCCTGAGTGGCTTGCGCAGGTGTCATACCTTCAGACCAATGCGGCTATTGGCGATGTGTCCATGAAAGAGCGGAGAAGAGCAATGTCAAACTGCTCTGCTTTAAGATATCAGGAAGAAACGTCGAGCCAACAGAGTGCATCAGAATGGTCTGCTGGCCACGAAGCACTGGCAAAACCAGCCTCATTTGCCATAGCCCGCTCTCATCAGCCAAGAGCTGAACTTTCCAGTGCTGTATATGCTAAGGCCCGCTCAAAACATGGGATCGCGATGGCGCATTTGTCCGAAAAATAAATGAGGAAGCACTGCTGTCATTAGAGCAGTGCTCCCTGAGCAAGCCCAGGATCCATAAATGAGGAAGCACTGCTGTCATTAGAGCAGTGCTCCCTGAGCAAGCCCAGGATCCTCTCAGAGATGCTTAGGAAGAGCCCGGCGCAGGATGCGCTCCATTGCCTCTAACTCGCGACGAGCCACCTCACTCAAGGAAAGATTGTCGAACTGCTTACCGGGCGGGAATCCTAGCTCATACCACAGGTAGCCAAAGTAGAGCTCCGTTTGATTGCCGATGGCCTGAATTTGGGTGCGCTCCTGAATAGATTTGCGGAGAACGGAACGCGTCGTTTCCTCCCGAAGGATGGCGATGTACCACTCGAGAACATCGAGGGGAGTGCCCGGCTTTGGGCAGAGAGCGTAAAGGTGAGTCCACAAGTCAGCAAACCTGGGCTGATTGAACAGGCGAGTGCGCGATTCGTCCAGGTTAGCTGCAGCAGCGATGTTATCCTTCTGAACAACAGTGAATCCTGGGCACAGCATAGCCGCTGTCACAAGTCGCTTGAGCAGCTGTTCATTGATGACCGTTTCATGGGTGCGATCATGGCGCTGCAGGGTTTGGGCCAAGTGGGTAACGAGACGATAGGTGGCGCTGTAGACAGCATAACGCTGGCGCACAGTGATGTAATCTGTCATGTACCATGGAAGCTTCTTGATGGTCGAAATCATGCACTCGTAGGGGCGCTGCGGGCACTCCTTGGAGTAAGGGGACTAGATTCCAGTGCGTGTCAGCGTAATTCGATTGCTAGTGGACCATCAGCATCAGAGAAGATACTTACACGCTGCGGGATCTCCACGTGCTTGACCAACATAGTCATCTCCTCTTCCGTGACAAACCCCTTGAAAGTTTTCCAGGGCTGGCCTTCAACTGGCTTCTGAATGATTGGCTTTGAGCCATCCCAGAAGACACCAGCAGCCAAAGGGAAAAGATCATGCATTAACGCAGCTTGGCTGGAAAGGTAAATGTCAACGGGGCGATCGCCAAGCCGTGAGACGCGGCCTCTCTGGACATTAATCTGATGACGCTCAACAGCTCTGGCAGCATCGTGAAGGGTCATGAACTCAACGTAAGCATCCTGAGTCTTGGATGTAACTCGCTCCATAATGATGTGAACAGGCTCCTGGTTGTCGTTGAGAATCTTAGAGTTGCGACCAAGGAAAGCAATGATCTCAGACCGCTTAGTGCCAAATGGGATCTGCGGGACGTTAAATGTAAGCATAATAGCACAATAATATAGAAAGGGCTAGGAAAACTTACGTTGCAGATCTTGACCACGCCATAGGGGACAGGAGTAGCCTGAGTGCAACTCTCGATGAAGGGAAAGTTATCAGGGTCCAAAGCCACATCTTGAGTGGGCAGGCCAATTGGCGTATCAGTAAGTCGATTCAGTTGCTCAGAGCGAAGTGCACGGATTTCCTGAGGAACAGGACCATAGGAAAGATGAGCCGGAGCCAAGGGACCGACTTCCTCCTCATGGACAGTCGAGAGAACAAGATCCCTAGAAGTAATGGCAGGAAACGTGCGATCACTCAGTGGAGGAGATGAAAAAGGATCAGTTTCCGACGCAGTATAATGTGAATTGGCATCATTTTTCTTGACCAGGCTGTTGCAATTCAAGTTGAACGGGGGAGGGGGTAGGAAAACTGGAACCCCGGCAGCAGTCCGTGGGGCAAAGTTGCGTGGCTCAGTTTTGTTGTAAGCAGCCAGAGGAGAGAAAGGGGTCGCCGAAGCGTCAGTGCCGTTCTGCTGGTGAGCGGGAGTCACCACATTGCTATTGCCTTGAGCTGTGTTACTGGGATAGGCATGATCCTGAACAGTACCGAAGATATCAGACTGCTGATTCATGTGCGATTCATTGGTTGTGGCAATGGATGTGGTGTTCGTGCGAGATGAATAACCAACAGCTTTGGTGAACTGCGGATATTGCTGCTGAGGTGCTTGATAGCCAGAATTAGAGGCAAGATTGCCTGCATGAGCCTGTTCAATCTTCAAATTCTGCTTTTTGTTATACTGGATGGCATAGGGATTGCCATTGTGAAGATGATGAGCCTTGATTTATGTATTAGTCTAGAATCCTTCGCGGATAGACTTGCGGGTTTGCTTACAATATAACTGCCTTTCATATCGGCGGTGTTCATATTGTTCGTCTGCAAGGCAGCCTGAACATCCGACTGGTTGACAGAACCAATGTTCTCAACTTGAGACTTTGCCTGGTAACCCTTGTTCTTAAGTTGTGTTGCTGTTAGCTTTGAACACCCTAACGGGAAGGAACAGCGTGGATGTGGTTGTGAGGAGAAGGGGTGCATACTAAAATCTGAAGGGAATCATTCAGAGTCTTGTTCAGGTCATTGGAAGTGCGAGACTGGGAGAATCGACCAGTACCAATGGGGGCAATAGTAGTACGCTTGCGGGCGTCATCAAACTTGTCGATGCGGGTGGACGAAGTATTGTCATTGCCGGAAGTCGTGTTCAAGCGACCACCGATGTAGTTGCCATCCTCATCAAAATCGCAAAGACGAACGCCGCCGTCAGGGCCATCATAGTCATCAGAATTGTCATCGTAAGCATCAAAGTGGCGGCCACGCATCACGGGCGAAGAACTGGCGACCACGTTCTTGTTGAACCGTGTCGCCTTCATGCCGAAAGTTCAGATAAGCAACTATTGGGTCCTGCTAAAAAAAAAACTGGTTAGTCGATAGAATAGGTTACAGGAAATACTCTTGGAAAAGCAAGAAGATGAATGAGTCCGGGGGGTGTGAAGGAATATCTGTGTGAATATCTTCAACACAGGATTAAGAAAATGGCAAGATTAGTGAAATATGCGATCTGGGTGGTCTAATACTTGATCAACAGCAGATGAGGAGTCTTAGTGAAGGATATTTGTCCTTAACAATGCGGGGCCTCTGGTATGAGATTGGATGGCAAGGAAGCAATTCGCGTAGAATATGTGTTGGGTTGTGCTGAGGAATAGAAGGAATGATTGATGGATGCAGTGATGGGTGGAAAGTAGAAAACGAAGGAAAGGCAAGATTGCGAAAGGAAAAAAAAAATTTAACAGGTAGGATTCGGGTAGGGTTATGTTTAAGATCAGACTAAAAGAACAGCTGGAGGAATGATATCAAGAAAGATGGGGGGGCAAGAAGCTGCTGCAGAGGTAGATTTTCAAGTTTCTGGACCCGATTTTGGAAGCATGCTATTTCCAACCGAGTTCCCGTGGAATACCGAACCATGAGAGATCTAGGAGAAAACCCACCCGTCCAAGTGTCTGATATTCCAGGATGGGCTCTTTAAAGGGTGACGACTGCGACAATGATTGGACTGTAGTGGAGAGCCCGAGCGGATGGAAATTGCTATTCTCCAGCTCCAAAGGAGATGCGAAAAGTCGGTCGATGGCATAAGAGTTGAGATTAAGAAATGACTTTGCAAGGTGCTCGATTGGGGTCGGTCACCCCCGCAATGATGTTGGGTCCAGGAAGCGGATGTCAAGAAATAGAAGGGGAGAAGGTAGCAGGTTATAAAAACATGGTAAGGTTACAGACTTTTCAAGGGTTTGTAGGGATGATCAGACAGATAAAAGCTATGAAGATAATTGCAAACTTACCCTTCTGGATGTCGGGGGTGGAAGAAGACGGTGACAGGGAAAGAGAGGTGTCCCAGTTGTAAAATTTGTGAACACAAACGTAAATCCTTGGATATATTCCATATATGTCAGCTTGTCTGTAACGGAAGTGTTTTACTGCTAGAGACAGCGAGCAGTCTTCGCTCCAGAGACGGACGGCCTACCTCCCGAAAAAGGACTGTGTCATGAAGGGAGCCAAATCAGTCAATCTATCAAAAGCCTGATGCTCAAAGGGATTGGGAGACCTACCTTGATCTGTGTTGTCATTTAAGGGTGCAAGGATCAGGGAGGATGCGAGATTCAGCAACAACCGCAGCAGTAGAAATATGCCTCGAGGACTCGATACAGGCAATTGATACGGCAAGGGCAAGAAAAGGAACAATAGGTCTGAGAGTTCAACCAATGATGCTTGCACAATAGTTATGTTTGCAGATTCTCAATAGCGGTGAAAGAGAGGACTACGCAATGCGAAGAACCAAGCAAATCCATGCTTGAGCAGTATAATACTCAATCAATGACTGATGCAACCTCAGATTTGTACATTCCAGACCACAATGGGTTGCTTGATAGTTGAAAGGTTGAGTGCAATCAGCACCATTCTGTATGATTTGGTTACCACAAAAAAAGAAAACATTTGCCAAATGACCAGCAACATCGACATGATGTTTGACAGATAATTCGGGAGCATTGTGATCGGAATGCGCACGACAACAATATTGTAGCACTTTGAGGGGATGAACACAGCGGGGCATTTGATGTTGAAATCTGATAAACAAAGAGAACGAGGGATGACAATACGTCGGCCTGCTATAAGAAAGCCAAGGCTAGTCAACCAGCTTACTCGGAATGAAAATGTTAAGGACAAAATACAAGCTGTGACTAACACTAGATGTGAACTCAAACCAGCAGTGCCACCAGCTTATGCAACTGGGTGTTTTAAAACGCAAAAAAAGAAAAAGAAAAAAAGAGAGAGAGAGAGAGAGAGAGGAGATTCATCGGATAGCTAGTCATTGTATCTATTACGTATGGATAGAAATAAAGCTACCCGAGAGGCTGAGATCTGGTCCATCTCCTAATGTCCTTGTGAAATCGATAGATTTGAGCTGAGACCCGACTGTTTTTCGGATTAAGTCACACTATTGGGTCAGTGAGACCTAACAACTAACTGCCAACCATCTGTCTTCGCCTAAAGCGAGGATGCGGACTTGAATATTGCATCTAGTTTGGTACCTATGAGGGAAGAATCCCTTGAATGGCGTTGAGGTACATGGAGCGTAGTCGTTTGAAAGTCTCCTTAAGCTCAATCGAACTGAAGGCGTATAAGAATGAGAACACAAAGCATGAAAAGAGGAACAAAGCAGTCTTACCGGGGTCAAGAAAGACTCTGCCACAAAACGCGCTCTTGCATTCAACTGTGGTTAGGGGGAGGAGGGACAAGTTAGCAGGTAGCAGGCCCACAAGAGCACAGGGGAAGTGGAACATACGAAGAGCTTCATTTCTGAAATCTCCTTATCAACCTCCTCCATGAATTGGATAATAAAATCAACCAGCTTGTGCTTCAACATTTCCTCAGTGTGGAAGTTTGTGATCAAGAAGGAAATATCATATCCCTACATGAGCTGTGTTAGCTCCACACCCCCTGTGGATTTGCGGTGTAGGTGCGAACCTTGATCGGCTTCCTCCGAAGAATGAAAAAGGATTCAGCACGCTGTGTCAGAAAGCGAGTAAACTTGTGAACCAGGATGTTCTCTATTTCGTCGGCCTGTTTGATCTTGATGCTAACGCGGACGCTGTTGATACTAGGCTCGATAAGGACACGCTCGTTCTCGTTGCGAGCAACTGTCAAGGGGGTCAACAAAACCTCAGGAGAGGTGCGCGCTTCAACCTCGGGGACATTGTGTCGTTCCGATGCCTGGGAAGCAAAGTTTGAAAGACAGAGGGCAGCTGTCAAGGTGCTCCGGACGGCCTGGAGATATGGGCGGAGGGATTGCGACTGCGGGGGACACGGAGGTTAGTTTGGTGACTTGGAGGGTGCCTTGCACTGAATCGTAGAGGAAATTGTCGGCGATGGGGTTAGTATGTTGCTGTTTGGACTTACCATGGTGTCTTAACTGCTAATGGCCGAGAGACTGCGATCTCCTCCTGCAAGGCCCAACAGTGCAGTTGTTGGTGATATCGTTTTGCCCGTCCCCTTTGTTGGCTTCACTTGTTGGCTTAGGTTCCCTGGGACGTCACTGCAGCGGTGGTGACCGACAGCACGGGGTCCACAAACACGGATAGCGGGGCCGCTGGGGCCGCTGGGCGCGTTGGAGTGGATCCGTTTCATCGGTGCCCTACGTGGTTTACGTAAGCCTGCGTAGCCTCAGGACCTAGTATCTGGCGCGCGCTTGTTCTGTTGCCCCGCGAAACCCCGCGACTTCTCTCCTGTTTTAATCACGTCGAAAACGCCACTTCGTCTTTGGACCAAATTTGAAGTGCGTAGCATCTACACGAGCTTGCCCACAGCCAAGGAAACAGATCGGGAGATTCTAATTGTGCTATCTGGCTTGATACAGAGCACCGTTTGTTGTTTTCTAGAGCCTTCCTGCTCAACTTCGTCTGGTTCGCCATGGCGACTGTCAATGGTATGCTTAACCTCTTCCGATGTGCCATCACAAGCTTGCTTGGTTCTGACCTATTTTCCTGCAGTCATTATCAAGCATCAAGGGAAAAAGTACGACGTGGAAGTCGATACGACATCAACCGGCGAAGTTTTGAAGTATCAACTCTACAGTCTAACCGGCGTCGAACCTGAGAGGCAGAAAATCCTTATCAAGGGTGGCCAACTCAAGGATGACACGGACCTCAGCAAGCTAGGCCTGAAGCCTGGCCAAGTAATCATGATGATGGGAACACCAGGCGAGGGTGGAGGTGCCATTCAGCGGCCAACCGAGAAAATCAAGTTCATCGAAGACATGACAGAGGCCGAGGCTGCGCAGCAGGCGGGCGCTACTCCGGCCGGCCTGATCAATCTTGGCAATACCTGCTACCTCAACGCGACACTTCAGGCTCTACGCTCTATTCCCGAGCTCCAGGATGCCCTCTCCAAACATAAGCATACCTCGATGTCGGAGATCCCCCAATTGGACATCACCAACCAGCTGAAAGAACTTTTTAAACTGATGTCTGAAACCCAGGGAGGGCTGGCACCCTTGGCTTTTTTGAATGCCCTCCGCACAACTTTCCCTCAATTTGCTGAGCGCTCAAGGAAGGGCCCGGGCTATGCGCAGCAGGATGCAGAAGAAGCGTGGTCCCAGATCGTCTCCCAGCTCAGGCAAAAGCTCAAGCTGGAAATCCCTGGCGAAGGTGGAGCGTCTCAATCTGTTTCATTCGTGGACAAGTATATGGCTGGGGAGTTTTCCACCACTCTTGAATGCGATGACCCTGCAGCCCTTGAGGGTGGTGAACAGCCTACCTCTTCCAAGGAAGCTTTTTTCAAGCTCGACTGCCATATCGACAATCAGACGTCCCATCTGAGGGACGGGCTGTTGAGTGGCTTGACGGGGAAGATCAAGAAGCGATCAGAAGTCTTGGGTAGAGATGCCACCTACACCAAGACATCTAAGATTTCTCGGTTACCAAAATACCTTACAGTTCACTTTCTTCGCTTTTTCTGGAAGCGTGATGTTCAGAAGAAGGCCAAGATCATGCGGAAGGTTACCTTCCCTCACGAGCTCGATATTGTCGAGTTCTGTACCGACGATCTGAAGAAGGCCCTCATCCCAGTCAGGGACAAGGTCCGCGAAGTGCGCAAAGAAGAGGAGGATATTGAACGTGCCCGCAAGCGTCGAAAGAAGAACCCTCTCACCGACGGCGAGGCGAAGGAAGCCAACACGAAAGAGGAAAAGAAGCCGACCGCCTCTGCGGATGGCGACATCGTGATGACCGAAACATACAAGACGGACGCCGAATGGGAAGCGGAGAAAGATGCTTCGCTCCTTGCAGCTAAGAAAGAGCTGAACGCTCTGATCGATCCTGAACTTCGCAAGGATGACGGCGCTAACCAGTCGGGCATCTACGAATTGCGCGCTGTCGTTACTCACCAGGGTGCCAGCACCGACAGTGGCCATTACACAGCCTATGTTAAGAAGGCCGCACCTAAGGATCCGGTCACAGGAAAGGTCGGCACGGAGGATGGCAATTGGTGGTGGTTTAATGACGATAAGATCTCTGAAGTAACGCCTGACAAGATTGATGCTCTGGCTGGAGGCGGTGAGTCGCACTCGGCCCTTATCCTCCTCTACAAGGCGATCCCCTTGCCAGACGCTGAAGGTGCTCTTTGAGACTCTGGGCATTGAATAGAGGTCCGACCAAAATCCCTCTCTATATGCATTGTTGGCTTGCTACATAGTTGGCGAATCAGCACGGGCGTTTGGAGGAAATGAACTCAGAAGTCATTTAATGGTTATGGAAATTGATATGACTAGACCTATAAATGTCAATGACAGTTGTAACGTTTACCGTTCGCTAGCTTGCAGGTCAACGTGGTCTTCTCTGCGGTTCGTACGGCAGTATTTACCATATGTTGGGAGCGAGTTGACAGCTGATAATCCGAAGACATATGCTTGCCCACTATGCCTTTCATAGGATCCCCAAATCAAGCCCAGGGTTTATCAACCTGGATGTTTACTTGGACTGGACCAACGCCACTTGCATTGCAGAGCACTTGAATCCCTCAGGCTGTGCTTTGGCAGCTCCTCCTCAACTTGTCCAAGGGTTAGGGTTATAACCTCGTGTGAAAAACTCGGGAGAGCTTCAACTTTTCTGCGTCACTTCGATAAGCGGTAAGCTTCAAGAACTTTTACCGGGGTATAACAGCAACGGAAACCGTACTTCTCAGGTTGTATTTCTATGCCATACTACTCCAGTGACCCGTAACTGCCTATTGTTGCAGCCCGAACCTTCGTCGCCATCCTTTCTCTTTGCATGCCAATGTTAAATGATCGTGACAGGTAGTGGCACTAAAAGCATGCCTCAATGGAATTATGCCAAGCCTTACCGTATATGTACCGTATATAGGCGTGGATTACTGCGGATTATACCATGCTGCAAGGGCGAATAAGTATATTTCCTACTCGGTGAACATGTGTTTCAACCTCCTCCTCAACCCCAGTCCTGCCTTTTACGACGTCCAGGATGGAGGGAAAGAGTTGAAGGTGCAAAACCTCTCAAACCGACAATGCCTCCTTAGTACTAGGAACCTCTCCAAGTGTCTTTCCCCAGAAGTGTTCCAGCGTGTGAGCAAAAGAGGGTAGATGACTTACAAAGAGAAGCATCCCCATCTGAAAGGACTAAAGTGATGCCAGCGACTAGAAGACTTTCGATGAAAATAATCAAACCGACGTCTTGTGAAACACTTTGCTTTCCCGAGGCTTCGGAGCTGTCCATAGTTTTTTGAGCCTTTCATGGCTCAATTGGAGCGGCTTCAAAACTCCCGCAATTCCGATCCCAAAAGTTAAGACAAAAGCGCCTTCGATATCGCCAATGATCGGGCATCAGTAGTGGCACACTGACAGCTACAAGCAATGAACTCAACGATTGAAATCAATTGGAGGCGAGGATCATCTTGACTCCACAATATTTGTTGTCTGTTGAAGCAAGCTTGTGTAAACCCTGGTTCACACCCATGTTGAGTCCCCACAACTCAATACCATCAGTAGTCTAGTTGTGCTCAGGTTTTTATCCCACTGGAAAGTTGTTCTTTTTGAATCTTTTCCGTTGTATACAATGACATCGCGAGTGCTATTCCAGCTGTGCGCTGAACAATCGTGACCTTCCTGACGTTGGGGGATCGCTGGCCAGCAAAGCTCGGGACTGGAGTGGTGATGGAAGAATCAGCAGCGGCCTTGCTAACTCTCGGGCGCCATTATAATAACATGGTTTGAAATCTAAAAACCAAGTCTTGCCATGCTTGCTAGCCGGATTTACCATTCTGTTATTAGTCAGACTGAACGGCCCTAGCCGACACGATGATAGAATCCCGGTTGCTTCGGCTACTCGTCAGCTAACATTATGAATTCAGGTATCTACTCTGCAAAGTTCAACGGTTGGGTTTCCCCTATAAGGACTTATATATTCACTAATGCTCTGTGACTTACATACAGGCAACTTGAAGATTGGCTACCTCCGAGCGGGTATTTGCCAATAGTGAGTTGTAGCCCTCCCATACACGACTTACAGAATAGGGTGTCTTGACAACCTGACTTGTTCTCTTTTCGTAACGGGCGGGGGTAGAATGCCTTTCGCTAAGCCTCAGTCCTTAGATATGCAATTGCCTCTGTGGAGTGGAAGGGCGGCATTGCCATTCCCCCCCCCCCTTCCCCCCGGAACACCGGCTGAGCAGGAGCGCAACAGTTGGTACGACAGTTGATGGAAAAGAGTGACCTAAACACTGCTCCGTTTAGTGGCTACTCACCCCATATTTGCCGGCCACTCTGAAGTGAGTGCTCTTGGGCTTGTTCCCACACACCGGTATGCCAAGTTGTCTGCAAGTTTACGGACGTATCCATCCTTTCACCGGCTTATCCATCCAAGCTAACCAACAGTCGGTACGGAGCAGTGGGCGCGTGACGAGGTTGCAATAGGTAGGGAAAGACGGAAGACTGGGCCATTCCTGATGGCATGAAACCGTGACGTGGCTTTGCAGCCCAAATAGTAACAGAATGGAGAAAGTAATCGGGTATGGTGTTGGTCGTAAGTGCGTCTGGCATCTTTGCGACTATCCTTTATCCGATCCGCATCGTCCTCTGTTTCGCAAGAGTCTTCTTGTCATGGTTTCGATTTTGCCAAGAGGAGATGCTACTTGAGGGGTGGGTTTGGTGCTTAGGATCCTCTTCAGGGGCACGGACGAGTAGTTGATCAGAACCAATGCTTAGCGATAAAGGAGAGGGAAAAGGTCTCGACATACCATCCTTGTCCTGGAATTACAGCGAAGCGATCTCTGCCACTCTCTTTCCAGGTATCAGCACACCTCCCACATACCTTTGTGTTCCACACTTTCCTTTTTCCTTGACGAGATCGCGGACCAAAACGTACTTCAGACCGAGAGCCAATCTGGCCATAATTTTTTGAAAAAATGTAAGTTTTTCCAAGTGTCGCTTCAGTTATATCGCTTCCCTAACTTCATCATTGTCGCGCGGTCCTCCCTTGATGACGCCGAGAGCGCACCCGCCACACAGGAAACCAGTGCCCGGTAGTCAGATCTTGGCCCATCCTTGACATTTGCAGCTTTTTCTCATCATGACCCAACCGCACAGGCGGAACCTCCCGCACCGAACAGACCGCCTTTTTTTCTCCCACGTTCCATGTTACTTTAAGGCGGGCCTTGAACAACTGGGAGGGGGAACGGGCCATGGCCACAACAAGAAGGCCTTTTCCTGCTTCTGAGAGCCCCAAGTAAGCGTTGACCGTACTCGTGCAGTGCTGATATGTTTATAAGAAACCGGCATGTACATGTACGTCGGTTCTTTTAACACTGATGATAGAGTGAAGGCTGCAAATTACAGTCTCATTGCCTCTTCAATAGTTTCCGGTATTGTTCCCACAAGACGGCCCCCATGCCTCATCTTCCTTGGGTATGGAGAGTCCGAACTTGCCTTGTGTTAAAGCCACTAGGTAAACGGCGATCCAAATGCCCCAAGCTTCTCTTTGTGGATGAGCCGGTGGCAATTGTGTACTTGCTGTTCTCGCAGATGCACACTTGATCCTTGCCTGCCTTTGTTGCCATGCTGCTAAATAGGGGCCCAACTACTGCCCGAAGTCAAAGCAGCCTGATTTTGAACCCGAACACCCCGCAGCAGCCCAGCCCCAACCTGAGCTCCATCGTCAGGATGGATGGGAAGGAGGGAGTAGGTGACTTGTCATCTTACAGCTCGCGTAAGATCAAATTACCGAGCGTGAGCAAGGATCCAAGTGTTTTTCGGGTCAGAGAGTGTGACCAAAGAGCTTACAGCGAGCATACATGGTTCATGGATCCCCTTCGTAACTGACAGTATCCATTCTACATACATCTATCTCATTAAGCCGTGCTTTGAAAAAAGAACACAAGCCCCGCAAGCCCTGGTCCCTTCGGAGAGGCCGTAAAGCCTTTAGAAAGCAATTTGCTCAGTATCAGGCAGCGAAGATACTTAACAACCTTTGGCTGTTGTGATCTGAGATTGAGATCCTCCAGCATATCCATGGTCTGGCTTGTTTGTCCGCCTGGTTTTCTATGACAGACGCTTGACGCTTCCAAGATGCCCCTGAGTCGCAATGTCAACAATGACAGGTGGACATGGAGGGGTAATGAGCACCGTTCGCTGGACGGAACCTTCAAGCTAAAGGGAAGGTAGGTATGCAGCAGAAACTACCACCAAGCCGTTCCCCCACAAGCCGGCTTAGCCCGCTGTCCGTATCAGCTGCCGTCAAAGGTTGACAGTGGAGACTGTTCTGCTCTCATCGTGACACAAGTGATGCCAGATCACCAACTCAGCGGCCCGCGCCTCGTCGAGTCTCTCCTTGGCACAGCATTCAATGATCAATTACCTAGCGTTTTTTGTTGCTGGTTGCTCCAATGCGGCTCGGTGCCACCAGCCGTGTGTCGGTCCGTCGGTAGGTTGTAAAGTTCGGATTCACAAGTGTCCCCAATCAACAAAAGTGGGCTGCAGAGCACAATCTGCAACCGCACTGCTACCTGGCGCTTGTTGCTTTTTGTTTTGAGCGGGCACTTGGTGCCATCCGGCCGCCAACTTCTCCATGTTCGCCCAATCCCTGCTATCTGTTGGCTATGGAACAACCCGCAACCCACCGTGATGCCGCTGGGCCCCCGCTAGTGGCAATCTGCGCGTTGCCAGAAATGCTAGACAGTGTCAAGGATACCGTAGCTTCTGGGTGGCCTTCTGTTGCGTTGATCTTGCTGCACACGCAGAGAAAATGAGGAGAAAACCGTGGATCACGCAATTTAGGAGAGAAAAGCCGAACCAGTTGGGCCGCTCAACTTTCCCCCTCCCATCTTGATGGCGCGGATCGTCTTGGGTTCTTGCCCCGCCTTTTCCCCCCAGGGTTTGGGACCTGCTTGCCTGCTTTTTTGTTCTCATATCACAATCTGTGCGAAGGTCTAGCTTAGGTTACCTAGCCGGAAAGTTTTTCTTTTGGATAGGGACAACTTCATAGATCCAGCACTGGGAATTGTGCTTGGTGCCCCGCTCATCGACGTCGAGACTTGCAAGTAGAGAAAGTGGCAAGGCGGGAAAGTGGTCTGTAATAACAAAATTCAAGAAGGGAAGAGCTCCAATTACGATTGGTCTATAGAGTAGGCTTCGAAACCCAACCCAAAGACGTACCAGTACAACAGGGCAAGACGATAAAACACCATTGACTATTGGCCGCGAGGCAAAGAGAATCTAACGACAGAATGATGCCCTTGTGCTTGATCCATCAAGCCCATGCAGAGATCAGTGAGAAGTCTGAACACTATCAGTCCGGATACTCTCTTGGTATATGCAAAAAAAGGGGGGAAATAAGGGTAACATAACTGTCCCTCCAAGTCACCAAACCCAATGCCCAATCGATCCGGTCAAGAAGCTGTAACATGAAGCAAGGGCAAAGCAACTTGTGCCTATGGGTGTTCATATTGCTCCCGGGTGCAGGAAGTCTTCTGTTCCCAGTTCTGCTCCTGGCCACTTCCATGTTGCTCATTGAGTGAAAGGTGTGAAAAGTGAGTAAATTAGTGAACACCGACCAGCAAATAAAGTTTCGAGAGCAGATAAAAACGTTTCTCTGATCAAAGGCAAGAAAAAGAAAAGGCACACGTCTAAACGATAACTGAAGGATTGAAAATTCATTTTATCATTCCCTCCAACTCCGCATAGAGCCCACAACACCACTTAAAACAACCTAGACATCCATCGATTCCTCATTATTCTTTCAGAGCCCAATTTTTCCCCTACTATGCCCCTAACTCCTGCGATCCAACCGCCCAAGCATACTACGGTCGATATCATTCACAGCACTGCGAGGCTCTCGTCCAATGAGGTTGTCTAAGCTCATCGGATTTGAGTAACTGGAGGAAGGTTGCGGAGGAGGAGGAGGATGGTACTGAGGGGAAGGTTGCACCGGTTGAATTGGCGGAGGCGGCGGCGCTTGAGACTGTGAAGGCGGAGGTAGTGAACGAGCAGGACTCTGATGGCTAGGTGGCGGAAGCTTGTTATCGCGATCATATGGACCTTGCGGCTGGTAGGGAGGGTAACCAGTGGGCGGCGTGCCGTTGCTATTCATTGATACAGGTGACCGTCTACGCGGATCATCATCGACAGGGTAGTTCGGCGGCGGCGGCCGGGAGCCATGTTCTTCTTCCGGAGGTCGTGGTCTTCTCCTTCCGGGGTCTTTGTCGTCATATGCAGGATATGCCCCCGTGGGCGAATGAACTGGGGGGTGATATTCGGATGGCGGATATTGAGAGTAGGACCGCGCTTGAGGGGCTGGTGCTGTTGTTGCCGGAGGAAGGGGCTGTCCGTATGCCCCAAAGAGTGGGGTGCCTGGAGGAACTCCTCCAGGAACAGCTTGGACAGGAACAAATGCGGTAGACGAGTTAGATGAGACCGGCTGGAAAATGCAGTCGATTTTCAATTTGTCACAGTTGGTACATTTGCCGTTCGTCGTGTGCGTATAACCGCTGCAGCGAATCTGCCGCGATGATAGGTTAGCACAGGCCGACGATGTTGATCTTTTTGAATTCATGGTCCTTTAACTCAACTTACCTTTCTCTTGCGGCAGTATCGGCAAGCAATTGACGTCCTCTGCCGCGGGGCAGACTGCTGTGGCGGCGGAGGAGGAGGAGGCGGAGGAGGCATCGGATAAGGGTAGTTTGGCGGATACCGATAGTAATCAGGTCCATAACCTCCAACTCTCCCTTGAGCCGCCTGCCGGTCGTAATACGGGTCCGGAGGTGGCGGCGGCGGCGGCGGGGGGGGATAGGCCCTCCCATCATGATATTGTCCCCGGTCATCGTATGCCCTCTGGTCTTCGTACGGCCTGCGGTCGTCATACGGTCTCCTATCATCGTAAGGTCGTCGATCGTCATATGGCCTTCGGTTGTCGTACTGCCGAGGATCCTGAGGCGGATACGGGGGAGGATAACGCGTATCCGGCTGAGAGGAGTATCCGTTCTGATGAGCCGGCTCTGGAGGGGGAGGGGGAGGAGGCCAACCCCTCGGGTCCGGTGGGTATCTTGGATCTGAGTATCCTCGGTCAGGGTACCGCGGCTCCGTTGGATAGGCTGGCGGTGGCGGAGGGGGATACGACATCGGGGGAAGAGAGACGTTGTCAGAACTCATGGGCGGTAGCCGCCTGCGATCGTCACTCTCAGGGAGCGGCGGGTAAGGGTTGTCTCGCGGGGGCTCCGGAGCCCCTCTTCGGTAGTCGTCGCCCATTAGTGAGTGAAATCACAACTGCTGTGATGCTTCGGGCAAGGAGACTTTTCTATATTCAAAGAATGCCAGATAGTTTTCCCCCCGGCTCGGCCACACAACTGCCCGCGACCACGGGAGAGGCACAGCAAACAGTATGTGTCCGGATATGTCTCCACTCCACGCACACGTCTGGGAGACGCTCAAGTGTTGCCAGTGAGTTGCTGTTATGCGAGAAGTTGGAAATGGTTATGAAAAGATATTGGACGTTCCCACACCCACGCCTCTTCCCACCCAAGAGAACCCACGCGGATGCTGTTTCTTCGCCCCCAGCCAGGCAGGGCGATATGGAGGAAAAGAAAAGCAGAAGGGCTGGCCAATGGAGAGAAAAATAAGGTTGCCTTCCCTGTCTTCTAGGTTCTGAAAATTGGGCAAAGGAGCGGCTGAGAAAGTCGACGATGAGAGAGTGAGAAAAAAAGGTGTGGGGAAGGAGAAGGTGGGAGAAAGGACCAAACGGGTGGCAACACGGGAGGAAGGTGCGGGTAATGATGTAGTCGCGCCGAGGCGACGACGGCTGGACCGAGCCTTTATCAATGAGCGGGAGCTCCCTTGTTGCTGATGCTCTGGGTCCGGAAGTTAGCGTGGTTTACTTTGGTAGATGCAGGTAAGGGACACACGGCAGCGGGGCTGAAAGAGAGAAAAAAATGACCGGGGCAAGGAATGCATGAAGACAGCCTGAGCATGGAACCCCCAGAGTGGAACGGAAGGGCCTGGGCGCTGGTGGATGTTGGACGCTAGACACTAGGCTCTGGGCTCTGGTGGGCTCTGGGCTGCTGGCTCCGTGCCCGCGTGGCCATGGAAGACGCATCCAGCTTCACCTCTCAATTCCTAAGGTCGCAGCGCCCTCCATCCGAGCATGCTCCTCAGAAGAGTGGTGTACCCGGGCCCCGGGCCACTGGACAATGGATGGGCTCCAGACTTGACCTCCAAGGTAAGCAGCTAGAGATCACGGGCAGGCCACAGGCCATCAAGTCGGGTGCTCGCGAACGGCGGACAGCTTCCAGGTCGTGAACCAGGCCGAGCCGGGCAGTTTATGATCACCCGTAGGTACCTAGGCCCACGGGTGATTACCCGCAGCAGTGGATTCAACCACACGAGACGCTGCCTGATGGGTAAGACGCGGGAAGGGGCGGGAGTACGCATACACAGAACGGCCTGCAGGAAAGTTGCAGGTGCCATGCTGCATGAGGTCGTGTACCCGTTACCATACAGTGGTGTGGGTGGTTTGGTGGAGCATGTGGGGTGCATCTATCCAAACCCGGTTGCACATGCGATGCGGACTGCGGGAGCCAGGCGGAACTTGGATGGGCCTTGAAGGTCCCAGTTCCAGAGAGCCCACATAATATCCTTGGAGAGCTAACTCCCGGTGAGGGGTGAGAGAGACGGGAGAGGGCCGAGCGACGGCCGGGCGAGGTGCCCACGGCGGTCCCACGGGTATGTGCACGCGTGCATGGCCAAACGCTGGGGACGCTGGGTCCGTACGCTGGAGCACTTTCAAAACCCATGACCAAACCGGAAAGAGCGCAGAAAAAAAATCCGACACCGTCGCCTTGTCTCCCGAAAGCTGCCGCCATCAGGGCACGATGACCTGGCCTTGCCTTGATTCCTGACCGCCAAAAAAATTATCGCTCCTGTCAACGCCATCCCTTCCCAACGGCTCGTCACATCGTGAACCAGCCGAAGCGCTCTCCGTCCATGCAGGCAGGGAATGCGGGAAATCAGCCTGGGGTGTTTGTGAGAGCGCGGTACGTACCTTTTCCCGCAATCAGGGTGTGACGAGCAACCAACAAAAAAAAACGCGAGATGCCAAGGCAAGGTACGGTACCCTGGGTTTTCACACGCCAGAAACCCGGAGCTGCAAGACCTGCAAAGACGCGGCTGTTCCGATCGATTGATTCGGCGCCAGCCAATTGTTCTGGATGGCTGTGGATAGAATAATCTGTTGCCACAGAGGCGGTGCTCAACGTTCGACGGCAAACAACGGCTCTCGGGTGGCCAACCCCAGACACAAGTAGACTGGCGTTGGCAATAATTTTGGATGTTGGGACTCTGTTCTATTTATCCCGATGTTAAACTGGTCGCGTTCTCCGGTTCCAATTGCCGTAATCGGATCGTTTGGTTCTGCTGGAGCGGAAGCAAGGGGGTGCTTATTATAGTTGACAACGCTTTGCTGCCCACGGCGGGACGGAAGATCGCGGTCTGCAGCTGTTGGAAAGAAGCGATGAAGCCAGAGTGGAAGAGCGACCGGGAGAGTTGACTTATGACGACGGCTCGGCCCCGCCGGAACGCTCATCGCTGTTGGGTCACAGGCTCCGCGGCGCATGCACACCACTCCAGCATCGCTCTGGGTGTCAGCAAGCTGGCGCAGCAAAAGCGTTGGCGGATCGCAATAGGTAGGAGCGTCTATCTCTTGGGGCCCCCCTTGGAAAGGTTCTTTGCCTGGCAGGCGAAGAGTTGGTGGCGTGTGAACTGCACAAGCGAGCATGGGAGCAGCCGGACCTGTCAGCTGGCTGGGAGCAGCAAAGGACCGGCCCGCGGTCCGTATCTGGAATGCTAGGGCACCCAACCGTCTGGGGACAGGCTTGCAGAAGCGCAATAGGTAGTAATCCATACCTCCCTCTTTTACACTCCCATGGACCAGCACAAGTACCTACCTTACACCACTCGTAGACGGCAAGATGACAGTGCATTACGTATGAAACTTACATGTTTTACAGGCAGATGTTACTTACATCTTACCATGCGTAACAAACCCTTGCGGTGCCTCAGCGATCAAGCATGTGAAATTTACCGATGACGTACTGGACCCGAAACGCATTCTGTATCCATTGGTGCCCAGCAAGGCGCTGGCAGTGCCCACAAATGGCTTGTCATGGTCTCTTCCCCGCAATTGTCAGAGCCACACGGCCGCAGCTTGGGGCCGCAGGGTCCCGCACACCTTTGTTGCCTGGCTTTGATCGCGACGCAATTACCTGTGAAAATTTGCTGCAATAAAGGACGCTATGTTGTGGATCTCCACAGGTTGCTCTAAGATGAGTCGCGACCTTCTGTTGGTAAAAGAAGACTAATCTTGCGAGTTGAGGTCCGACACCAGTCCCAGGACCCGAGGGGATGGTTCGCGCGGACTGAAAATTACAAGGGGTGTTTGGCGGGGAATAGAAGTATGCGACAGGTTTCGGTACCCGTGGGTTTCGGTGTGAAGTTTTGGGACGACGCTAGCCGCTCTCGCACACCGTTTTGGGGAATTGGGAACAAACAATGTATGAAATACAGCAATAGTCCCCTAAAGTCATGGGATCTAGTGCTGCACCTGGACAGGTGCAAGCATGGATACATCATCGATATCGGAAGTTCAAAACAAATCGGATGTTTCGGCCCGGCCTTCCAGGTTATTCTTGATCGGGCCGTTGGCTGCTCTTTGCGAGATTCTCGTTGCATTTGCCAATTGGAGTCGAAAGGATCGGTCCATTAAAACATGAAAACTCTCTATAGCGTATTTCCTTAACTTCTGATTTAGTTAACTATGAACCATACATAGAACATGTATGTCGAGTTGTTCGTCTTCGTTACCAGAGAGTAATACGCTCTTCGAATGGAAGGTCAGCATCAAGCCACATCTGCCCAATATCAGGATAGGCGAAAATAGATGCAGCAAAGAAGGTGGACAACACATATGATTTGTACACACTAACTGTTGGAAGACACTGCGTTGTCTTATCAGCTCCCGGTCGGTACAAGCCGTGCAATCTTTGAAGGGCAGCATTTTCAATGTTGTTTCTTCTCAACACATCGGAATGCACTCTGGTTGTCTTGTAAACAACCAGGGAATCATGGGTAAACATCAAGCCAACGTGGTCGATCCAGGTACTTGGAGGCGCTGACATAAATTGTAGATGTGGTGTCTTGAATTCACGTCTGCACTATTAAACCGAGGGACTACTGACAGTTGACAGGTACGTCTGTGGACAAGTCAATTCCAACACATCCGCGTGAGTCTGCTTGAGAATGACCGGCGGCTGTCATGGCTACAGAACGCCCCAAGGTCACAACTCCAATAGGTCTTTCCTATAAGGCGCGGACGGGGCTGGAAGATCTCTTCCAGAATGGAAATTGTTGTTGGATAGAGAGAGAGACAGTTTGTTGGTTGTGTAAATCCTGTTCCATGCTGTGCAACATCACATACAGCTCTAGAATTTCAGTCCTACTGTTAGCAAAAACCTACCGCGCGTGGATCATTAGCAACATACAATATGTTCCACTTTCGAAATTGGGAACCTCAGCAACTCAATGTCTGTGCTGTCATCATACCATTAACTGAATGGTGAAGTATGGCTCTTCCGAGGAAGCTAGTGATAACTGTGATTTCTGTGATCACCAGATGGACTGCAACTGAAGCTGGCAAGCAAAACTACCAGCAACCTCCTTTCATATTTGGGCCACTGTGCACAAATTTCTCGATAAAATTGGTATCACTAGGTACAAATCCGCGAGTGTCAAGTCACGTCATGACCTTGTGTCTGCGCGTAATGCAATAGACACTGGAATGGGCGCCCAAGCCTGCACACAGCTGTCGCATTATCCATAATCCAGGCCGGCGAACTCCAGACAGTTTCTGATTTTTAAGCGTCGATAGGAAGAGACTGCCGCTTTGAATCGGAGCATCACCACCGAGGAGTGATTATCTAGCTTTTCTACTCCAGCATTCCGTACCTGAGGGAAGTGCTGGCTGAAACCAGTTGCGGCAGAAATCGCATGAGGACTGCCTGTGATTTTCACTTCGTCCTCGAAGGTCAAAACCCAGACTGTTTGTGCACTATCGAAATGGCAGTAGTTGATATCCCAGCTCACCCAGTGAGTGAAATGGGAATGCTTCTGTTGCGTCCAGATCGCCCAAAAAACCGGTCCGAGTTTCTCTCATCTAAAGATGCATTGCTTGCTGTGTTGTTTCACCCCTGCTGCTAAAG